TCCCATACTACCTATCGAACAAACAGAAGGAAACAGGACTAAAAGCATTACATGAGTATAGGGTCATGGCAGAGAAGCAAACAAGCAACTTACTCAAAGTCATTAGGATAGATGGTGGTGGAGAACTCAACAATGGGCTGGTGGACACATACTGCACAGAGAACGGAATACTTATTGAAAAGGTCCCACAATACTCTTATGCAACAAATGGAATTGTTGAGTGAGTGTTCAGAACAGTCATGGATGGAAAACATACTCTGTTAGAGGAGGCAGACCTCCCATACTCATTTTGGAGGGGAAGCATCTGCAATCTTTGTCTATGTAAATAACTTCGTGTCATCTGTGCGCTTCCTGGATACAGTGCCAGTGAAGGAGTAGACAAAGAAACAACATGATGTTGCACCTATGATCATTTGGATGCAACTGCTGGGCAATGCTACCAAGACAGCAGACAAATAGTAAACTGGGAAGGCAAGCAGTGAAGGGGCAGCTTCTGGGGTACAGGGGCCGACATGGGTACAAAGTATGGATACTGGAGAGCCAGAAGATTGAAGAGTTGCATGATGTGACCCTTGAGGAAGGAAGACCACATTGTATGCATAAAACACAAAAGGAGGAGGAAGAAGACAAAGAGGAAACAAACTGGACAAACATTGGATTCACAAACCCTAGTAACCAAAATAAGGACCCACCAAATATTACTGAAAATACTGCAAACAGGGATCAGACACCAGAAACCCATAATCCTATTCAAATGCCAATGTCAAAGAGAGTACAGACAGAGATGGCCAACAGGCAGACACCAAACCCGCTGCCGGTAGCTACACAACAGGGCCAGAGAGGGCATATACTGTCTTGTTGGTACCTCAAAAGCAAAGAATACAGTGCACAAGAACATGAAGTGCAAGACCAAGGTGAAGACTAGACAATAGAAGCACAGGCAATGGATCACCAGTAGCATTAATAGTGCAAGACTTGTATGCTTTTGCAGCAATGTCTGGCAGCCTGTGGGTGCCCCAATCCTTCAAGCAAGATATGATACATTAGGCACTCTGGTGGCAGCTCATGGAAAAGGAATTCTGAATGCTGATGGACAAGGGATGTTGGGACCACTGGAAATACCTATACATTGACCTATCAACATCATTATTGGCTATTCAAAAACTCTTTAGCCAAAGTGCAATATAAGCAAATTCTGGCTGGACAATGTTTGTTGTGTTTTTGTCATACTCACTGGTTTACCACAGGGTGTGGGTGAATTTAAGGTCTCTTTGATGATCAACACCTTTCAGTGGGACAAATGTGCAACCTTCTCATGGGTCTAATACTATAGCATGCACAATATCCTGAATAATTTGTAGGAAATAGACAACTGATGGCTCCCATTGTAACAACTGTAATGACCAGTGGAAATATATGTATTTTTTCAGTGGAAGCATGATCACGTGCTTCCTATCATCGACGCGTCCTCAATGTCATAGGTTTCACCTATGGCTATATATACCTGTACATTACCTTCTGCTTAAATAGACTGGTACCACCATTATCCCTCTCTCTCATACATATTTCTCTCATCTCTCTAATCTAGAACCCTTGTCTGTTTACTCTCAGATCTGATGAGTCTTTGTTTCCTTTAGTGTTGTTTGGTAGTACCCCTGGCAGGCTTCCACTTTTTTTTAAACAGCGCTTTGGTCCTCAGACCCAAAGAAACAACTCGTTATACCTGTATTATACTTTGCCATTTAAAATTATCTATTCCTATAGCACTACACACTGGCTCTGTTTCCGGATTGAAAACTGAGTGACCCTTCATGTAGTCCTTTTGCGCACTTTGGTTTGGTGGAAGGTGTACGGCTGTGAATATGCGGAATGGCAATTTTTGGATCATGGCTTCGACACCGTTGGATACTGAGATGAAGGCAAAATTAGAACAAATGGGGCCTGTGTAAGTTCCATCTTGCTTCGCATCATTCTGTTTCTGTAATTAAATAAGTTTATCATTGGCGCGGATGCTGTTCATCACTTGTTCCTTAGTAAATTGCGGTTCGTTTTTTTTTTCATGCAGATTCATTGACTAAGCAACAGATAATATCAAGAAGGCCTATGGGTGCGCGAAGGCGAGAGTGTTAGTTTTGTTGAATTCACTGGCTTAGGTTACCCTATATGTAGTCCAACCATCGAAAATTGAGAGGGTTGATATACACTATGGTTGAGTCTGAGTGTTGTGTTAAAATAAAGAGGATGTCTGTTGATTCCTTCACTCCCGTATTGCGGATGACGCTTATAACTTCCTCCACCTTATCATACTTAGGTCGTTATGTACATCTCTCGGCGGTCTAGAAGTCTAAACCTCAAACCCTCCCTTCATGCTGTGTTTTAATAAAGTCTCAATATCAGTACTATCCTGTCAGTATCTCTTAGACTATAGATATTTGATATGGGGCTCTGTCTAGGACGGGATCCAAGCGAACAGCCGGGCCCAACCATATCCGCTGCAGCGAATGCTCATCTAACATGGAATGGTAGACTGCAGTAAGAATGAAGCAAATAAAGTCACAAAATACCTAGATATACAGAATATACAGATACTTAACCCAAGTGAGATCACGATGAAGTCTGATGAAGTCTCATGGAGTCTGACAGAGTCTGACCTGCCCACACGATTTCGAAAATTAAATCCCTTCAACCACTAGGTATTTTTTTCTGCCGGCTAGCGCAAAAAGTATTTCCCTGTACTTTCCATCGTGTAAGTCTTGTCTTTTTCTTAGCTATCGGTAATATCATCATCTGCATACTACTGACTGCTCAAAAATTCCACAATGTTTGTATTCCGGGACGTCATGCTTTACTTAGCTGTTAACGCTGCACTCATTTCTGTAATTACTTCACTTCCGACTCCCAAGTCTAACAACACATCTGCTGTTCAAGTTGGATATCTTACACCCCTTGTGTGGATTATCTTTGTTCAATGATCCTTCGATATGTGGTGCAAAATTCAATGGCGTATCAACCTCCTTCGACCTGTAAGGAATTTTATTCCCTGAAGACCTATGAGGTTACGACTTTAGAATAATAGTCTTTATTGACATTTTTTGTAGTCAAATTGGATCACTGGAAGGTTGCAAGAAAAACCAGGAACTTGTGAAGGTATGGACCAAATGATTCTGGTTTCCGTAAGTTTACAGTACTACTTACTTAGTGTTTCTCTGTGCTTCAAAGTTTGTGGTCAGGGCGACGCAAACCCTACAGTGCCTAATGCTGATGACCGAGAACTTTGATAGCCAATTTGGTTAAGAACGAAAGGAAGTGAAGAAATTCAAAAGCTGTCTCTTGTCAAAACAGATGGCAATGGAGGGTTCAATGTCGGGATACACAATGTCTCACGAGGATCACACCTTTCCAGGGGACAGTGTCTACGTTGTAAAGATAGTCGATCTCATCAAGTCCACTGTTTCATGCGAACTATTTACCCTCGAACAATTCGGAGTATGACATCGAACCGAGACACGGAAAATGAAAGGGGATGGAAAGGAATACGGTGTTATTCTCTTGGAGAAAGTTCATGGGGGAGAGATATCTGACAACCAGCACCAGCGACTAAGAGGGCATCAATTCTGGATCAAACCCGATCCTCAGCTCGTGAGTGAGTGCATGCTCTAGCGTTTGATACTTTAACGAATTGAGCACATTTTCTCCCTACGTAAGCCGCCGCTCTTTACCATCAATCCTTAGCATCGCTTAATCTCTCTCCTCTCTTTGCAGGAATCTTGGACTCAGCAATGTGCTTGTTTGGATAGGTTTTTCGTCGAGCAGAGCATTACATGCTCACCGAAGATTGATTTTGGATGTCCCGGTGTCTTGACATGGCAACCAGAGCTGAAATTAATTACTACTTTGCATGAAAATTGGTTCAATGGTTCAACCGCCAGTTTGACCTATTGTGGGCAGATATTCTAAGGAAGACAGATAAGCAATCTTCCGTGGTCGAAGAGTTCACTGAGTGGTACCGCTTGACTCCGGCTCAATAAAGAAAGGATGATATGGTTAATATGATCAAGGCTAGAGAAAAGAGTGATCGCAAAGGGCAATAGACCGAGAGGGAAACAGGTGCGGGTCGGATCTGAAAGGAAGAAGAAAGAGAGATGGTCGGACCCGACAGGGAAGTGATTGGGCCTTACACACTGGCACATCTTCTGAGAAATGAGACGATGTAAAACGAGCGTGGGGTTAAAATTGGGATTATATTGATCACTCCTAGATTAGTTACTTGAGTTCTGCGTTAATGTGTAAAGTACCTCATTACATTAGCTCTGGTCAGCTCGTTACAACTGCGTCACACATGGATGAGACCGGAATTATACATATCCCACGAAGACCTGTCTGATACCCTCCAGTACGTGGTGTTATTTTCATGTATACAAAAAACCTCAGAGATAAGGGGATACATTGATCTGCAAAAATTCTAACCAACGCAACTCAAGGCGAAAGGTTGAGTCTAAATAAACAGTAGAGCAATAAATTGGTTATCGATGGTGTGCTAGATCGTCCTATGAAAGGAAACGAGTCGCTATCCGAATCTTTGGTCGAGTAACCTTCCATACTTACTAGTATATGAATTACACTATGTAGCATTCTCCGAGTACACATTCAAAGTTAAATTAACACGCGAGCGGAAGCATCACATGCCTGAAGGCATTGTGTAGGCCCAACATCATCCTTTGATGATCCTGGTTGAAATCTGACAACGAATTTCAGATTTGGACGCATTCTCGGAGGTCAGGGAATAGATATACCTGAGAGGACATATCTACAAGGAGGAAATTGTCACTCACCTATCAAGAATCGGGGAATACGAAGTCTCCTGGAATCTTGATTCGCAATGTGGCTTAGCCAGGAGATCATCACCATCTTGATCGAGAATAAAATAATGTCGATTTCCATACAGTCATCCAATACATAAAACTGACGTCTGAAGACTTTGCTTCTGTTCTAGCTGCGTTCTAATTCAAGTAAGCTTTGTATGCAGCCTTCCAAGCATTCTTATCCCCAACTTCAATAACATCCTGGAGATAACATGACATTGTGAGTAGTGGTACATACGATGAGGGTACCTTACATACTTCATGACAAGGTATCATTCTCTCAAAATCCCAACTGGCGGCGGTCTTCATATGTCGTTGCATTGCCCTGAGGAAACTTGATGAATAATTATTTTGGGCTCAGAAGGATGCTCACTGTTTATCTTCGCCCTTTGCAGAGGCAAAATTTCTGTGGGACCAAGAAAATGGCCCGAAATTCCCTACAAATGGTACGTGTGCCAAGGACTTGGATTTTGAGTACTAGATAGGGAGAGGGTGTTCACGTCAGCATCAAATATAGCTATTTTCCTTCCGAATGCAAACCTGTTCAGTCGGAGGAAGATTGAAAAGTATATCTGCTTGCACCATTGTTTTTGAAGCAGGAAGAACGCAACGTTCTATTGCTAAACCTAGAGAAACAACTGCAGAGCTAATTCAGAACACGAAAAGAAAAGGTTCTTGCGCATACAGACCAAGGCTGGACCTAAAATCATTAAATGGTCAATATAAACATATAATAGGGCTCCTGTTCATCCTCTTCGAAGCCGTATCGAGCATCTTCTGTATCGGGGCCCTATGCTGCCACAAAAATTCAATTCAAATACATCATGTAATTTCAAATACAGTGCGGAGTTCATCACCGTCAAATTTCAAGATCTTATCTTGCACTCTTTCTATTGCGACCCTCGGGGCAATAATTTTGGCTTCATCTTCAAGACAAAGTTTGAGATGGGAAGGAACCCAGTCGAGATAGAGACCGGTGTCTGAAGGTTGGAGACAAGTGACATTCGACATGTATATGTGATACCCAAAAAATGGAGCACGAGATATAATCAGAGTTCCACTAGGACTGGCGTCTGGTTTTATCTTAGCCTCGAGAGTGGCAGAAAGAGAAAAGAGAAATAGACCGGTGTTCTGTCGAGGTCTAAGACGAAGAATCTGCTGAGATTTATAGAAGATCTTCATTGACATTAACGACAACGACGCGGTCATTATGTATTGCTAGATATTTTGACGGGCTTCGAGAAGCTCCGAGCTGAATTTTTACCATGCGATCGTATATGAGAAGGGACCTTCTTGAAAGTTTTCTAATATCACCACCCGCGCGCTATCCAACATCGCGACGAGGTGTCGGCCACAAGAAGAGGCATGTACTGCAGAATGCACCGTATCTGAAGGTTATACTCATCTATAGGAAAACAACAGGACTGACCGGCAACGAACTCTTCAATGATCCGTGGTTGAAAAGACGACGAGGATAGTGCAAACTCTTTACCATGGGTGAAGTGGTTCACAAGTGCTGCACCTGCCGTCGGTGTTTCAGACTCATATGTTACAGAGAATTTGCGTCAACCAAATTCTCGTCTTGCGGAAGATACGTCAAGGACGCATTCTCCTGTTGCACGAGAAAATACACGCAACGCAGTAAGATCACAGATGAATATATGCTTTTCGTCCACGTCAACGTAATTGAGATGTCCCAGAGGACCAAATCTGAGAGCAGGAGCATCCAAAGAAGGGGCGTTTGCCACCACGACTACAAAAGCAGAACTGGAATTCTCGGCCGCCCGGATCGACGGGATCGTGTGCACAAGCTCGTAAGAGGGGGTGTCCCATAGGAAAGAATGATCCCGAGCCCCGACTAGGAGAGTTGGGTAAACGAACCGGAAAGCACTAGTGAGTCGGGGTATCTTCAGAATTGCCCATGGTTTGAAATATCCTTTGGAGTATGTAGCAGCATGTTTCTGATAAGATTCCTCGGAGGCGGAAATTTGGTCTGGAAGAGTGTTCGATTGTGAAGGAGTAGGAGGAAATCCACTCGCATTTGTTCCTTCCTAGACGATCGAATATGAGAAATCCTTTTTCACATTCTAGATGAGCAAACTGCTTGACATAGGTCTACGTAGATGTAAGCAATTGCGATCGCATTCATAGCCGACAAAGTACCTTCGGTAGCGACCATAATACCTGGTCGTCTACGAGATCATTTACCAGTAGACCGCCATCTCGGAAGCTGGTTAAAATAAATCCAGCTTGCTCATCGACCTTGATGCGGTGCACTTTAGATCCAGATCCCGCGTATGATCCATAATGGGAAGACGCCTTGCCAGTCCAACTTTTGCTGATATGGACGCATCTTTGGCCTATTTAGTTTCTAATTGAGTGTTGGTAAGAATGGCAGAACTTCATAGCTGCGCACAGAAACATTTCCGATTCGTCACGCCGACCAGGGCCTGAAGAGTACAGGAAAAACAATTGATTGAAGACGGTTTCTGAATCGATATATCCACGATAAGCTGAAAGGGCATGGTAGATGAAAAATCGTTTTCATCGAGAAGTCTTTTACAGATCTTGTAAACGAGGGAAAAAGCTTGGATGCAAGATAACTCGAGCAACGAAAAAACAGAAAAAATCAGTTCCGAAGGCAGTTGAACGATCATGACGAGGTTTGCCGATAACGTCAGTGTTTAACACTGAATTTCCTTTCTTCTCTTCCTCTGGTCGTAATTCTATTCAGAAATTTCATTTGTACCACACAAGCATTAGGATAGCGTCAGATAACCAAAGCATTGATAGGTTAATCCAATAGATCACGACCAGTAACAATCTCGAGGCTTTGGCGTACACTTTACGCACACCTGGAGCATCTGGGAAAGATGTCTGTGAATTTATACTCGCAAGCTCTTTATCCTCCGGCCAAGACCCGTTTTCTGTTCTTGATAGAAGAAGTAACATGCTTGGAGTAATGTATATCTTGTATGTGGCGTCTTTCCCTGCCTGGTTTACTGTAGCACTCATGTTTTTGTAGATCTGCAAGACTACATATGTACTTTAATGCACAGAGCGGCGTGCAGAGGCCCCTATGGGCCACAGTGATCCAGTTTTGCGACAACTTTGATCCAGAGCAAGTGCGCCTAGCTCCTGAGCGAATGATAATGCTCGCCAAATCCTTGATGCGATATGCTTCAGATCAAGGAAATGTAAGAGACTGAATCTGAAGTCGCGCCCATGACAAATTGATTTTTCTCTATCTAGCTTAAACTAGCAATACCTCTGCTCTATTCTCTTGTCACACGGCTCCCAACTACTCCCAGCATCCTCACTCCGAACCATTCTATCTTGCTCCTGATCACACTTCAAACCAGACACATCACTCCCGAAATCTGCATTTTGCTCGTTGAAAACCCCATCGATGAGTTGTTTATGTTCACCAGCATTTATTCTGACGACAGTCTATCGTCTAACGATAATCTTTTCTACCATTATCTCGGTGGAATCACTCTCACAAAAATGGGAAATTACACTGCTGCACTCGACTACTTTGAGACTGCGCTCACTGCTCCAAGCACCCATAACTCACCTCCTGCTGGTCTTCAACTCGAAGCGCTCAAGAAACTTCGTCTGGTGCAATGTATTGCCCTGGCCCGACCACAAGCGCTGCCAAAATATACATCACCTGTTCTCATGCGTATATTCAAGGAATCTCCGTACCAGAATCTGATTAACGCTTTTCCTAGTTTTCCAAATTCTGGGGGCCGCGAAGGGGGTTCATCTTCGGGGATCACCGTTTAGGGCTGCTCGTAAGCAAAGACAGGAAACTATACTTGTTGGAGTGTAATCTTGGCTTGGTCGGCCTGCTTGTGTCGGAAGCTTTGAAGTGGATTATCAAAAGGCTAACTGAAACCTATGTCACGCTAGGCTTGGCTGAGATCGGAAAGTATATTGGGATCGACGATGAGTAACAAGTCAGAACCTTGGTGCTGAAGGGTACCTTCATCGTATTTTGTTCTCCGATTGTTAAGCCTTTCTACAGATTGAGTCGAAAACTATTCTTGCCACAATCTCCGACTCCGGAATTGTCATCTTCCACGATCCGCCTGGCACTGTAGATATCGGTGTAGAAGATATACGCCGGCTTTTAGGAGTTTTACCTACTGGAATTGGTCTACAAAAAGTGTCCGTTTCTATTCTTCTAGAAGCTATACGAAGACAGTCGGTACACCTTGCTCAACTCGATACGGAGACCGGGCGTAGCAAGGAATTCATTTCGAAGGCGATCAAAACGAACGATAATTCTGGTACTTATCCATCTTCAATGCTTCTGTCTAGAGACTGAGGGATGTTTTTTTCTATCTTAGATATGGGTGGTCTCGGTCCCGGTTTCGGAGCCGGTGGGACGTTTCCGGACGAAGACGAATACCCTACTCCTGGCATGTATGCGATTGACAGAGAAGATACCATGATGTTTGGTTGACTCATAAGTATCATATACCTAGTAATTGAGTTTGGTGATTAATATACACTTCGTCGCTTGCGCCGAACGTTACCACCTCATCGATTTTACCGTTCTCAGTCCCGCGAAATATAAACGATCGTTTACACGAAGCACTTATTATTTTGATCGGGTACTTCAACCTACGAACTTTCAGAACTTCAAATAAATGAAAAAAGGTGTTGCATAAAGTATAGGTAAAAAGAAAAAATAAAAAAGAGCGTGAATAGTAATCTTGTTCGATTCTGTACAGTCTTCGAGAATTGGGAGTTAGAAAGAGAGGCAGAAGTAGGGCAGAGAGGTGTGCGGCGTAATGATAATGCAAAGGAGTGTGTCAGGTTACGACTATGATACAACGATGTGCAGAGAAAAAAAAAAGCTAACGGTGGTAAGGGTAACTTGCAGAAGAAAGTAAAGAATGGGGATATCGGAGCGTAGGATGAGGATGCAGTCGTCGTATTCGAAACGGGGTGAAGGAACTAAAGAAAATGTAATTATACACTCTAGTTGGAACCGATGAAGACAGAATGTGCGATGATGAACGGTGAGAAGATAAGTCCATGCAAGGGGAGACGATGACAGGCGACAAGAACATAGGGTGATGTGCCGTCGTGAAAGCGCCGAAGCAATGGCGCTGCGAAGAGATCAGTCTGTTTGATGGGGAAAGTGTATGCATGAATGCCATGTACCAGAAGGTACAGAGAAAAGAAGGGAAGCATGCATGCAAAACTAGAGAAGAAGAGTTATCAGTATAGCAACAGCAAAAAAAGAAAAAAATACGCACGTAATCGACAAGTACACCAAAAGGCATTCATAATCACAATGTAGTGACGATGGAGCCGCACAAGAAAAATAGACGCAAGGAAGAAAATATAGAACAGGTACCACACGGGCAAAGAAGAGAATTTAAAAAAAATCTCAAGAAACACAGATAGAAATAAATTGTACACGCATAGAGACCTTCCCCAATGTTTCTAATACAGCAAAGGGACCAATGGTAGGCGGGGTGTAATATAGGGATGTGGGAACGAAGATGCAGATGGTTACTTGATACAGTGATTCGGGTCAAAGAAAAGTTATGAGGTTAAATGCGAACGGGAAGATGGAAAATAATAAAGAGCCACGAGCACCGGATGGAAATGGGGTAGAGGGGGTAAAGGTGCTCGGAAATAGAAAATAGAGATACGATAATCGGGAGAAAATACAAGGACAATAATAGATGGGGCCGAGGATTTCGTTGGACAAATGGTAAAATATGTTGAAATTTGGGATCCAAGCGCAATCCAGACCAGAAGAAAGCTTTGTAGACATCGGTAGGCGTTGACGCGACAGAGGCTGGCCGGCTATAGCCTGCCCCTCGTGCTATTGGCAAGAGTAGAAGATACAAGATGACACCACCGGCAATGTTCAATAAACATGAGCAATCGTTCCTACCACTGCATATCGTATACAGTATTCCAAATTCATTTGAGTCAGTGCTTTCCCCCTTCAATCAGTAACCTGACTCTTTTTTACATTCTGGCACGGGCAAACCGCTAGGTTCCACGCTACGCAGGCACGCCGTCCAGACCAAAAACATAGAAAATTGCAAGACGCTCGGTGGGTTGCAGTAAGCGAAGAAATTGCGATGCGAAAACAGTGACAATAGAGGATATGGATGGAGGATCGTGTGGTGGGGGACCTAGATGTAGAGGAAGCAGGAAAGACGTGAAACGTCAAAATGCAAGCAAAAGTCTAATCGGCTAGGCAAGGGAAGGTTTTGAACAAGTAATCCCTGTAACTAAAGCCTCGTTAGTAGACTATGATGATCTAGACATTGCACTACTGACCTCAACACCATGTACCTGTCAAAACAAAGTTAGACAAAAACAAACGAAGGAGGAGGAAGTTCCTCGGGACTAGGGGAGTTTTGAAAGTTGGAGCTCGCGAAGTACGCAGCAACGGCGGCGGCTTCTCGTTCCTACTGGGACTCGTCCGACAGTGGCAAACGCTTTGCAGTCAGACTGAGTAACGCCTTCAAGTCAATATTGGGCCCGTTGGCAGTACGATGAGTAATTGACTCTTCGTCAGAAGACATAGCAAATATGCCTTCACTAGGAACTCGATAGTGCGTCCTGACTGTTTTTCTACCTACGGGACTGGATGTAGAAGAAACACTGAAGGGAAACCCAGAGGACGAAGCAGAAATAGGAGCAGTAATAGGAGCAATACGAGGTTCATCACCAAGGCCCAATTTGAAGCGAGGAGTTGCACGAGCATGTGTAGGCGTAACCGGAGGAGTCAGTCATCTGTGTCGTCTTCCGTGTCGGTCAAGTCATCACAGATTGAGAACGGGTCTCCGGCGGCAAAGGGGTTGTCTTTACGAGAGCGAACGTTGGAAGCGCTAGGCTCCGATCGAGACAAATTGGTACCGACTGAAATGAAGCTGCGGGGTACAGGAATAACCTTGGAAAACTTTGTTGTGAACTTCTCTTTGGGCTTTGAATGCAGACGCCCTCTCGCATTAGCCGAAAGGGACTTGTTGTCCCAGATCTCCGGCGAAGACTTCGGAACTGAAATTGCTTCTGGCGCTGGCGTTGCGCTCGGCGAAGAGCTCGGCTGAACCTGTTTCGACTTTGACGATGGGCGGTGCCTCGGTAGTGAAGGCAGTTGTCGTTGTACAGGCTTCGACAGTAATGGGAGGCCTGGAACCTTGGTCGGTTAAACGACGACGGCAGGAGGTGCGGACGGATGCCGCCTGATGAACGTATGGAGAACATAACGGAAATTTTTGTTTGTGGACGTAGAAGATGGCAAAGTTGTAGAAAGTTGTAGTGTTCACGACGAACTAGAGATTTGAAGGCTCGTAGTAACAATCTAAGAAGATACTTCTGTCAGTGCTGTAGGTGGTAATGACAAAAGACCAGAGCTCCGGCTTTTCGACCAATGAACGCTGGATGTAGTAGGTACACTAGTGCTCAATGCTGTAAACGAAGGTAGAGGAAGATCGGACGTTGGAGTCAAAATCAAATTAACGGGCATCAGTCATGCTCCGCTTCCAGACGATCATACTGGACGACATGAAAAAAGGAGATGATACCGTCCAGTACCCGATAAAGATGAATGTCCCCACGTGCCATCCGATTCTGAAGCATATAAATCATCTTCCGCCACAGATAATTCAGGAATATCAGTAATGTCAGACATTGGAGGGACGTAGACAGTACTACGATTCCCGGTTCCGCTACTCGCAGTAGAACAGACATTCAGATTCGAATCCATTGACATGATGGTCCGGATGGAGCCAGTAGGAGAACCAGAGCGTCAGGTGATAGTACGAGTGAGGGAAGAGAACGATGAGGTGAAAGAAGGAGTGATGGATGGTGCACGAGAAAGGGTCGGTGTCGGGGGTGTGTTCATCACTTCCCTGTAAAAGAATGAGAATGACGACGGAGTTCATAATTGATCATGAAATCTACCAGATTCTTTCAATCCATCTTAATCGCTGTACTAAATTATCTCACGCCAACCTCTCTACGCCATCGCCATAAACAATTCAGGATAGTGCCAGGGACTCCATCTGTCCAACATCATCTCTAGGACTTAGGCTAAGAGCACTCTCAACCGCACAACAGCTGACGAGATCCAATTGAACGATAGCGCGGCACAACGGTGCCCGACCAGTAGATGGTCCAGATACAGATTGAGTAGTAGGAGCCAACCATGACAACAGAAGTGTATGGCAATAAAGTAGTGCTTGACATCGCTGCCATTGACAAGGAGGCTCTGCATGGATATCGAGGTAATATAAAGTTCCAAGATGAAGCATCTGTGGGAAATATGAGGCGAAAGACAGTAATGAGGTAAAGAATATTGACTGACTGTCTCTGTCCCGTTTCCGCCCAAGAATTTTTCCATTTCGCTTATATCAATACTACTTCCATTGCTGCCATTACTTGTACGTTCTCCTTCATTCCCGCCCAATGATTCGGCGGTGGCCTTCTTTCAGCTCGCTCTGCGACGAAGTTCGAAAAGCACTGTGTCATCGGCTCCACCCAAACCCCGTTGAGGTTGACCTTCCCTCCGTCCACGGGCATCCGGAGTAGGGGAAACAGTGGGAGCCACAACCTCACCTCTGGAATTTTTGGGACCATCATTGCGTGTGTGACCAGCACATGTTCTTCTCCTCTCCGGGACGCCTGTTTGAGGATGAACATTCTATCATGCACAGTGTAAAACGGAAACTCAACAATGTATAGGACCGGAAAGATCCTTTGTAAGTTCTTTTGCTCCGCTTCTGAAACCTTCGTCCGCAATTTTCTTTACATAAAGTCTGAGATACTGTTAATATTCAACGGGGCTATCAAGCAATTTCGCAGCATGCAGTTGTGTTTCCAGATGGCATAAAGTCAAAGTCGTATTCCAGCATTCTGACCAGGGGGTCTCTAAGGCCTGGCTGGGCGGACCACTGAGGGTCCCTTCAACAAAGGCAACTATGCCACGATTAGCGACTTGTGACTGGAACCTGTGTCGTCCTTGCCACACGTCTGAACCTTCCGACCACCATCGATCACTGATCTTGACCCAAGTGAAGAGGGCGGCGTTATAAGAATAGACAGTTTCATTTGAGTAGTTGACAACTGGAGTGCCATTTCCTCGCACGACGCAAGAGACAATGGTGTCGTTTGGTGATGATATTACAGGTGCAACGGACACAGGAGAAAAGAAGGCGATTCCTAAAAAAACCCTGATTATCAATTCGAGCTCAAGTGAGTAGATTAATCGTTCACACCACAAATGCAGAACATCGGCTTGTGTTATAACCAACAGACAGTTTTTGGAACCATCCAGGATAGAGCAACGAAGACCCATATTCAAAGTCGGCATTAACCTTGGAGAAAGGCGACTGAGATTCGAACGCGGTCGTACATGTCAAACCTAGAAATACCATCTTCTTCATGGCGAATACACATTGAGAGAACCATCCGACATGGCGGCAACACAAAACTGTGGCGTGGTATGTATTGCGATGACCGGTGACGACAGATAATCCAGCCAAAGCGTTTGCTTACCCTTGAAGAAATGCACCGAGGTAGCACCTGAAAATGTTTAAAACAATCGACATCGGTCTGGGTAAAGTACTCATGTCCGTTTTCGAAGTTGAGACCTTCGAATATATGAGTACCATTGAGCTGCGCAGTAATTCGCATCAAAATGGCAAGAACAGGCAAGCTGAGTCCAGCGAACTTCCAACGGATATGTAATCGTTGATTTCTTTGACAAAGATATTTCCCTCTGACTGTTTCCACCTAACGTCTTATACGTAGGACGTAAAACCTCATCTTTCTTCTTCATTGACCTATTCACGAATGCATCACTGGATCATGTTGACATCACCATGAAAGTACCAGTCCGGATGTGTATGGAATATTTGCTCATCCGGTACTGGGAAGAATAATTCGCGAACGAGTAGTGACATAGGCTTGCCCAATTTTGCATCTGAGTCAGGAAGGAAACAAACTGGCTTGTTGTCATGAGGCGAAGGTCCCGCATCAGCAGATGGTACGGATTACATGGTCGTCAATCCGGCTCGTTTCTTCTTGTTATTCCTTTTGGCAACCAATACGTTCACTACCTCGCCCCCGATAGTCGCAATATCAAATGCAACCGACTGTGAATGACTTTTAGAGACAGTGGCGTTGTGTGAATAGGTAATTACATGGGAATAACCTTTAGGAAGTAGAGGCGGGGTGAAACCGAATTTGGGAAGGTATTGTTCTTGTACGGAATGCAGAGCTATTCCTTCCAGTTCATCTTGTTCTAAGTCAAATACAGCGATGGTCCCATCAGACGATACAATGTACAAGTGATATCATCCCACGACCTGAAATAGCGGAAATGTGAGACGAGATTAGTGGGAATCATGCGATAGCTCACCAACTCAGAACCATTATCTGCTTATCAAAAACCTCCTTCGTAACGATGAGAAGTCGAGCAGATTTTGTCTGTCGCATGGAGTAGATCGGTCGACTGCACCCAATGCAACAACAGAGCAAGTATTTGAGGTTACGACGGGAGTGGAATTTTCTTGAGAAGATATGAGGATTATATGCCTGCAACGGTCAATATTGGGGAATAAACGATTAAGGAAATGAAACATACTGCGACTTTCACTGTATTTTCGTGTCCAATCAGACTGATATCTGATGTCCATGTCTCACGAATAATGATAGCAGCGATGAAGACAAAACTCTTGTTCTTGGTGGCATTCGAAGCAGTGATACGTGCACCATTTGGAGAACAGCTGAAAACTCAAATGTTGAGATGACAATGACAGCGGTGAATTAGAGCGATACCTGAGTCGTTCGAAGAAGGTGCTATCAGGGGAATCTTCAAAGGGTTTCTTGACCTCTGCTTCTAGGAACCAATCACTAGTACGCCAAATTTTTGACAGACCTGTCTAACGTGTCACCGCAGGTCAAACTCCCCAACAATTTTCGAGCAAAGACCAATCGGAAAGAAATGCGATCTCAAATCGTTGAATTTACAAGGATTGGCAATCAGGTAGTGTACGAGTCGTCAAATACGCGAGAAGATAACTGAAAGCAGATTACGAGCTTTGCGTCTCACATGACAATAAGAATTTTTTTCTAAATCTGGAACCTGTTTGGGAGACTCGGAAATAACCGTCGGTCCGAGACACCGAAAACCGACCCCGCACCAGAAACGACAAACGGACCGGTGCCGACCTCGACAAAAAAACAGAACTAAACTACTCGAATCCTTTACATAGCTGATACCAAGATCGTCGAGAATACAACATATGCGTATGAATTCGACCTATGTATACCAAGGTACGCTTAAACGTTTTCTTATCCACTATCAGGCAAAGGAACATTTTGATAACTGGCCGCAGCGTTGGTGGTATCAACCGTGCTTTTGTCAAGAAATTCTACTGTAGAGGTATGTCTCGTTCCCACTGAACGATTAAAAAGTATTTCCTTATGCCTTCGACATGTAAACCAGAAGTCAAAGTTTTTGCGACCGCTGGACGTTCAGAATCTATAACTGAATTGAAAATGCTTGACGGTGTGGTTTAAAAATGGATGTATCCGAGATTGACAGCATACGAACGGCTGTCGATTAAGGTCCTTCGTTGACTTGTCGAAAACTCGATATCCTGGTGGGCGCTGTGTGGGTCTTTCCAACTCCAGGTTTCAATGTGCGTGCTGGTGGGTTCTCTTCCGGGGGCCCCGCTCGCGTGTGTCTCGGCGCTGGGTGCCTCTTGCTTGGGCCCTGTTTTTCCTTCGCCACATAGTATACAGCCATGGTCGGACAATTCGCGCTAAATGAACTTACTGCACGTAGTGTAGTGTTCATAACAACATCGTCTTATCTCCAAACGTTAAGAGAACAGTCTCAATCACCCATGTAGCGTTGGCGGTATATGGCACGCGTTAGCCAATGAAATTCGGTCTGGAGGTACGTATGGTAGTCCTTGACTGATATACAAGCGCTCTGAAGCATGCACGGTGCTAAGGATAGATTGTTTACTATTAAAACGGTCACCTCACAGATCAGTTCAACTGAACGCGTTAATGTTTCAACATTCAAGATGCAAGGCCTTGCAAGCATGCATAAATCGATGTTCCGGATATTTCAATCTCAGAGAAATGATGAAGGCAATTAATGAAGAGGTCGATCTGAACCAGACCGGTGTCGTACTACGTCCCGGGGGCGTTGTCCTTTGGTTGGCGCTATTTTGGGAATCTGGGTGAAGCGCAGCTGCTTCAGACATAATTAATACTGCACTTCGTAAGTTTAGGTCCCCCCCATACTTAGATTCCACTGCTGGTTACTGATTGTTGTTCGTTAGTATTCCTTCCTGTTTGAAGCGTTTATCGCACTGTTTTCGTTATGCGCGCTGTACTCAAGCCCTTCTTCATTCACGCCGCCTATTCTCTCATTAAGACTGTCGTCTTTCTCTTTTCCACCATCAAACACTCAGTCTTCTTCGCATCCTCTTGTCGTTCTGTTCTCCGGCCTTCACGTACTCTTTTACATCGTAACGAATGGGTTAACTTCCGAAACACATTTTGGCATCATATGAAAGCCAAATATTTTCCCCCCGCCTCCATTGTTCCTCTTGAACTTCCGGTCCAGTATTTGTTGGGTTCCGTTCACCGGTTGGCGGAGGTGCGCATCATGTCGTTCTTACGTGCTAAACCACTCAATGATTTCTTGTAGGCTGCTCGAAGACTTCATAATCACGTTTGACCGTTTGATCAAATCTTCTCCACTCCACGGTGACATGGAATTTAAAGTAGAAGCTAAGCAAACTGAAGTGATCGATGAGATCAGGGGTAACAAATGGGTAGCGTATGCCGCTATCACTCTTGTCGTGCGGTTCTGGGGTTTGGCCGACGTGTGTCAACCTTTCTTGTCACTGCGCCGCATGAACCCTTCAGCATGATTTCACCATATACAGAAAGTAGATTTCCTCGACATTGTTCTCATATTGGCAATCCATGTTCTCATGCACACCATTTTCCTTTTGTTGTTCCATCGTTCTTGCCGGCTCGGTTCAAACCTGTGGCTCTCCTCTGCCGTTTCTGTTTCTTCCGTGTTCGCGCTTCTTTTGTCTCTGCGGGTTGCTATGTGGTTCTGCATTCTAATGGATCCAGTTGTACTAACCGAAGCCTTTCTTCCTCGGATGCACGGTTGATTTTGGCGAACCTCTCCGCTTGACTCGGGTGGTGTTCGATCGCCCTCGTCTGCGGGGTCCTGTAGGTGACTCTAGCTCAAATAGGCAGCCGAAGCCTGCAGGCGAAATTGTGCTCGAGACATTGAGCAGGTGTCTTCATTCCCATATTTCGTGATTATGCTGTCGAAATTGCCATTCTTGTTTTCGGAGTTTACAGGGAAGTTAATGGTATACGAGGAGTGTGGGTGCTTACTGCTCTCGTGTTTGGCATGTACTGCTTGTTGTTATGCACGTTCTTATCGTCGATCCTCTATGTGATGATTGAGGTCAGTTCGACTTCAATGACGGGTTCGTTCGACATTACTGATTACGTTTCCTCTTTAGGTCTGTCGTATTCAATCCAATCGGGCTATCTCGAAATCCAGAGTTGCTTCCAGAGCTACTTCGCCTACTGGTTCACCAAATCTTCGTTCGTCGCATTCTAGTTTGGGCGGGGGGATCTCTTCCTTGGTTTTGGATGGAAAGGGGTGCAGCCTCCCCGCAACTTTAGGAAAGAAACAGGATAAATCTGAAAGTCCTGTACCTCGCCTCAGGTTGCTCCTGGAAGGTGCTTGTTTTCATCTTCAACTTCATGCACCCTGCTCACGAGTGCCGTCTTCAAATCACCACTTTCTTCACGCTGCATATCTTCATTATTCCCTTGACTCCTGAACGACATCTCTCCCTGCAATGAATAAATTTCTTCCGCAAAGTTGACATCTTGACTCCTGCGATTCAGCACGTCCTGAGCTTCCTTGCAGACACCGAGCACATTGAAGCCAAAGTCAATGAAGGCACTGAAGCGAATTACCACGGTCTTAACGAACAGTATTGTCAACGACACCATGTCCGGATTGGAGTGCAGCTATAGACGATTTCGTCACAGTGTTTATAAGACCGCCGCTTGTACCGTACAACCGGGGGACGGTCCAGGACCTATCAGAAGTAAGTCAAAGAATTTCCTGACCTGCCTGTAAAGCTTATTCCTGAACTCAACCGAGCTAGAACAATTGAAACCGACGACATTAATTCACAATCCCAATATGATGAGATCAACAATATCATATTTTGTGCGAACCGATGATTACATCTTTCACGGTCAAGTAACGCAAAAGCCCAATCAATGTCTGATACCGGTATTCACTCGACATTCAAGAAATACAACGACAAGAAAAAAATATAAAATAATACCAGCCTCTGCATAGTGGTAGTCAAATTGCATTGAAATGAGCCTCTTGCGGAACCGTAGGCAGCTAGTAAAAGAATTATATAGTCTGCAGAGATCATAAAAATTCAGGGCATACTTTCTGACCGATATTGTCCGAAGACATGTCATATAATTCGTACATCTGTGTCCCATTCGTTTCCATCTCAAGCTGTGTACCGTCGATTGCGTCAACTGCTATATCACTCTGGTTCTAGTATCAATCAATAAAATACAGTAGATAAAAGAACACCACTGGACTAACGTTGAATATGCTTTTATTGATTACTCTTTCATTCGCAAAGCTTCTGAACGCGAGGGGAGACATGCGGCCAAGTGCAGTTTGTATACTGTCAGCCGCATTGCGCATGCCATTGCGAGCATTGAGGGTTGCAAGTAATGATGCCGTGTACACTGAGTAATAATCAGATATTATGACTACAAGTTCGATATCATACATACGTCGCCCGATGCAAAAATAAAACGCAATGTATATCAGAGTTTTTGGAGCTGCCAGCATCTACAAAATAACGATATTTAGCAAGAAATATTCAAGTGATTATGTCTTACAGAAACCAATGCTGACATGGCGCAGATACTGTCGATTTATTCCAATTGGCAATTGTTATAAACGTCGATCACGGTACACACCTAGTAATTGCTCCGGTGTTCACCGCATGCAACGTCTACAACAATCATCGCTATAGAATGATTGCCAAGCAAATACGGTTCTAATAACTTACCAATCTGTTCAATATATTAGACGTACTATACTTGTAGATCAACCTAATGTTATTCATGAATCCACATTAATTATCTTACCTTCCGAACCCATTTTTCGATGATTGGAATAGAAATGACAACATGCAAGCGATTATAACATCATCAATTGTAGCAATGATATTGACGACGACAGACAGCTCCTATTGAAACGATTGATCAGGAATTCAATATCGTATAAGTAATACGACGAACTCGAAGTTTAGGTTCCATTCCGGAAAAAGTTTCCACCGTAGTAAACCTATGACTTCGTTGAATAACAAAAACGGAATGTGAGCATGTTATGTTCCTTACGCGATTGAAACGAAAGCTACACATATCAGTGTCATTAATATTCACTGAAATTCATTTATTTACTTGCCTATAACACAACCTGTCAAAGACATGATGATCAAAAGTTTACAAAGAAGTCTCGAATATAACCTACCAGCTTGTGCGACAGCGATTATCTCCTGTATCAAAAGTAGGGTCAAATTCACGTAGCGCATCTGTAACAATGATTCGTACCAATAGCAATGTGATACAAAGCCTGTACTTGACGACTTGAATGACTACTTCAATTGGTTTAGAATGTGGATAAAGATGAACTTCCTACGTCGAGATATCCGCCAAATCCAGAAACTGGAATACGTTAGTTACAGATACAACATCTTTTCATGGGTAACACATTGTACCTTTGCACACATAATGCAATCAATCCCTACAATTGCAGACAAGCTTAAATGTTTATTCATCTGTTATCAGGCGAGGTGCATACGTTGAAGAGTCCTTCGACCTGGAAATGGATAATATGATCAATAACTGTTGACGTGCCGAAGTTGTCATTCCATACCGTCAAACTCCTGTATGTCGATTCGTTCATTAATGAGGACTATACGATATTGAGTCACCCATACCATACAATGGAATCCAAGAACATGGCGTCGTTGAAGTGTAACACAAGATAGTAATATACTTGAGCTCAATTTGTTTATTGAAATTTGATACATAGTCGACTGTCTCTTACCGCTATGCATAATCAATCCTTGGTGGACACAGTTCAACAACAAGAGTGCTCCAATCTATAAACTAATATAAACTAGCGACAAGCATAAAGTACTAGTTGTGCTTACCATGTAACGAATCACACGAGGATCACTCTGTTGTGTGAAGTATATGAACGCTTGAGCACAACATACTAGATACTTCCGGTTGAATCAAAGGTTGATCACATTAACTGAATGTTACAAACGGCCTAATAGGAAAACTGCAGCCGACACCCCTACGAAGGCAGCACCCATACTATGAAAAAAAAAAAAAAAACATCAACTATCAAAGCAATCATGACCCAAAAAATCACATACGTATCATCTAACGACTGAACAGAAAGCATAGCGGGCGAAAAAAATTACAAACGAACGCGATACGAAAAAAAGCTGGGGAATTTGATTCGAATTAGCTGCGCGGTTTAAGTAGACGTCAAAACAGGACCCCGTCTGAGGTTGAAGATGCTATTGGGGTCTTGAAGCGATTAGTATGGAATACGAAAGATCGTATGCACGTATTTGGTTCATGACATAACAGTGCTTACAAAAAGGCTACCTCAAGAAGGAAATTGAAGTAGATTAATTTTTTCACCAACAGTGTCGACGATATACACTTCCTAGTTCAAGTGACAATTTGTGTCGACTTCGAATGATTTGCGGCGGACTCGTACGTACTTCTCCGTCTCTGAAGTCACATACGATTCAATAGGATGTCACGACTTACATCTCTCTCATTTCCCGCTGTTGAGTACATTGAATTTCATTGTATCCTGATTTTCACAATGTGGACGTTTGTGATCCAGGGCGATATTCGATTTACTCTATTCAACAGCTATACATCAGCACACTCTGGCAACATCCAATTGGCGTTTGACAACCAAGGGGGAAAAAAAAAAAAGCGTTAAAATAAAATTCCACCATACAACATGATCACAAAAACGCCGGTTTCATCCGTCAACGGTAGGTCGGTAATTCGATCGGATGTACATTGGCAGGGAGAGTATAATCATAGCGATTGTTAAAAATTTCTGGAAACATCGATGAAATACTAGGTAACGTGGTTCCATTCCGGAACGAATTTTCATGCGATGCTGCTGCACGTTGGGTGTATCCAGGAGTAGTACCAGATACTTCCGTTGCGTTGACAGAGGATGCAATTTGTTGTCCAACGTTCTGAGTAAGTTCAGAAACATCATGAACAGAATTTTTCATGCTTGCAGAAAAAACAGTCGTTGACGGCGGTGCATTTCGACTGAGAAATCCCCTGGAGAATCTTTCAGAACAGATTATCCACAACTAATTATGTCGAGTAAAACGTACTGGTCCATTCCGTTAAACATCAACTGTACCTCTAGTTGCCTACGTTTCATCAATCGCCGTTGGTACTACGAAAAATATTCATTGCGGTCGTTCACATAAGTTCAAACGATACACTTACTTCGTACCACGCCTAGAAATGCTCACGTCTTCACAATCGCGTACATGGGATACCTTTTACAACACTTACCCTTATCTGAGACGTTGTTAAACCTGTTTGATCCACGAGTCGAGCGACTACTTCGATTGTAGCATAATTATTCTACGAAAATTTGCTCGACTCGTACTCATCTGATATATAGTAATATCTCACCTTATTGAATGCTGTCCGTAGTATCTCCAGCTGCGAATTGTTCAAAGTAGTCCGCCTGCGTATCATCCCTTCGATTTTCGATTTTCGCTTCATATGCTTGAATGAGATGGATTGAACAGATGGACAGAAGAAAGAATAAACGAACGGCGTACTTTGATAATTTGTTTCTAGTGTTTCGCTACGAAAAGTTTATCAAAGATGACGGTCAACAACAGAGATGTATCAGATCAAACGCCTTTCATAATAAAAGTGCCCAGTCGGGCCATTATGGTACATCGCACTGACTCCAATATGGTGATCATCCACACTACGACGGATACACCTATTAAATTCATATCCTTCGAAGTTGGATACATAATCCTACAACCTATAACGCGTACAACATGCCTCTGTTGCTTGCGGGAACTGCCTCTTAATTCAAGATATGAACATCGCAGAACGTCAATTTACTCTCACCGCAATTTAAATTCATGTTATCGAACAGTATCAAATGCTTCACAAATTAACTTCAACCTCACAATGTTCGCTGAAATCGTTCTGAGATTTACAACGTTGTGCAAGTAAGTAAACATTAATTTCTCGTAAAATAATTTGGACTTACCTCGATTTATTTCTACGTTCATAGTATGCAACCCTATCTACGTTTTCCATCAATTATCACCTTACCGAGGATGAGAGCGATCACTAACCTTTATGTGATAAATAGAGACATACTAGTAGCAGGAGTAGATGTGATTTTGTGCGTCGCATTGTGTCCCTTCATAACGCCAGTTCGTCACTGACAGCATTTCGTACAGTTCGTTCAGAAGTTGTTTTCGTACTGATATGAAATTTGAAGAACGACACACCTTGAACCATAGCCAAATTCACTATCATCAGCACAATTAATGTTCTGTTTTTGAGTGAATTCGGAGACAAGCTCTAAACATTGTTTGCTGTACCATCACAATTTGTTAACATTATTCGTTTAATCGAACAGGTACCCCACCGTTTTTGAATCTTCAACGTTTTCCACATCTCGCATTTATCTGACTATATGTGCGTACAATCATGATATACGTGTAAACGTTCTGAGAGCAATCCCAGTTCAAACAATGTCGTTAGTACAAAATTATTTATCTCGTGAGCATGCGTACAGGTAAGTTTGGCTAAAAAATAAACGACATACCCGGCGTGCAACTTGATTTCTATTAGGTGGACATATCGATCACAGAGCATTTGCGCAACTGCAAATAGAACAATTTAACTAAACGTAACAGTCGAAGTATACCTCAAAAGATTTTCTAATAGTTCTTCTCGTTCAAGGCAACAACAAAATCAGCAAAACATACGGTGACCAGTAATCTGGTTTGCAAGTGGAATTACCAGGGAATAAAAATCTTGAGCAGCATTGGCACGTTAAGTGTTTGCTCACCGTATCTGAAAATGATAACAAAGGTGGGATTTGTATCAGATTTTCGTTTAATAACAGAGCTTAATGAGATATATTTATCCAAGTACAAAATCTGACGCCTTGTATCCTTACAAAAGCAAAAGCAAAATCATGCATTATTTGCGAAAACAGCCGAAAATGAGAGATGAAGATACATACCGGTATGACCTATGATTCTTATCTGCATTTTGACTATCACGATAGCCCCAACCATACAAGCCGATGAGCTTGCAAAGACGATCGACAAACATGGTCAACGCGTTTCGTCTTGTAAGCTATGGAATCGCAGATGCTCGGTTGATCAAAAGCAAAATCGAAATTTAGTTGTTAAGGATGACGACAAATGGCCAACAATAGAGTAACAAAGAACGAGTTCGTATTCGTTTGTCGCATAACAATGTAAGGTTCTTGTCTTTCGCAGAAAGAAGCGTTGGTTGAATTGATCATTAGTTGACCTGATCCTGCTCGAGAACAAATAGAACCCACATCGTTAACATGAATTTCAGCGGATGAATATGCACCAACAGATTATTCTGTTTTTCCAGCAATGCAATGATGTATGACAGCACTGTAACAGTAACAGTTCGTTGTTGCCACTGCTACATCACTATAAAGTTGTTGGTATATCGGTCACTAGTTTCTCATATCGTCAGTTGGAAAACAAAACATGTATCAATTTCACTCACGATGTCCTGTTACAGAGGAATGACACCAAGTTAAGCGTTCAATCATTTCAAGTTACATGACTATTTTCTTCCATTGATAGATTGGCTTCATCGACTTCGTTCCTCGACTGCTAAGTGGTTGCTTCGACCGGAGACAATGTTCAGGACGAAGGAAAAACGTGACTCCCACGATCAAATGTCATCTTCTCTGTTTTACTTCCTGCGAAAAAGGCGACCATGTACAATCCAGATACACAGAATGAACCTTCCTAAATCTTGACTGTCCTCCCAGTAACCTTCATTGGCGTCGTTCCAAATTCCAAAATCAATGTGCAACACGTCAGATTCTTAGACTACGAGAAATTGAGGGGCGCTACAGCTGAAACCGTTTGTCCTGACCTCTTACTCGTATGTTCATGAACTCATGAATTTGCTCAAATACCTCGCCACACAGATATATGTTCAATGTTTGATTCAATTCCTCCCATCTCGACGACGACGATGGTACCAATGACATGTACGACTTCGCTCCACACGATGTTCAACATCGTTAATGAACCTGCCAATCACTCAACTTCTTTAACCTACAGGCTCGTCGATATAGCTAGCAGTAAATTCTATTTGGTATCTTCCCAACTCGCCATGGCTCAAGATGGACCGTTAGTAATGGATTCAATTCATCATCTTTCTTACTCGCCACAACTCAACAGGTACGGTTGGTTTCATGAAAAAATGTGTAATAATTGCGCGCGTCCTCATTCTCCACCCCGATTCCATATGCTGGTATTTCAGAACACATTTTAGATTGTTGCATCAATTTCTGTCTTCATACGCCGCAAGGCATCTTGTTCACCTGAATCTTCTGACCGCAACGTTGGGTGGGTATTGCAGTAATGTATTACGTTCTATGTAGTAGACGATTCTCCGTGGTTGAAAGTGAAGGTACGCAAATGCTCCGATGCCCCTCATACGCACTTTACTGACTGATACCTACACCGATCGTAAGATTTACAGGCGATTTATACGTATCATCCTGAACATTCCCTGCTTGATCATTATCGCATTTGCAACCTTTCCCGAAAAGGTTTCATGTAATTTGATCTACAGTTCAAGTTTCTCTTCATGATTGACAATTAAAACGGATACTTGCATGTGCACCTTTTATGGTAAGTCGCAGCGAAGGAAACTTATGTCTACGTCTTGACCTTGTCTAACCCAGGTGAAGTTTTCTTTTTTCAAATATAAGCGGGGTTGGTCTTGAATGTGTTTGCATCCGTTAGTGACCTCTTCACGCTATTCTGAAATGGCCTCAAAAGAAAAATCGTAATCACTGGTATAAAAGACACAACGCTGCTATACCGGGCGGTCAAGATTTCGACAACGAACGTCCTACACACTTGGCAGAGCTGTGTTTACGTTTACTAAATCGAAATTAACCACTTCAAATGTAGAATATGCAACAGAAACCGTACCACAGTATAAGACAGATTCAGTCCTTCCTGATGATCAGATTCACCTGACTCCTGACAGTGAGTGTATTTCCCAAATTTAATCTATGAGTTCGTCGAACCTATCTCCTTCAACTGAAACGTACCCATTCGACAGACTACAACGGTATCAGAACATGAAAAGTTTGGACAAACGTCTTAGAAATCATGTTATTTCAGATTTCAACGCTTTCGATCAGTGGTACGTCTGCAATGTTCCTCCATCCTGAAATTCGCTCAGAAACTCTAAGAACCAAACTAGAACAATGTTAGCTGTTCGGAATTATATCAAACCAAGTAACGTCGTTCTACGAGATATCACGAAAAGTCGACAAACATGTTCAGTATAGATCTGATGTACAATCGAATGACTTGTTTTCGAATGTCCAGAAGATGATCCTACCAAAGTAAATTCTTACAAATCCGATTCCCTTCGCTAATGCAACGTATCTATAGACCGAAAACACCATGAATTTTCACCGTGTGCTACTAACGTTATGAGTTAAACTTGCGTCTTCACCACCTTCATCAATGAGGTCCATAATGGAGCCAATACTCGAGAGCGAAATCGTCTGCGGTATGCAATTGACATATTTAAAGTCAATTACGCGTGTTAGTTAATATTTGTCGACCACAAACTTACAACACAACGTGGAAAACATAAAATTTTACCGGAGGGGTATGTAAGTACTGGATGTCCATGGCACACATCTCAGCGCAATGTGCGTAGCATGGGCCGGCTGCTCCTCAATGGCACCGTGTCGGTTAACCTACCTATCTGCCTACCTACCTTTAGCTTCGGATACATCGTCAATCTGAAAAATATGATAGTTTCCGATAAATCTGAATATCTCAGATGATGTACCCATGTACCCTACAACGTCATAGTCCTATTCTATCCAAGCTGCCGGATTCATTACCTGTGTGGTCATGATCATAGAAATTGCACTGCGAGTGGAAGTTTCTATCATGAAGACATGCACAGTTATCGTTCTTGACCATGCTTCTACTAACTAACGCAGTTAGTGCATAATTCGATTCATGCATACCAATCTAATTTAGCTTGCAATGGCCCACCATGTGTAGAGCTAAAACCGTTCTCCAGCCATGTAACAGTCATAAAAGAACTTCGCGTTTTCATCGGAAACTGTCATCGGGTCTTCATCTAGATTCTATAGATCGGTCGTTTCCCACGTCATGATAAGTTACCGAATGACCCCATTCATTCAATTTAAGCTTTCCTACCCTGTCGACAATATAATTCACAGGCTATGCAAACACAGACGAAAAGGATGGCGCGATGAAAAGCGAACGAAACTAGAACTTAACAGGTAAACATGGACACTGCTGGTATACAGTACAAAGAATTCGATATAGACATCAGTACAATTTGAGCTCAGTGCCAGCAGATAAGCAACTGCTATTTTCACCTCAAAGCACGAACACAGTTCACGTTTTACGACACAGATCCGAAATCAGATCCAACAAGTTCAACCCTTTGCTTCACAGTACGGCCAACCAAAGCTTTGCGATGACCTGGTTAAGCTTAACGATGACATTGCCATTCCATTATTCGGTATGTCGTTGATGAAGGATCCCGAAGGGTAGAGGCACCAAGCTTGCGATGGAGAGGGAGCACATTGACCTATCGTCATGATTATCAATTGAAGGCAAAAAAACCCACATAGTACTCATTACTGATACCTGAGATCGCTCTTCCTTGACTTTCCGTCTCGCAACAATCAAACTCATTCCGAAAATCGACTTGGCGTGAGTCTGCACATGGTAGAGATGATATTGTGTTCACAGAGCTCATCATTGGATCTGTGAAATCGCACTGACTATTCGCGTATCCTGTTCGAGATTTTCAGTACATCTACCGTATTCTGACCACCTATCGTACAAAAATGACACGTACTAAGATTTTGAGAAGTATTTGCATCGCGTGCGTTATTCCAATCACCATATCCAACTTGCAAAACCTCCGACTGCGTCACAGATGACTCCACAGCAAAAGTAGAATTTTGCACAAGACGATCATATTCGTTGAAAAGCTCTTGTAGAGTATATTGACGAGATTGTTCTGGAAGGGTATGCATCGATATAGCTCGAATACTATAATGCAAATACTCACCAAAATCGTGTACCGCATCGAGCTCATGTTTGTGTTCGCATGTCTCGTCAAGATTTGGGTAAAAGATTGGTTCCACTGGGGATGCTAAAACTTCATTATTCGACTGGTCTCCCAACGCAACGCTCAGTTCATTGAGGTAATCTTCGAACGTATACTGATGAACTACATCGTTGAATGAAAGTCGTCAATTTTCTTCTATTACAACAACGCAAAGCTTACCAAAGTATTGATATTCATCTTCGAACGAGGTGTAGTTCTGGTTCGACACCGCAGGTACATTTTCATCAGAAAATATGTCAATGTTTCGACAGCTTTCCGCGATAAGCGTATGTGGAAACGAATCGTTGTTCGCGATAGAGAACATCTCCGTTCTGTTCATAGTATAACCATTCATATCTGGATCGCATCCGACGTGACCTAAGTATAATACAATAAGAAGTTGTACTAGTAAATAAGAAAGATACCACCTTCGACAACTGATCGATCTGTTGTCAACAATTGCTCACTCGATACGTCCGCGAATCTGTGACCGCTACGCATAGAACAAATGTTGTTCTCTCCGGAATCGTTTGATTCTTGACGCGCAACGCCGATAAAACCCAACTCCTTGAGAACAACCGTTAATCAATGCATATCAATACGAAATATTGCATACTGCCTTGCTTATAGAACATTCGTTAGTCGACATCGAATCTACATCCTATTTTTTTTTTAAAAATGTCGCAGAACGCAGAACAATGGAATAAAATATCGTACCTTCATAGCTACACTGGCATTGACTTTGCTCGAACGCCTCATATTGATGCACTTGTATATTTTGTACCATTCGAGAAGCCAATCGAACTGCTCGTCCTCCAAAAGCATGTTATCCATAATATAGTATCTTTTGACGATGTTCACACGACTGCATTTGCCATGCGTACCGCATTGGACACAGTTCAGAGCGTTATCACGAATACTACACGACTGTCCTATCGTCGGACACCTTTCGCATTTCTGAGTGTCGAAGTTAACAGCGTGCAAGAATAGTAAAGAAAAACAACACTCACGATATAACCATACCTGTTGTTTATTGCCCTCTTTTCTTCCCTTGATAGCCTCGCACGATAGGCAGTAACGAAATTTCTCCTCAATTCGTCTGTCGCCCAAACGGGACTACCCAATTCCGATAACTGTATCGATTAGCGCACTTGTACTTATATCCAGAAAGTAAACAAAAATACGTACTCTTTTTCTCCAGCATTTTTTTGTTCCAAATTCCGGATATGTTCGTTCATTCAGCGACAAAGGACGACCTTGATACTGGTCATGCTGGTAGTAGTCATCCATTGGCGATGGCGACGAGAAGGAGAAAAGACAGAACACGCGTGCGAACAAGTATCTGGTAAAGAGATCTTTGTCGGAGAAAAATCAAAGCCACCCAACGTCTTTCTAAAATGATAATTTAAAATTACGAGTCTAGAGCCCGTACAAATACGCATGTCGGACCCATATCAGTAAAATGAACAGACAAAATAGCAAAAAAAAAGATACAAAACCGTTCAATGGGCGATGATCCAATTGACTCTAGCGCCATACTATCATCTATATCCTGGAACTCCACCGATGAATCTTCTACCTTATTTCCGAGGGTACATGCCAGTTGAAAGCATCAGAAAAACCCTCTGATCTCGTTTCATGGTGTAGCATTGCTGTAGAGTAAACGTATCATCCGCGACAGACGCTGAAAGAAGTCCGGCCACTTTGGCACGTGTCCTCAATTTGATTTGAAACAATGCCGAACACGTAAAACCTTACCTGCACGTTCAAGCTGCAAATCTCTCTTTCTACCGTTATGTAGATCGTTGCACGGTCAGCAGCATCGACAACAAAAGGTATCCAAGCAGGTCCGAAACATTATGAACGACATCGACCTAATACTAGCTAATACTTCGCACATACGCCGCTCTTTCCAAATATACTCGCTCGGTTCAATTTAATGCTGCTTTTTTGGACCAGCTCACAAAAAAATCATATTATTGCCTGTTTACTGACGGTAACCGTACCAAAATTTTTCTACGATGCTCCCACAGGTGACTTTACACTCTATATAAAATCCATGCTCAATATTGACTTAACAGTTCTTGCACTTCAACCGTTCGTTTCGTCTGCATCGAATCGACTAGAAACACCAGCTTTACCAACAATGACATCTATAGTTGACGATAAGCGTATAGAATTCAATCATATGCTAGGTAAACACTTCGTACTATCAATCATCTGCAGTCTAAAACATCACAGATCGTGCAGTCTCAATTCTAAACGACCGTTGGCCGACCAATATCATACCATCGGTTTACAGAAAACCTGCGTCTGTAACATCATCACATCATTCTGTTCTAACATCAGTCAAAACCACCAACGCCGCATCGCTCAAACGCTTTGTTTGCGAACTTCTTAGATGCTCGCGTTCGTCGTACACCGTGTTCGCTACTGCGTTATGTTATCTTGAAGCAATTCCATTAGAAGCGTTCAATACTGCATGCTCGGAAAACTGGTATCATCAGGATGAACGAAACAGGAATCGGATCGTAGTAGCCGTCAATACGACTGGTAACGAACTAGGAAACGCTCATGTGTGTACTAATTCCACTCAAACCAACATTTCCATACTAACATTCACATCTTACACCAGTTTATCAACGAAGACAACGATAATGCGCGGACTTCACCTTCGCCATTACCGCTGCTTCCATCTCCTCTTCTGTGTCCTCGTCGCACCTTCTTGGCCACCATCATCCTCGCTATGAAGTTCCTTCATGACGGTACATACCCAAACCGATACTGGGCAGAACTATGCCGGCTTACACCCAGAGAAGTAAGCCGCTGTGAACGCGCTGTTGGAAACGCACTGCAATGGCGTCTCTGGGTCGGTAAGAGTTACCCGTCATTTGATGTTAGTACCATCTTACCTGTATAATTATTCAAACTTTGTTCGACTCGTGCTGACTGTGAACAACTTATTAACCAGAACTCATCTGCAAAAAGAAAGTGTACATTGTGAAGAACGCTACTAAATGAAACGAACGTACTTGGTGTCTGACATTGGTCGTTCTATCAGGTGATGCAGTTCGACCTGAATTTTTTCCTTTTCCTTCATGCGTATACCGTTTACAGAAGTCCATGGTCGTGTCTTTCTACACAAATGACTCTAATACAATGTTCCGTACTAAATCGTGAATGTTTCTTTTCTGAGCTACGAACGCTGTAAAGGAAGAAGTTTAAAGTAAGTTTCTGCAATCAAAACGAAGTCCCGTTCTCGCTAAACTCCGAACGAAGATCTCAATCACGTTTACAGAAATTCTGTTTCCCAAATAATCCAGGCTAAGTTTCCATACCAAATCCGTTTCGCAAATTACTTCGAGGGTGAGAAACTGTACCGATATCAGTTGCACTATAAGAAGCAAGCTTCGTTCCATCCTCTCCATCTGTTTACTGTTCCAGTTGAAAACGAAGATATCGTCTTTCGCATCAAGCAAATACACCATCCTCATTGCATCAATTCTGCATTGACTTCGCAGTCCTCTTTCTCATTCGCAGTTCGACATGTTACAGGTATTCATTCTCCTCTCAATCTATTCTATGATTGACTCCATACGGACAGAACGATGTCGTTCATAAACGACTCTATATGAGTACTAGTAATAGCACTGCTGGCACTCGGCAACATAATATGACCTGTGTCAGATACAACGCTCCGGATACTCCAAAAGGCTATATGTAACTTGTCCTTTTGATTTACCATGTCGTCAATGTCATATTTTTTGGCAGTATTGTAGACGAATATCCATTAAACGGCCAGGTCCTCATGATCGATAAAGAAGATGATTTTATTTTGTGGTCGAGCCTGTGGAAAGGTAAGTACTCTACTCAGTGACTAGACATTGCGATCTAACTACATGCATTTTCGTCAGCTTTAGGATCCTGTGAAGGTATGTAACTCGAATACTACCACTCCTTTATATCATACTCAATAACGAACAAATAAGTAAATATTACAAGGATTCTCGAATTACGCCCCGATCTTTCAAGAGCGATACGAATAATAAAGTTAGGGAACAATAAAATACATGGTACCTGGATGCCATTTGAAGTACGTTCCAACTTCTTAACTTAACTTATCGACAACATTTCTTATATTATATCGCACAACATTCTGTTACAGATGGTTGAGACATTGGCAATGAAGTAATCTCTTGCTCAAACTACCGCCTATTATAGGATCCTGATCTAAATTATACAGAATTGCATGGCCTATCAGAGAACATTTAATACCTTTTTTTGGGTAATGCTGAACGTATATAGTTCAATATCATTCTGACATAGATTTCACTAGTCCGGAGTTCCCATCGAAATGCATCGAACCAATTCATTCGCCCAAACACAGCCGAGTATACCACAAAAGGAACACTACCGCACCACAACAAACCCGCAATCTGCACCTCAACACTAGCACTACAACGTCAAACAATACTGTCAATCCACCAAATGACCTTCGATGGGTTTATTATCAAGCTCCTGTCGTTGATCCTTTGTCAACATCTCCGAATACATCACAATTTCGATTCCATCGATCGAATTTGGATTCTTACTACACTGGAATGAACCAAACGCTACAAACAACTGATTCAATCGAAGAGACGCGAAACGCTCGTCCTTCCACTTGTCAATTCTGCTCTTCATTATACTCGAACCAAGCAAACCGATCAATTTCTCCATCATTTCCAACGACGAACTTTCAAACATCCAGTATGGCGTCTGAACAAAGTTTATCGACTACTCCCGCATCGACTTCTGAAAACGATAGATTCTACTATCGAGACGCTACTTCCAACATGTCACCGCGTCGTACCTCGATTATGTGGCCGCCTTTATCGATGTCAAGTGGTCCTAACACCGATCATATCGAAAATGCTAGAGCCATTCTTCGACGATTACAACAAACTGACGACGGGGTCTAATAGGTGCGGTATTCAGCCATTCATCTGCAACGTACGAATACTAATAGCTATTATTTAGAATGACCATGATATCATACTATAACTGATCTCAGAATGTGCTACAAATTTGCTTGCTCCGATTACTGCCTTTCGAAATGTATGTTGTTCGAGATGAATTCAGTTTGTGTTTTTTGTGTACACCCACAGGGCTAACATTCAATAACGATGATTTGTACATACCATACTCATATCGTTCTCCATGATCCTACATAATCTTTTTGATATAGAAATACCCGCTTGTGTCGTTTTGAGACCACACCTTGAAGTGGAACTTTGTATATATCTGTCATCCAGTGTAATCAACACTCGATATAACAGCATAGTCTCGCGGGCCACTGTACGCACTGATATACCCTGCTATACATACAGAGTATACCTTAACATCTCCCCTTATTCCATACGGTCCATTCCAAGGAGCAAGATAAGTTTGGAATATGTTGGGCCATTCAATGCCTTCATGAATATGTTGGTGACGTTCTTGCCTGACCTAATTCCTTGGATGTGTATCTCCCCGCTAGCTACCTTCTCCCAAATGTAATGGTGACACATTTCAATGTGTTTCACCAGGATATGCTGTTTCAAATTTTCCATGAGGCACACAGATCTAAAATTATCCCCCAGCATTTCAGTCAGTCCCTCTTGTCCAAAGTCCACCTCCAAGAGGAATGACAAGAACCATATTGCCTATTGAGCCACCTGCAAAAAACCTATGTATCCGGACTCTGTGGTCAAGAGTGCTACTGTTGCTTGTCCCTTTGAGCTCCATGACACTGGAGCCCTGCCCATGAATAAAATGTACTTGGAGCTTGAACAGGATGTATCCTGGCAGCCTGCATGGTCTGAATTGATGTACATGTAGGGTTTCAGTCCCGCGCCTGGCTGTCAGTCCAACAAAGGAGCTCGGTAGGTCAAGGAATAGTCCAATGTGTTAAGGATATAGACGGCAACCCATTTGACACATCCCCAGTGCTCCTTCCCTGAGTTGAGCTGATAACATGCCAGTAAACTCCCTGCAAATACCAGATCTGGCCATGTGAATACCTGGCCCCACAGTATTGATCCTGTGATGGCTCCATATGGCTTGTCTTCCATGAACACACAGTCTGTCTCTGGTAGTGGGTTTGGTAATTGATGAAGTTTGATGTGTGGTGGTAGTGGAGTATTCCTGCAGCGTACATGGACCAGGCCAAAGTAGGGAGTTCTGGAAGTGTGGAAAATCTGTGATGTGGGCTCATATTTTGATGTTGATTCACTCTTGTTTTTGTGCATTTCAAGATAGATATCCTACCACAACAACAGAAAATACTATCTTTTCTTCACTTACACTCTAAGTAAAATCTGAATCTACAGGCTACAGAAACCTGTCTCTATTTTCACCATGTTACACCAACAAAAATTGACAACAATTTTGTGAAATTTTCACACTCTACCTCTACCCAAAAAAATGTGGATTATGAGGACTCATAATGCACTGCTATGTGCAGCAGCTGTCACTTCAGTATGTCTAGCTGTTGAAAGCCCAGTTTTAGCCAAGAATCCCTTTGCAATTGGAGCAGGCTGTATCTCTACTTTGATCAGCCTGTGTCGTCAATATTGGAATCCAAGGAACAGAATACGGGCGTGATGGAAGGAGAAAAATCTCAGGAGACTCCATAGGATGCTGCACACCAGACAGGTCAAGTAGAAGGAGCTGGATGATGCAAATTTGTGACTGCATACTCGGTATGATTAATCGCCTCAGTGTTTGTATGGTTCTGCTCAAATTTTTTCTCAGCTTTGACAAAGACAGTCTCTCTCACCTCATAAAGGTCCTTCATATACCAGACCCATTTGTGACAACACATTGTGGTTACCAGTTCCAAGCATTTGATGCTCTATGTATACTTTGTGCTCACTTGGCATATCCTGCATGATTGTCTGACCTACAGGCCAAATTTGGCATCCATGAAGCTCATATATCAACCTGCATCAATGATCTCAGCTCTTACATTCACAATTCCTGGTCTCATCTCCCTAATCTCCATCCCAATCTTGTTCACCCCAGCAATCTCGAGCGCTATGCCAGTGTCATTCACACAGGTGGATCATCAACTAAAGTTGCAGCATTTGTTGATGGTACTATCGACCTCATCTGCAAGACTGGTACAAATCAGAAAATTGTATACAACAGTTACTATGCTGAACATGCATTGAAATTTCAAGGACTTTGTGCACCCGATGGCATCATGCTGATGGTGTATGGTCCAATCAAAGGGCGGCATGCAGATGGTGGCCTCCTTGCTGCATCTGAGCTGATTAGTAAATGGAAAAATAAAGGATGAGGGTTTGGTAACCGCCAACTAGTCATCTATGCTGATCCTGCATATGCTGAGAGCGATGTTATCATGTCAGGTCAGAATGAGGTATACACACTTCCTGCCCTTGAGCAACAACTAAACACGAAGATGTCGCAATACCGCCAAGCAATTGAGTGGAAATTTGGAAAAATATATCAGAATTGGCATGCATTTACCTTACACAATCAGCAGTGACTTTTTCTTTCTCCTATCAGTTTACTCTTTTCAGTTGCATGTCTTTTGACTAATGCTCACACATGTTTATATGGCTCTCAAACTTCGCAGTACTTTGATCTTGCACCACCTATGCTAGAAGGATATTTTGTTCATATTTAACACTAGTGCTGTATATACAATTATATGAGCCTATTTCAAACAAGACAATGCAACTACATATTGGGAAATTGATTCTCTTTCTCAAGTGTATGGAAAAATTTGATGTGATGTTGTAAATTGTCTGGAGATGAATCAGTGCTATCTAATAAAATGATGAGAATGGAATAACGTACTGCTGAGGCCTTGAATAGCAGTGAGCATTTGTTTTTCCACTTCCAATTTTTCTCGCTGAATGCTGTTATTCTCCTTGGCAAGCCTGACTGTACTCTCCATGGCATCTGCCTCAGCATGATTTACAACACTAGCCAATTCTCTGAAAACATCCTTGATCAATCCTGATACAGCATTGTATGCTGGATTTCCTGTAGCTTTTATGGCTAAATTTCATTTGTGTGATTGCATTGTTTCAATTGCCTCGGTGTCATAAGAGCTTTCATTGTCCTAGGGTTCATCACTGTCAGACAACGCTGCCAGGAAATCTTCATTCCACCGGCACTTTCGACCTAATTCTTTCTGCTCAAGTGTTTTTATGGCCGCCTCACGTGCTTTCTTTCCAGCAGCTTCTTGAGCTGCCAAATTCTGAGAGTTACAGTTACCTTATTGAGAAGAATCTGACTACAAAACATGCACCTGTTGCTTTTCTAATAAACCCTTAGCTTTCTCTCTCTCTACCTCGTCTATCTCATGGCACAATCCATCCAAAATTGAAACATAACTTGTATATTCACATTCAGAAAGCTGAAGCTGTTTTGGGGCCTGATGTCCATCCTAATGATAGATAAATGTTTATGGCATTAAAGGAAGAATCTTTTGAAGCCTTACATGATGCATTTTGACCATCTGGTTAACCTTATCTTGTGCTGTTTTCTTTGACATTGGTGGGTTCAATCTAGCTTCATTCGAGACTAAATCTCTGCCAAGTGGATTGAACCTCTCCATATTTTACAGCAAATGGTTACTCTGTATGGTTTGCAACTATTAATTTGGTGGCAAATAATGATGTGAACTTTGTTTTTGGTTGCCGAGAAGAAGGCACATCAAGAAGTGGATTATTGTCAACTTCTTGCTCATGTTGGGAAGGGTGAGATGGATTCTTCTTCTTTCTACCTCTACAAGACATTACAGAGTACCAGATTGTGTTAATGAAGTGCAACTAAGAAAGAAAGCAAATATCTCCAACTCACATAAATTCACTAAAAATTCTGTGATAAGTCACATGGCAGAATTTCCGTGCTTCCAGAACTCCCTAGTAGTCAAGCATCCTTTAGAAGTAGGTTTTCTGTGATATCGTTATGGCCTTGGTTTCCAGGTGTTGCCTGATGGTCATTCCTAGAAGCACCTCCATTGTCACTCTGTTTGCCTTCCATTGCTTCCCAAGATCTGCAATGGCTTTGTCCTATCTGGCGGCTGTCAATGACTCTACACAAATGTCATCACCATATGTACCGGTGATGGTGTACTCCACACCGTCCCATTCATATCAGATACAGGGATCTGCATTGGACATAATATATTTGTCTGTTTTGTAGCCATTTGCCACAGTTTCTTGCCAGTCATGGTTCCCTTGCATCATCCCATAGATAAATTTCTTCAGTTTGCAAACTAGTTGTTTGATCCCTGATTGTATAAATCCCTCAGGCTGTTTTATGTACATGTCATGTATAATTGGGCTGTTCAGAAATGCGACAGTGAAGTCTACTTAGAAGATGGATAGTTGTAGTATTGCTGTGATAGCTAGAACCAGTTGCACAGTTTCCATCCTTGCCACACCTCCATATGTTTTGTCATAATCCAACCCTTGTATTTGTGTGTAGCCTTGTGCCACGTACTGGGTTTTTGCTTGAGGAGTTGACCCTGGGAGTCGAATTTAATAGTGTAAGTCCATCATCTTCCTGTTAGGTTAGCTTCTGGTGGTAACCATATGAGGTCCCAGCAGTCCTTGTCTATTAAGGTTTTGAATTCCCTCTCCATTGTTTTGCACCACAAGCTCAGGTACTTCATAGCCTGTTTATATGATTGTGGAACCCAAAGATCTCTGACAGTGGCCGCAAACAAATACAGTGTCTGGGTTATCAATGTGAATGGTGCTTTTGCCACTGTTTCGGTTGTCCACTACTCTCCTCTCTGTTCAGCTGCCTGTTCCCTGACTTGATACTCCCTGCTTTCAATGTACCTGTGTGACAATATGTGTCCTCTTCTGCTACAGCGCGTGGGTTCTAGTGGGTCAGTTACCTCTTCTTGGTGAACAGAAGGTGCTGAATGTATTGGCGTCCCTACTTGTGTATTCTTGGGTAAGGTAATTGTTATAGGTATTTTCATAAGTTGATCCCTAGTTCCACTGCCCTTGATAGCTTCAACAGCAGGGTCATAGGTCTGGTGTCATGGACTGCAGTCTAGTTTGGCTGTTCCCAAATGGTTCCTCTTTGTTTGCATTCTCCACTACCCTTGGTCTACGTGTCTTATGCGGTACTCCCTCCTCAAACATTACGTCATGCAATTCTTCAACCTTTTTTGGCTCTGGAATCCACACGTGGTAACCTCTCCTTTTCATATACCCTAGCAATTATCCCTTTACTGCCTATTGTCCCAGCTTGCCATCAGTGCGTCTCCTCGGGAAGATGCAATATGTCATGTCTTTTGTTTGTCCAGGCCTCAACTGGCACAATGTCCGGGAACCTTGCGGATGGAACAAAGTTGTTCACATATATGAATGTGGATGATGCCTCTCCCCAGAATAAGTATGAGAGCTTAGTGTCTTCTAGCAGGGTACATGTACCCTCTATTACTGTTCGGAACGACCAATCAGCTACTCCATTTGCACCAGATGAATTGTATAGTACTTTCTCAATTGCTATTCCGTGTTCTGCACAATATGTATCTATCAGGCCATTGTTGAGCTCACCCCCCTCCATCTATCCAGATTGCTCTCAGTATTTTCCCTGTCTGTTTTTGTACCATGCCTTGGTATCCGTGTAATGCCTTGACTCCAGTTTCCTTCCTCTTGTGCATTAGGTAGTGGGTGTTAAGATCATGTACATCGTGTAACTGTGCCAGGGGCCACAAGGTGTCTAAGGGCGGAGGGCCAAATGGGACAGTAGTGAAGTTATTAACAACACCACCATTACGCCATTAGTCCTCAAAGATTGAGAGTAGAAAAGAGGAGAACCAGGAGCAGCCAGGTTGGAGCAGTGATAATGCTGATGACAGGAAGCAGACCAAAGAACCTTATCAATCCTAGGGTCAGAGTAAGAAGTACCTCAAGGCAACGAGCCTGAAGACTTAGAGAGTAGCAACAATATAGGGGAAGTCTCAAGTCAAGGATGTTAAGAGGATAATCCAAGCTGGGAAGGAGAATCTAAATTAATAATTAAACTGAGGAACTACAGTATTGTACAGGCAGTATTTATATCTACAGATCGGGGCATCAGAGCAGAGCGCCAGACTAACTACTAGAACCTATACAAGTAGCACCTGCAGGGTAGAGAAAAAGACAATAAGAAGGGACTAGAATAAATGGGTATGTGTAGCGAGAAGCAACAATAAGGAGAACATTACAATAAAACAGTGGATCTTGGAATACCGAGCACCAGAGCGGGGCACCAAGGCATGGACTTGACAGTGGGGCACCCTGCGGTATGATTTCCAGTTATTAAACAGCATCAAATATGTCGCTCCTCTACAGCTCTGTGTTCTCAAGAGACCAAATAGGTCTATATGCACTCTTTCCAGTACCTGTGACTTGTGGGTGAGAACCTCGTCAAAAAGGTGTTTCATAGCCTTCCCATATAGGCAATCCTCACACATTCTGTGTATCTCTCGGCTGGTGATATTCAATATGTCCCAACATTCTGTGCCAAATAAGGATGTCCACTGGTCTGTCCTGTGCATGAGAGTAATTGACCGTTGTACCTCCAGACTTCTAGTATCTCTACCTCATACATTTTATCCTGTCTGAATCCTTCAAGCATTGATTCACCATTTGGTGCTCTTACTGTCACTATTCCCAGTCCCCATTTGCCTCTCATGCCTCGGTTATCAACTGTGGACAGCAATATCAGGTTGTGACTGAATGAGGGTGTGTGCTTCACTCCCGGGAGCTGTATTGTCCTCTCGCCCTCCTCAATTTGCATCATAAACTAGACCATTCTGGTTCCTCAGTATCTGGAACCTTCCCGCTTCTCCGGATATGGCGTTGTTGCCGCCTTGTCTGTGTACTTCAATGTATTCTATAAAGTCCAAACATTGTATCAAGCAGTGCTCCAAGGTGCCTGAGTTAATGAATGTTCAGATTACTGGTACAGGTTGCAAACATAAGGGGGTTTTTCCATGGCAAGCAATACATTTGCTTTTTGGGACTACATCACAGCTAGTTACCCTGTATTCTACATCCTGCTTCCTCCTCTCCTGCTGACCCTTACTCCCTAGAACAGGATTGCTTTGTGTGGGTTTGAGATCAACATTTGACTTGGGTTCCTGGCCAGATTCTAACATACTCAACTTGTTGTTTGCCTGGGCAGACAGCACATATGTAGCCATGGGTAATGTGACTTTGTTGGGTTCCAATTTCGCTGCATTCACGCTCATCCCTGCTCTTGCCTTATTTTGTTGTCCTGCCTTCAGCCATTGTCCTTTCAAGGATGATGAAGGAGTTATAGGATCAGGATGTGAGACGAGCTGGCTGGCTCCCCGCGAGTCCAGCTCTTATTGTGGTAGGCAAAGGTGTTGAGGGGCTTCGCAGTTTGCCCTGATCTACCTTGAAGCCCCCTTCCCATTTCCCACTTCGTCCAACAGTTCCTGCTCACCTTCCTTTGATGAGTCTAGGATGTGAACGTTTCAGATGTCGTCCATTCCCTCCTGGCACAAATTCGTTCTAAAGGACGAGTTGAATCATCCTTACAACCTCCCCCTTGGTTGGCCATCCCTCTTCCTCGAGTTGAATCGGCCTTGGAAGCTCTTTCTGAGCTTCCTTAATCCTCCACTGGTCGTTCCAGTGATTCTGGGTTAGGACAGTCCTTTGCCCAGTGCTCCTTTCATCCACAACGCATGCAGATCTCCTGTCTTTGTCTTCTCCACTTCTCTGCTCTTTCTTTGGGAGTCCATTTCCTCCCAGTATCAGCAACTCCTGCCTGAAGGACTGCTTTGGTTCATTCTCCTCCGTCCCTGCAGTGGCAGCAGTCTTCCGCTCCCCCTCGACCTTTGTTATCATAGTTTTCCTCTTCCCCCCAAGCTGCAGACGCCCTCTGTCATCCCTCTTTCCAGTTGGACCTGTTTTGGAACCTCCCTGTCACAGCTGGTTTCAGATTGGAGGTCCAGACGTCAGCTGAATCTCGTTCCCTACTCAAGGGGGATTTGTAAGAAGCTTTGGGTGCTAACTCCAACCCGGGGAAGCGACTCAGCCATCTTTGCAGTGTTTTTTCGCTGTGGAGGTTCCTCAAACTCTCCGCTTGCGCATGTACCGCTCCGTCCAGCTTCATGAATACTCTAGTCCATTCATCATATGATTGAGGTTCTTCCCTTCCAGTCACAACTTGTAAGGGCAGCCAGGAAGCTACCCCTTTCTTGATGTATGTTACCAGGGCCTCGTCGTTAAACCCGGTCAGAGGAGCGTACTCGTTGAAGCGGATGAAGAAGTTTGCGAAGCTTTCCTCAGGCATTTGCTTCATCCAAGCCAGCCTCCTTCTTGCCTCATCTGCTTCGCTGATGGGTCCGAATTTGGAACCAAACTCCTGTTTGAATTCTGTCCAGTCCTCAAGACAGGTATACTCCCCCCTCAGTCATTGCTGATTCAATGTATTGAAGTGGGAGAGCGCAGCGCCAGTGAGATGACTGGCTGCCGAAGCGCATTTGTCCTTTTCTCGAGCAGAGATAGTAGGACGTACCCCAAACATCCTCTCCAAACTGAGGACCCACATTTTCCATGCAGAACGATCGTCACCTGCGAAACTCTCAATCTTACCAATGTCGAGCTTCAACTCCATGATGATTTGATTTTTCTCCTCGTTGCTCTCCCATGTAATCCGTCCTTCATTGGGGTTCATAGGAGCTGCCTTATGGTGCCAACGTTGTCGTGGATCGTATTACAAGGGTTGGTCAGGGTCATAGCGTGTTGGAGGTACTTCAGGAGCTCCCCTCTGTCGTCATCGTTCCTTCCCCCCTCCCTACTTGACTGAGTGTGTTCCCCTTTGTTGGACCCTTCAGAATCGTTATCACCCGGTCCTCCCGAGGGTGGTGGTGGAGGAGGGGCACCTCCCCCGCTCCTTCCTACCTGTCCCCAGTGATCCCGTCTGCCTTGGCTTGGGAATCTTTCTCGATTTACCTCGAGTAATTTGAGAGGTGTGGGGGAGGCGCTCTATTAGGGGGTTTAACCCCTCCTCTGTCTCCTCCACTTGCAGTTATTCCACCGTCCTCCAACGTGTACCTTCCTCCCTCCGGTCTCATGTACTCCCCAAGCTCTGCTCTTTGCATGCGAGCTCCCCATTCCTGAATACGCATCCTATCCACACTCGAGGTGGTGGGTAGCGGAGCTGTTTGTCCCTCCTGAGGGTTTCCTTCCCTAACTCCCACAGGAGTCCGTCTGGTAAAGGATATTGGCTCTGTAGCTTGCCAGCTTCTTGGCTGGGGAACTACAGGAGAGGGACCCCTCTCCTCGTGTCCTCTATCATTACCATGGGCGCTTGCCCGGATAATCCTGCCATGTTTCCTGTTTTGGAAAGCGGTCCACCAGTTGGTATTCCCTCTGCTGCAAATCCTTTCCTTACCTCACGGAGTTGTTCCTGAAGCGTCTCAATGACTCGAGCCTGTTGTTGGATCATTACTACCGACTCTTGAGAGTGTGCCGAGTTGATGGCCATGCTAGGTCAGTTTGTCTGAGCTCCAGTTACAAAGGGAGTTCCAAAAGGAGCTCCCTGCGGGGGTACCGCCTCTTCGAGAACTGCCAACATTCTTCGTTGGTTCGGAACCCTTTGATTCTCCGCTCCCACTGCCTGAGACTGCATCGATACCGACCCTTGATAGGGTATGACTGATGGATTGCTCAGTCTCGGAGGAATGTGTACAGGGTTGGGAACCAGCCAAGCTGTCAGATCTTGTCCGGAGATCCGGGATGAATGTTGTGCGCCATCCATCCTTACCTCGCCAAACTGGTATCGCTGCGTCGAGACTGGCGTTACCAGTTTCGTTTGCAGGTTAACTCTGGGGGTAGGAGTCAAATTTTGAACTAAGGCATATACAGTGGGGGAGGTTCCCGGGTGTAACTGGGGGCTCCTCGTGGCCATATTACCGGGGTTAAGGACTTCAGGAACCTCGTTATTTCTGGGCAATGAATGTTTCTGTTCCAGGAAACAGCCATCAGAAACATGGAGCTGCCCTTTCTGGTCAAATTGCTCCAGGGGGAACTCCCCTGCACTCTCTGGTTCGCATTGGACCATGTATGAGATTCCCCAATTGTCCACGACCAGTCTGCAACAGAATTCCAAGGCCCTTTCTAGATTCAATCTGGAAAGTTCCTCCGACAGCATCAGACTGTCTGATTCCACTAGTAACATCCGATGTCGGGTCTCCTGCAAACACAACATTGCTTCGGACTCCTCACTTCTCACCAAAAGTTGGTGCATATGCCTCATGGGCGTGTAGGTATAGACTGTCTGTCTGCTACGGACCCGGACAGGACTATCCTGATTGGGCATTGATTCCACTGGGGCAAGGAGGTGTGCAGTAGTATATCTCCTTCGTCTACGATTTTTTGCAGCGATTAAATTGGCATCCTCGTTACATTTTTCATCGATTTTAGCTGCCACCGCTGCTAGGTTTGCATTTCGAAGTATTTGGATAGCCTGGCAGTTAGGGATATTAACCCTCGAGGGGGGAGGTTTGAATCGTACAGCTCCTGATCTGTAATTAGAGGCACGATACAATATCCGTAGCCCCGCTTTGCCGCAGAACTCCTTCTCCCTTCCATAGGTATGAGGGAGGAGGGGAAGTATTCCCCTCAAGTTTCGGAACAATCGCCCATAACATGCCTCTGCCTCTAACAATTCCAACATCCTCTCTGGGTCCAATAGGACGTTGTACAATCAGAGAAAGTCTGATCGGTTTGCCGGGGTCATCAGCCACTGTTGAGCCTTCTCTGGGAGGTCTATTGCCAGTTGAGTTCCCACTGTTAGGAACTGTACTCGTAGGTCTGAGATTTCGAGACCGTCTCCCAATATTTCAATCTCATCGACTCCAATACCTCCCTTAAGACCATTGCTACGTCCTTCGGGATACACTCCTGGATTCAAATAACATCTTCCAAACGCAACATCATTTCTGACAATGGTTGCACTGGGAAGTTGGTCCTGCTATGATGTATCGCATGTGTACGCTCCCAGTTGGGCATTTTCGTAGCTGGACTCTTCAGGAGACTGAAGAGCGAACTTCGTCATCTTGGGGGAGGAAGGTTAAGGAACTGTACAGGAGGAGTCGGTAACCTCCAGGATGACGTCCGAGACTGTTTGGATACTGCAGGTGATACCCTCCTCTCCGGAAGTTTTTCCTGTTGTCATACCGTAAGAGGATCCGCAGTTTCCCCCTGTATCCTTTCTATAGTGGCTACTTGGCTGCTAACTCTTCCACCCGCGTTTGAAGCTGACTTCATGTCTAGCTGCGGTACCGGTCCAGGGGAGGGCCTCTTGTTCCCCAGGTAGGAGAATAGGCGAAACTTCCCATGGGACTACTGGCAGGTTGGGCGTAACCCATGGAGGTATACCTCCATTGTGGTGGTCACATCCCAGGTTCCACGGAAGGGGGCTCCTGAACCGCAGGTTGATGTCCCTCGGGGGTCCTTACGTTGCTAGCAGTTTCGTCCCGAACGACTGTTCTGGGATGAACATCAGACGTTGACCAGCTGCTACTGTGATGACAGTGGAGCTAGCAGCCTGGTTCGACTTTTGAGCTTGTATCGTGTTTCCACGAGATAAGGCGCTCTGTTGTTTCTTCAATTCAAGTTTGGAACTAGAAAGTCATTCTGTTGACGTCGCAGACATTTCGTCACGATGAGTCTGTTTGGTGACGGGATAGCTTAGTATAATGTAAGACCTGGGTCAGAATAGATCTTAGGGTAGGTTTTGGTATAAGGAGTTTATGTTGTAGCATGCTAGGAGCAGGGTGGGGCTCGAAGGGAGCTATGGGAACCATGACTGAGGACGGGAATAACCTAGTAGTGGTTGGAATAGAGAGATGTGACCCTTGAAGGGGCTCCTATAAGGTTCAGGGAGGTCCCTAAGGCGTAGGTAAGGGAGGTAGAAGTACGGAACCTAATAGTGTTGCATAGTAGGAGTTGTACTCGCTAGAACATCAACATAAGATTGAATAGGTTGTAGTGGAAGTGGGTCTGGAGTGTGTAAGCTCCTGGAAGATATATGCCCGGGAGGGGAGGTCCCGGGAACTGGGGCTTAGAGATGGACGTCCTCGAGTGCTGGAGGTGGTAACAGAGAAGCAGCACGTAGTTTGATGTAGGGGGTAGCTTCAACGTTACCTAGATCGAGGTCCCAGAGCTTGTGGAGCTATTGGGGAGCTCGAGGAGGTTTTGGAGAGGTTAGCTCACCAAGGCGTTAGGCGTTGGGGAGCTTTAGTATTGTTCAAGGAAGCTCGGAGACTCACTCGGATTGCTTAGACGTGAAGTAAAAGCATATATTGAATTGTATAAACAATTGTAGAGACAATAGACAACAGTAGAGAGAAACAGAGAGTAAAGAGAAATCCGTATGGTTAGCAGGTACAAAGGGACAGGGACTGGACCTATGCAAAAGGGTGTGTGTTCAAAATATACCAAGCTGGGGCTTGGGAATGTTATGGCACTACTTAAATAGGTACGGGAAGTGAACAAGGGAGCATTGAGGAATCTGGTATGTGTGAGGTAAATGATCGAGATTAGGACTAAATGGGGATTGTTGCAGTGGAAGGATTTATGGAATGATGTATTATGGGGATCTGGGGTGTATTGTCGAGGCTGGGTTGAGGCGGGAAAGCTTATGGAGGACCCGGGAGGTCCTGGGGCAAATGAAGCAGTCCCGTGGGGAGCTAGAATGATGAGGGGAAGGTTCTTCGAGGTCGGTTAGGGGTATGGTAGGTTGGTCAGGGCATGACAAGATGCTCCCACCCTATTTCTTCCAAAACATAAGCTGCATTTTTTTGGATATTGCCATGCAGTTTACCAGCATTGTCCCTTGAACAATGAATCTCTGAATAATTCTTGTTCATGTCAATGGTGAAATAGTATTAGCAAGTACACATATCACTTATGACTCAATATCTAAATTGCTGACACTCCTGTAGATAACAGAAAATAGTCCTGCTTACCGTGATACAAGGTTATGTTTTCAAACAGTATCATCCCAATAGATCCTTCCAGTGATCTATTTTCCTGATCATCGAACAAATTTTTTTCTCTTCCCGAGGTACCTGGACGAATTTCTCCTCAAACAAGAAACAATTGAGTCTATTTTGAGATCAGTTCATATCAAAAGACTGAGTAGAAGAAGAAGCTTCGAGGGAAGATCTGAGCATGTTATGTGATCTTCGTTTATGTAAAACAATTATTATATACGCTAAACTGAATTTGACTGTACCAATCATTTTGCGTTCTAACGATGTTCTCGCACATTCCAATCTCATCAATAACGTCTGACTACTCTGCCACAAGCTCATCCCCACCAAAAAAAAAGTCAATCATGCACCGCATTTGTGTCTATATCACCTAATGCGTTGAAAAGACTGCTAGAATTTACTACAGAACCTTGAAATTAACGATATATCCTACATTAGATAATGAATGACTCACCGTAAGAAAATGAGTTGGAGGCACGTATAACGTTGTAAACATATTCTGCAGTGGAGGTGTCCCCGTATATGATGTTCAATGAATTCGGTTCTTCAAATAAACCGATTGATTCGTAACGCGACCCGCAATGCACAGGAACATTTGACTTGACCGTATCCTGTTCATTCCACGCCTTCGTATATTGCATATCTACCAGGTTGCAGTCACCGACGGATAACTGCGATGAATTATAATCATGCAGCGAATCAGATGAGTGAAATTTGTCCTTGCACGGCGTGCTATTCACGTCGTACATTGATGCTAACTGTAATGTATGATTTACACGAAGAATGGCATTCAATCCAACATACTCATCGCTTACCGCAACGTCTTCTCCTACCACATAATTTGCCGATTTGATAGTAACATTTGATCTCGACGGCGTTACAGTCAACTCATCCACTTTGTACCTCGGGATGTCCACCTGAATCGTGATCAACAAAGAACACGGTAACGAAACTGAACTGAATACCGTTTCTGTATCAGGAAATGTCTCTTCGTACTTATCATCTTGAGTTTTCGTACCCACAAAGTATTTGCTGGGTTCGGTTACATTTGTTGGACTAATGACATCTGCACCAGACGCATCTTCATCATGAACATGTTCCTAAGGGGAAATACTCAGTTAAATAGTAACAAATAGAATTCCTCAAAAAGCTTACCAGTTTTTCATCAGAAAGATCCAATTCACTTTTTGTGTCACACGATTGCACTGACATAAAACCTACGCCCACCTATCCAAGCAATCAATGCATGCAGACGACATAAAAAATATGCGAACCTCTATTGACGGCTTTAAACAATGTTGCTTCCTTGCCTTGCGGTACCACCGCAGTAATTGCTCATATTGTTGTTCATCCACTTTCATAGCGTCTGTGATACGAAGTCGAGTAACAACTGCAACGCGACTACATCGACGATTAGGCATGCATGCCCTACATTTAATACTGGTCGAAGCATCGCATGTTATACCAGCGACTTTGCATTGTTTACAGATCTATAATAGACATATACTTCATGGATACATACAAAAAAATATGAAAACGACGACTTACGATATCCTTATATTTTCAGTTAAGTACACGTCTCTCCTGTATCGTCCCATACTTTCTTCGAAGTGCAGCAAATACTCTACACGTTTCCTGTGTCATCCAATCTCCCCCTACGCTAACATCGTCAACACTGAATGCAACCGTTTTGTGTGACTGTTCGCTGTTGACAACCGAGTCGTTCCACTCGTTGCTTGCAAGTGTCATTTATGCTGATGGGAGTAAGCAACAAAGAAGGAAGGACGTTAACACCGCTTATTTTTTTTGCCGCTGGCTTATAAGAACGAAAACTTCGCCAACTTACTTTATTCTACCAGATTGAGTTTCAAAATCAATTACCTGGTTTGTGGCAGTATCTGTCCGATCCTAATACAGTAGATTTTCAATGAGTAATTGATGACTTTATCCAAAGGGTGCTTCATATCTGAGATCTTTTCTCTATATTAGAAACGCAGAAGATAATCCGACGAAGATTATGGGAAATGTTTCACCTTAACGACTACACGACATCGACTCCCGTGTAATTGCGACGAACAGTGAGTGTGATTTGTTTGTGGTTGGAACAGGATGTAATATCGTCAATGAAGCAGGCGCTGTCATCGATGAAAAAAACATATGTAATCTGAACGAGGTGCGCCCGCCAAGCTCAAGTGGGTTTAGATCAAGTAAGTAACGGGTAGTATTTATATCGACGTGAATTGTGACTTCTATCACAAGCGCGTTGGGGATGGACAGTACATCTGCGAAGTCGTTGGATATCAACTTAAACGTGACTGCAGCCACAAGCGACTTCACCTTTGGCACAGAGCCTCATAGCAGGAAAGGTATGTACGTGTAATCGGCTTTTGACACGCCTGAGGTTAACGGGATGTACCTCAGAAGTAATCGGAATTCGTGGCTTGAACACCAACGGTTAACACCCACCGACGACTGCGAACGGTCCCACCTGTGAAAATAAGAAAGAAGTAGGAGTTTCACAGCAACTATTAGAGTGTCACCTACCCGTATAATATTACTTAGAGCAAATAACTGACAGTCGTCGTAATGTTTTGTAGCTTGGGTTCAGTCAACGAACGTCTCACATTGAGCAACGTGCTCATATTGGGACGATGACCCACTACAACATTAAAAAGACAGACGACCCAAGCAAAGTGTGTGTCCCGGAAGGGGGCAGTTTGTAGTGGAAGGAATATACATTTTTGGCATTTGCACAATAGCTGCCGGAATACAAGTCAAACAAAGAATGATGATAGAAAAAAAAACAACACAGAAGGAAAAAGATAAAAAAAGAACATGAATATGGGCAAGATATACTGGTATCAAACCGACGAAATTGAAATCGTTTCGCTGCTGCAGAAAAAATGAGGTATTAGATAACAACTTTATTCCAGAATAGTGAACGGAGGAATTTCAGCAACTTTTTTCTTGATCCTACTTTTCCATAAAGACAACGTCTGGAGACAACACTGACATACAGTCGTAACATCTTGTTCAAAAATTTCTTCGAGTCGTGGCGACAATAGACAGCTAGGTCTGTCGACGGTCTGAAGAATCCATACAACGACTCTTCCTGTGGAGAATGTAGCGCCTTCGCATCCCAAACGATGAAAAAATGATTCAGATGGAATCGAGTTGATCACTATATCGCGAAGGTTTTTCACCCAACGCTCACGATAAATGCTCTACATTTAGTGATATTGATGTTAATGTATAGTTAGTCAAAGCCATTATTGAACTCGTACCCAATGTTTATAGATATAGGGTGGTAAAATATCAACGACCTCTGATAAAGGCGTATCCATGATAAACGCTAACGGCACCTGAGAGATTAACGATGGAGAATCATATTTCGCAGCAAAGCGCACAACGTCCTTCGTATGTAAGGTGAGATGGTTTCTGTCATAAGAAAAACTGTGAATATTAAAGTTACATGAACAGTCGCACGAATCTTAATGCAAACTGAGTAGCATACATTGCGTTAAACAATCTGTACTTCTCTGCTGCCTCTGCAACCAACATTAGATCCTGAAAACCCAACTTCTCCAGCGCAGGCGAAGGACGCGGATAAATGAATTGGAAGAGTATTTCCAGCACGGCGCCCGTTTCCGACAAACAAACTGTGTCACTATCGATAAACTGAACGAACACATTGGCTGCACATTGCAAATTCTGTTTGTGTAGGCGAAACAACAAATTGTCAGAGGACCTAATGGTGATATCTGAATCATTCGCTTCGACTGCGAAAAAAAAAAAAGGGCAGCACATTAACTGTTGCTAAAGTCAATGGAATATCAATACACCTACACATTCTACTAAACTTATCACCTTCTGAGATTTCGGGATATTTGGGTTGATTTCTGTCGTCCATGCAACGATAAATGTCGATGGAATCGTAAAGTAAACTGTATAAGGCGCTTACACCTGCAGTTTTTCTTCGTTGTTTATTTGTCTTTACTTGTACCAGCTTATTCACCACAGGTCCGGCTGCAAAGGTCCGAACTCTGGCATTGGTGTTCATTCACTGTTGTCATTCACTGTACCTGCATACCCGTTCTTCTTCACTTCAATCCCTCCGGAATCAAGCTACCTTTTATCTAACAACTTATAAAAATTGCACAGAACATTGGACATCTTCAAATATTGACGAAAAAAAATTCATACATTAATTCAATGAAGCTTCATTTCAGATCGCAGAACACGACGTTGAAGTAATCGACGCTGTTTATCATTCCATTTAATGGCCAACAATACCTCCCAAAATCTTATCATGAAGTAAAGTATCAAAGTCGGGAACATTCTCAAGAACTTCGGCCAAATCGTTAACCCTCATCTCCAAAACAACGACAACTCTCAAAAATTCGTATCTCATGTTAAATATGTTGTTACCGGTACATTTGCTTTCACATCTCCTTTCTCTCTATTAACGTAGTCAAATGCAGCCCGTAGGAATACAATTAATTTTTCGAACAGAATATTTTCTTCGAAACGATCTTCTGAAACTGAACCAAGTCGATTTCCTCCGCTACAAGCCCATTGCGTCGCAGTGCACAATCATAAATGTGTTATACCTGCCACAATAACTACTCCATGTATCGTCCTGTACATCGGTCAGCAGGAGCCTCTTCGTTATCATCAAATTTGGGCACCTATACATTATCTGAACAACTGCCGCCTCTACGTTGCAGGAAGTTGCAGTGTTGAAATGACTGCGTTCATCTGTTTACCTCAAATCACTGATAAGCTCAGACGCGCGTGCCGCGATCTTATCATTTCTCATACTAACTCTTGAACACTTCATACGTTCACGATGGCAAAACATCGACGCGCTCTCTACTCATTATGCTATTCGCATTCGATGTCACATATCTGTCCAAATCCTCGCCCTCTACATAACCATAACTTTATGCCAATACGACGTCGACCATCTCAAAAACTACGTGCTCTTTACAAATCGCGGCAGTCATGTTCGATATCACCAACGGATGGTCAAGGATTTCTATACGCGTTTGTCGATAACGGCAATTGTTGGAAAATTGGAATGTCCAACCATTATCAGCGAAGAAAGGCTGAGTGGGAACAACAATGCCCTTGCGCCAACAGAATTTGGCTTCCTCCTATTCGAGTTTCGTGGAGGAGGCGATCCGGTGAGTATTACATTTTATTCGTTCCCTCTAGCCTCGTCATCGACAGCTTCCAGAATCGTTAGCGCATTTATCACTAGAACTCGAATGTTTTGATAGACCTCATATTTACTGTGCTCATTGTATGTATATCTGTTCCTCTTTCTGAACCACTCGACTAATGATATATTCTTACAAAGGCCGCAAACACCATATCGAAAAATTCATCTTCGTTGGAAGTTGGTATTCTGTTTGGAGAACCGTTATTCGTCCAACACTCGTGCGTGCTGCGGTAGCGTAATGGTATGTCTTTTAGATCCTTTCAGCTGTTATAACCTATACTAAAAAACTTCATAGTAACTACAATATTCATAAGACCACTGTAATTGACATATATCAAGAAGGAAGCTGTTTTGTACAAGCAGACGAATATTAATAACGATGATGAGATACGTTTATTCATTTTGAGTCGATAATCTTACCATCCAAACTAATCCAATGCAAACAGAACTTGTACTACCCAATCAAAGTCACCGACAACATCAAGCAATATTGTTGATGTTGAAGCAGATGAGTATCTACAATTTATCTCAACCGAAGATTGACATCGCTCAAGAAGTACCTACATACCATAAAAATAATTTAACTTAAACTTCATGTCATTAATCAAATCTACATCACTTTTTCAACGATGCGAACTTTCTCAACACATACTTAGAATGATTCTCAACAACATACAAGTTATAATGATACCAGAGGTGATCCCTGAACAACTGACACTGCTTTCTTCAGAGTCGGGGAATTGCCGTGCCCGCGCGGCGCTAACGATATGAATACTATGTTTAAGTGACGGTTTGTTCTTTCAGAATGGAAAGTATTATAAATCCAGCAAGCTGTCCAAAGTCATATCACGATCTCAATCAATTAGCTTGTTGTTATAGTTACTACAGTTTGAACAGAAGATGGGATAACGGCGTACCCAGGCTGCATAACAAGAAGGTCTGACATGAAATATCTCTTACCAGCCTCACCTATTACCTGCCCATGGCAGACTTTGCCTTTAGGTTGAGTAAAAAGTTCTTGATATTGACTGCTTATAATCTGGTTTTGGGTAATTTTTGTTCATTAACTGACACTCACGCCTCGTTTTTAAAACAATTTCTGCAGTTGTGGTGTCCTTTGCACACGGATTACCTCCATTTGGTTTACCTACACTGTCTCTGGCAGCAATTCAACTTCCCCCCTTTCTTCCAACCAGTTCTCCTCAAAGGGCTACTCCCCCCCTTTCTTCCAACCAGTTCTCCTCAAAGGGCTACTCCGATTGGCTCAACTTCAACCATTGTTCACTGGCAGGCTACTAGGACTATTAGCTCCAGCTCAAGTTCCTCCTCATTCTCCCTCCCCCTCCCCTCTGCAATCACTATCATCACCACCATCACTGCCTCCTTTTTGCCACTTTTCTCCTCTTCATCCTCCTCCTCCACCCCCACTACTGGCACATTCTCTGTTCCCGCTCCTTCAATCTCATCACTGAACTCGAATTCGCACATAGGGGAAAAAGGCAGTGTCATAGGCAGCGGTGTCATCGGTGGTGTCATAGGTGGCGGAGCAGCAGTAATTATCACTGTTATTGCACTGGTAATCTACTATAGGTCAAAAAGAAGATGCAGACGGCAGTTTCCAAGGGTGTTTAATTGTGATGAGAATTCTGAGCTTGATGATCCCAGTGGGGAAGGTGGAAGAGGGGGGATAGGTGGTTATTTCGTTGCAGCTGGTGCATGGTGCTGTGCACAATTCAGATCTAATGCAGTCACTCCATATTTGCTGAAGTATCAAATAACTTCACCAACGGCACTGACAACAAACTTCCACTCAACATTGGCCCCCCCTGAAATGACAGTACTCAACAGAGGATTCGCTTCTGCCTCGCATAGTGATCATGGCGGAATGTCCAGTGTAGGGTCAATGACATCTCCCGTAGGGGCATTTCATGTAAGGTGTACTACAGATGGGGCCAGGAGCGCCGCCATTGAGACGCCTTTGCCTCCGCAGCAAGAACCAACAGAAGGAGAGTGGGGACCTCAAGTTTTGGATGAAATCCCACCTCCCTATGAGAGTTTGGTGCCACCTCAGACTCAGGATCGGCCTGGAATCCGCATAATGAGCACATGGAGTATGGTGGAGCAGGTGGGACTGATGCCTTAATGAAGTAGGCCAGGTAAGCACAATTTAAATGATTTTCATCTTGGAATCTCATCCGAATTCTTAGTCCTTTTCTCATCCTCTCCCGAAATTTGTTTCCTTGGGCTGGAATTCGACCCATGCCCATGACTTCAGCAATGTTTATGTGATAGTACATTTCTCTTTGCTGCATTTATTTATACATGTACAGTGGAGCTGGAAGTATGTCAACTTAAGTTTGCATAGTCTCCTTGTCCACTTACACACTGCATACATATCTCACTCCTTTTGGTCTTATTTTTTTCCTTCCTCTCATCTTCCATATCTTCTTTGTGTTCCTCCAACCGTTTCAGGCTGGAATAGTCCCTCCTTTTATTCTTATACTTTCTCGATGAATGTTCTTGGATCTTCAACCATACCAATTTCCATATTATCTTCACACACTCATTCCAATACCCAGTACTAATATTGCTTAATACCAGGCCCAATCAGTTTTATTTGAGTATTCCATCATCTCCCGGATTGAAACTGAACGTCAATGTTTGAATATGGCACCCCAACTCAGTTGAGGTAAGAGATCATACACACATACATAGCATATGTATACTGCCAGACCCCCAGCATCTACTCTCACCTCACCTTCTATGATCACTACTATTGACTTTACTTTCTCCCTTTTCCTGCCTAGGTTAGAGCAAGTAATCCTACTGAAGTCAGTCTGGCTGTCTATATGTAGGATATACTGATGGGCTCACCTCAGTTGATACAGAAAGAACTGAGGTGCTTGTGTCCAATGCCCGTCGTGAGATCCTCTTCTACTGTACAGTATATAGTAAGAACACAGTTACAAACCAGGTAAGTCAAAGCATGTCTACCGTGAGTATCAATATGTACGGAGGGAGTATATCCTTAGTTTCATCTCGTAGGGTATTCATTGTGCACCACATGGCACGGACATACATGTATAGTCGGACATTTACTGAGAGTTGGAGAAACAATGAATATGCAAAGAATTGTAAACTTATCACGCTACAAAGGGGCAGGCAGTCTCCAATGTAGAATGCCAAGGGGCTATAGCTAAGAGATTTGCTTGCATACAACAGTTCATTGGGTTGATAAGTGCTTGCATTTCCACTTTGGTGTAGTTCTCTGAAATATAGTATGCACAACACCATATTCTGTGATTATTTTCTCTGCTCCTGAGCTTCCCACATGCTCTCTTTAAGTTGCCTTGAAGTTCCTGTTGCCCTAGGCTACCATTGCTCCGGAATATTGAAGGTGTTCAATAATACCAATGCATGATTTACCAGCATCAATCAAGTGTAGTCTGCACAATTGTTATCTATTGCATTTACATACTGGAGACTGTTCGGTATGTAGTAGCAGTAAGCAGGATTGTACTTCTTATCTATTCAAATGGTTTAGGTCAAAGGAGTACAAGGTCTGTGTTTGTATATCAAGACAGAGGGATAGTTGAGATGACACAAAGAAATTCACAAGGAATCAGGGTCCGGATGAGATTTCACTGACTTGTGATAGTTTGATGCATCGGATGCCCAGTGGGATCCAGAATGAGAGCAGTGTACCCAGTATGAGTAGGCCTCGATAAGGAGATTGATTTAGATCTTGTAGTCAGGCTTGCGCAACAACATTCAAAGCAATCCGTGAGCCATTGCCAGTGTATTTTCCAAGACTTGATTCTAACCAAAAAGGACTTGGGTGGAAGAGGAGCTTGAACAAGCAAAGGGAATCCATCTGTTGATCTGTTTGTAGTCACTTACTAGAGGTGAGTGAGAGCTTGGGGATGATACATGATGACATACCTCGGTGTCATTATGGAGGGGATTCCTACTAACAACACAATCGACTCCAATTCCTACTCACACCTTCGTGTGAAAGTCGGCAGGGTCGGTGGTGTGATAACACTGATTATCATCCTGGCGTTTATTGTTGATATGTGGTGGAAACAGGTACGGTATAACTTAAAGAGGAGCCTTAGATGGAGGTCTTTGAATTTGAACTAGGCAGTTGATCATGATGGCAGTCTTGATGCTGATAGTAGGCCTGGGATATTCGCAGTGCGGATTGTCAGTTACAATGACGGGGAGGTTGCGCCTGGAGCAGGAAATAGGACGAACAATTACCTGCAGCCGGTGACGCGCGATCTGGAGCAGTCACTCCGTATCCGTTGGAGTTTCACCAAGCAACGTTGACTACGACCTCAAGAGTCGAATCCAGGTCCAAGTTCAGGAAAAACTTCGACTTCATTATCTATGTTGCCTCCCGATCGAGAAATTTCAACAACAGGACAACATACAAGTGCATCCGTCGACATGGGATGGAAAGATTGAACAGCTCGGCGACTGGTACACGGCATGAGCGCGGTGAAAAGCCTGCTGCCCCAGCGACGATTGGGTCAGAGGAGGAATACTAGGAACATCTTGCACATCCATGGAAAAGGGTTCAGTTCGATGCGTCAAATTCATTGGTGGTGGTATCAGGATTGGGGGTAACCGGTAAAGGGTGACAGTAGGAGTCACGAAGCGGGCCGGGAAAGCAATCAAAATCGTTCTCTTTTTCCCACCCCCTTCGTCTTCTCTTTTCTTTTACTTTTTTTAGTTATACCTATCGCGTCGCGTCTTCTATCGTCGCGTCTTCTATCATCGAGCAGGCGATATGCACCCCTACCAATCACAAACCCGTTGGATAATTTATCGACAAAGCCAGAAAACTTGGTACTTTCGAATTCCGCTCTCCGATCCCAATAAATTTGCCTTCAAAACCATGTAAAAATTGGAACCAAATTATCGATGGACTCTGATGCATGCTCGTATGGCACTACGACCTACTCCGATTTGAGTTGGGAAAGCCCGGTGCATTGCAGGAACTTGTAAACAACATACACACTGATACAGGCGTGTATGTCGATTTTACTACTTGTCCAAGACTACTTATATCTTGAATTAGAGAAATCCAAAAAGGGCTGTAGCTTGAGGAATGATCTCTTGAAGATTGTTAACTTGGTCGCGTCCTGTCTAAACCCCAAACCCCAATTTCTGTATGTACCTTGCTTCCTTGAAGTCGAAACGCATCCCATTAAACCTCTTACTTTCAGCTAAAAGAATTCATCTCATCCAGAATTACATCAACAATGATCAATCAAATGTCAAATCGTGCGGGTTTCTACCTTCATTTATGCTTGCCCGGATCGTCCCCAGATGAGGACCCGTTGGATGCCCAGAATACAAAACTACCTTGATTTACATGTGCACCCCTGGCCATGCAGCATGATAGCTGTTTTCCTTGTCTAAGGACCGCTCGCGTCACTTTATAAGAGGCAAAATATGACTGGCGCGTACTATCACCTTTTTTTCAGCCCAGTTTGAGAGTGTGCATGATAAATTTTTTCTTCCCATCCACTAGACAGCGGCGGTGATCATTCAGATAATTGAATACGTTGCTGCACAGCTCCGTATATTTTCTAGTGTTGGGGAATGTGAGAACATATCCCAGATGTAACATCACTATGTAGGTTGTCTCCGAAGCGAACTAGATAGTGCAAAGCCATATTCATGGTTTGATGAAATTCCTTCCCTTTCGCAAACGTAAAATCAGCGACGCGGGAAGTCTACATCTCTGGCACTCTCGCTGCTTATGCCGCTCTTGACATCTTTGTACGTTCCGACCTGTTTCAATTCGCCTTGCTAACTAATCTGGCAATCACACCTGGGCATGCTCTCAGTTGCATTTTTCCCCCTCAAGTTGATTTTCTTCAATCCCCATCCTCACTCTCGATCTCATTCCCAATCCCCCTGATTCTAGTTGAATCTACTTCCCAATTTGGATAAAGCGCTCTGTTTACTTATACATCATTGCGATCACTATTTGTACAGTATGAATGTTATTTCTTGAACAATGATCAGGTATGTCATGTTGCATTCCTGGCCCTTCCACTAATTAGATCCATGCTCAACTCATCTGCAAAACATGTATACTCGCCAGAGCAAGGATACTAGCTGGAGAGCGCTCTCCAGCGACAAAAGCACCCAAAGCAAAAATCAAAGGCTGCTCTGGGTGCTTTCGCTGCTGGGAAGTGCTCCCAAGTGCTCTGAGCTGCTTTCGGCTATTTAGCCGAACATACAGGTTTTGCAGATGTTTGGAGACCTAAACTGGATCCGAGGCTTGATGTGAGCTATCTATGACCAATCTTTACCTTCTTGATTCGGCAGTGAGCATCACCCTCGATGCCCATTACTGAACAGAATAGATGGCACATCTGTTCCTTAACCTCACTTGGTGTGTGGTACTTTGGACAAAAGTGGACTTGAAGGTCACCGTATGCATCAATGGCACATTTTCTACGGATGACAACGGCGATTGAAATTGAATATCACGATAGAACACCATATTCAAGAGACTATTTATGGACCGGCGATCGACGACGGGAACGGTTTGTTCTTCCAGGATGGATACTGCTGTGAATCCAGCAAGCTGTCTAAGCTTTCATAACGTTCTCCTCTATTTGCTTGTAGTTACAGTTACTATAGTATGAACAGAAGACGGGATAACGGCGTACCCTGTTTAACAAAAAGGTTTAACAGGAAAACATCTCTCTTTTGAAGATCTCACCAACCTTACTTACTGCTCACCCATGGCGAACTCTGACAGTAGGACTAGTAGAAGGTTTTTGACGTTAAGTGCTTGTAATCTGGTTTTGGGTAATTCTTGTTCATTAACAATAATGACATCAATACTCACGGCCTCTTTATAATAACCTCTGCAGTTACTCTGTCCTTTGCACTCGAGTTAACTCTTCCATTTGGTTTACCTACGCTGTCTTTGCCAATTGGTCTACCTCCACCATCTCTTCCAACTGGTCTACCTCCAATTGGTTCAGTTTCCACCTTTGTTCCGGATACTAGTTCAACTCCCACTGTCGTTGAGGCTACTAGTGCTACTCAACCACATAAAAGCACCACCAGTAGCATATTCATTTTTTCTTCTTCCTCCTCTTCTATTCCCAGCTCCAGCCGAAGCTTCTCTTCACGCTCCCCCCACTCTGCCATCATTACCTCCATCACTACATCTGCCTCCTCTTTCTCATTCTTCTCGTCTTCGTCCTCTGTCTCATCTTCATCTTCATCCCTCTCCTACTCCACCACCGTCACTGGCACCTCCTCTTTCCCCACCTCTTCAAACTACTCATCAAATTCCAATTCGCACAAGAGTGCAATAGTCGGTGGTGTTGTAGGTGGTGGAGTGGCGGTGATAATTATTGTAATTGCAATAGTGGTCTATAGCTCGAAAAGGAGACCCAGAAAGCAATTTTCAAGGGTGTTTGATGGTGATAGGACTTCCGGAACCAATGAGCCTAGGGTGAGTGAAGGAGGTGGAATAGGTGGACATATAACTGCAGCTGGTACTTGGGTTCAGGTTGACACACAGTTCAGATCCAGTGATGTATGTAATCACCCCATATTCGCTGAAATATCAACCAACAACTCCTACAACTCCTACAACTCTGACAACTCACTCAAGCTTGAGGCTGAATTCACATTCAGGTTCGTTAGGGCATCCTGAAATAGCAGCACGGTTTATCAAAGGATTCGACTCTGCATCACACGGTAGTTGTGGTGGAACGTCCACCGCGGGGTCGATGACATCCCCGACAGGTGTGTCTTCTAGGAGGTATACTTCGGACAGGGCCTATAGCATTGACGCTGAGACTTCTTCGCCTTCGCGGGAAGAATTAGATGTAGGAGAGCAAGAACACGTCTCAGACGAAATTCCGCCTACCTATGAGAGTTTGGTGCCCCAAACTGGTGGGCCTGGGATTCGGAACGAGGGAAGTGGGAACGTAATGCGCGGTGGAAGTAGGAGCGAGGGTGGAGTTGGCGGAAATGAATGAGAGTGGATTTCAGGCCAGGGAAGCACGATTAAAAAGGATTTCCATTGTTCAGCACCTATTCAAGACCTCAAGTCCTTCACTAGAAAACTGTTTGCTTGGGAGAAATTTGATCTTTGCCTGCCACGTCTGGTACTCCAATTTATTTATACATGTGAGGAAAAGCCGTTGCACGGAAGGAGCATGTACAACCTAGAGATAGATTTTCGAGTCCTGCTTACATAGATTTCTACATAATGTGGTGAATGATGCATTCTCCTTCACGTTCCGATCCTCTCGCCTTCATCTCGCATTCCTCTCGCATTCCTCTCACCTTCCACTTTCTTTTTGTATTCCTCCAACTGCCGCTCCGTATGGCGTACAAAACAGTCCCTCTTTTTTTTCTTCTACTCTCGTTGAACGTTCAAAATGTTATTAGGCCAACAAGCTTGTCCTCTCATTTCCAGCTTAAATTCTTCCAACTTCTTAATTCTTTAATTGTTTCAATCTCGAGACTCGATACCCCTTCGGGCCACTAGCATTTGCAGTACCACCTGCAGTGACAGTCACTGCATGGTATCTGCATTCCACTGCAGTGCATCTGCATGCACCTGCATCACACTTATGGCATATAAATGCCGGCATTTATATGTATTTTGTCTAATCATGTTAAGCTATTTTGAGTTCATTTTTGCTGCATGTTCAACTATTTCAGGATATGTCTATGCACATTGAGTTGATATATTGCTTGGTTTACAGATGTATGTAAATCCTATATGCTTAGTTATGTATGTCACAAGCACTTCACTGTACTCACCCATCCATTCTATCTGCAAAACCTGTAACTATGACAGCAAGGGTACTAGCTGGACAGCACTGTTAGGAGATAACTCAGTTGTCTTTGAAGCAACTAATCATTGATGTAGGTAAGTACCTGTTAGGAGATAAATACAGTTGGTTAGTATGACAAATGTACTGCTAGTATACTTGGGGCTCACTTCAGTTGTCTTTGAAGCAACTGAGGGACTTGATATTGCTGTCGGCATGATGTGTCTGCTACTGTACAGTATAAGACAATAACACCATTTATGTAACTGTCCGCTGGTCCTATGTACGGAGTACTTCCCTAACAAGCACTGTCCGGCCAAAAGCACTGAAAGCAATTTCTAGAAACCACTTCAGTGCTGGGAAGTGCAGTCAGTCTCTTAGACAGAAATCTAGGATGTACAGATGCATCTGCATGCTCCTACCTTTTGAATGCATTCACCTAGACTGTAACTGCACACATCTGCATTGTGACTGCATGCAACTGCACTGTAACTGCACACATCTGCACCTTACCTGCACTGTGACCGCATCAGCCTGCACCTTACCTGCACTGTTACTGCATTCACCTGCATTGTTCCTGCACTGACTTGCAGTCTCACTATGGGCAATGAGGCTCTGTACCTTTGCATTGAAATTATTGGGGACTGAAATCTTGCATTTAATCACAAGGCTCTGAGTGTCTCTATACACTACAAGTATTTTGAATACGGCCTTTGGAAAATTATTGAGCCACCAATATTGTGAAGCTACTATCCCCCCTATAATTCTCACAAATTAAGCACTATTGGCACAGTTTATTCTGGGTCATTTGTGGATAGTTAAGATTATGAAGGGGAGGAAGTTACATTGCTGATTTTGGCCAATGGTTCTGGAACATCATATAAAAGGCATGATGGAAATATTCTTGCAATCTCATGGTATTGCCAGATTTAGGTTGAAGAACCTAACCCAGAGACACAGAGCTATGTATAAACACTGGTCAAGGACTTACAAAAACAACTTAAACTAAAGGAGATACTTGATATAAGAAATACTTTGATTGGAAAATTCTAGAGGACAGTATGTGTATTGTTATACATTCATTTTTTGCTTTTTGGAGTTCTCCTTGGCCAAATTGTCATCATTTATCCACTGCTTTCAAAATCCACCCAAATTATTGATGGTGGAATTTGGAATTATACCAGCTCTGTGAACACCAGCTGGTATCATATTGTAGTACAAGAGGATATTACTTACAAAGCTGAAATTAATGATACAAGATACAGAAAGCCTGCATTGAGAATCAATGCCAAGAAACCTGGCAGCGGAATTGACAGAATAATGAGATCACTATCCAACTTCAATCAAATATTCACATATCCATTCAGCCCCTAGAGGCCATTATACTCCCTGTTATTGTCATACAAAGCATTTATAGAATGGGATATATTTTGTACAGTGGAGGATCATCTATTTACATATATATTTGAGTAACTGCAGTGCTACTGCATGTCACTGCATATGTAACTGCAGGACTACTGCACATGTCACTGCATATGGTACTGCAAATGTTCTGTGCCCTACCCCTTCAACTCTCATTCATATTCCCAGTACCCAGTACCCAGTACCCAATCCTTAACACCATCTCCGGGAAATGTGAACATTGATTAACATCCCATATTATCCACATACACAAAGTAAGTATGCTCTCGGTATGTTATCGGCTCAACCACGTCTGCTCAGAAATGACGGCTCCTACCACCCAGCGCGATTGCAGGGACGGTGCTGCAAAAGAATTCAGTACTCGGCCCCGTAGCTGCAAGACGGGGGGAATGTTAATCAATGACGCTATTGATCCGAGGGTGAGACGGAGGGAGGTTTGAGTCGTCGCGAAGAGAATCAGAGCAATGCTTGAATGATTCCGCTGGATGAGAATTTGATGACTGGTAAAATTCAGAATGGGATCAGCGAGAGCAGTGAGTGTAGTGGAAGCTAGTTAGAGTCGAAATCTATATCTCGGAGTGGGTAAAGAGATATCGAATTCATTCAGGACACTATATGTTTTGCCCTCCTTGAGCCTGAGACCTGAGTTTCCGGAGATGAAGAGTCCACGCATTTGTTGAGCCACGACAATAACAGCACGAAAGGATCAACTAAATGAAGGACATGGCAAAAGACTGGCGCAAAATCTTGGGTCTTCTAATGCTAAAAGTGGGTGGAAGATGATCTTTGAAATATTTCTTGGGACAGCTTCCTCGTGTAAGGGGAAAGCGACTCTATTACATCCATGATCTCTCTTGTGCTTGACCTCTTCGAAGAAAATTAAACATCCCAAAAATACAACAACATTTTCTTGTTCTTGAGTCCCGAACCGTATGAGGATTTTGAACATCAAAGATCTTTTCATCAATTTCCTTTCCTAAGCTCTCTATCTCTAAGAGATTCACGAGGGGTCGGTACAAGTCCCATGGCCTAAAATATCATTCCATTTCTTCACTTCACCATCTGCTAGTAGCTACTTTCGGATCCACTGCAAAAGCATCTTTTTCCGCTTCATATCGGCAGCAGCATTGCAGAAGTCATTTCTAAGCTTCGAGTCACTGAGTCAGCTGGAAGGGAAGATCAACTGATGGGGAGGGGAAACATAAAATTTGCATACCATCACCTGATACAAATCCACCTCACAGCCTGCTTGGATGTGCATCAACAGGCACTTTACCAAGATATCCGACTCTACCCAAGTTGCAACAATGCCATCCATCTGTCTATCTTTTCATCTCACCCATCTGTCTGTAGTCATAGTGACCGTTGTAGCCTGTACAGTTGCATATCGAGGGAAAATAAAACTGCAACTTTGGCCGGCTCTTACCCCACCCACCATGTCCAGCGTAACATCACCTAGTGGTACTGGTAGTACTAGTGTTAGTGTAGACCAGTCACAAGTATCAACAACAATTTTTGGTGAAGCTCTTTTTTCAAGTTGTTCATTACTGCTGGGCTTTGGCACTCATCATGACCTCTTTTGATAACCACTGTAGGTACAAACACTGTACAAGTCACTCACCTCGATGATACCTCAATGGCATTGGTTACTGTTCCGTGTACAGTGCTCCTTCTTTATTGACCACATCAACATCAACACTCATGGCTTCCTTGGACAGCCGGGATAGTTGCAAGTACTTCAATTTCTATAATCAGGTCCCAGGTTACTAGTTCCGTTCAACTACAACCCACTTCCAGTAGCACATCTACTTTCTCCTCCTTTGTCTCCAGCTTCAGCACCAATTCCAACCCTGACTCTAACACCATCATCACTCCCACCACCACCTTCTCCTCCTCTATCTCATCATCAAGTGACTCCGATTCCCACATCGGTGCAATAATCGGCGGGGCCGTCGGTGGCTTAATCGCGCTCAATATTGCTATCATTGCTCTGGTGCTGATTTATCGCTTGAAGAGAAGGTCCAAACAGCAGTTTGTAGAAGCATTTGATCTAAATGGGAATTTCGAGCCCAATAGGCCTAGCCGGAAGAGCACAAGAGATGAGATAAGTACTAGGGCTGGTGAACACTTAGCTGTAACTGAGATGAGCGCTGGTGCGCAACCCAGAGGCGTCACTTCGTATCCATTTTCAAGTTCGACTCCGGCACCTCCTGTGATGACGGCTCTAGATGGAGGAGCAGCTGATATACATGGCGAAACGTCTGCGGAGGGTGAATTTGGTGGAAGGAGTACTAGGAATGTTTTCATCCATCAAGATGGGGGGAGAATCGAGCTGGCTTCACAAGATAGATTGGAAGAGGGGGAACAGGAGGAAATTCCGCCTACATATGAGAGTTTAATACGTTCGATTCGGTCTGGTGGATTCTGGAGTCGGAGAAGTGAAATTGGAAGTCGTGTGAGCAGTGGACGCGGTGCAAGTAGGAATGAGAATGAGACTGGACGAAGCGGGCCGGGGAAGTAATCGAAATGGCATTCTCAATCTCGATTAACTCCTTTCCTGCTACACTTTCCATCTTCAAACTTTTTTTTGACCGCTGTTTCATATACCCTATACTCCATTACGCAATTTATCTCGTATTCCTCTTTCCTTGTACTCTTTCGTGGACATTTGCACTGTCTTATCGAACAAACTGATGTTCGAATTATATTCCAATTCCTTTTCAATTCTTGACGGAGGGTTCAGCCCTGTAGCCGCTACAAGTGGTGCACGTGGCGAAACGTCCGCTGAGGAATCAACGGAGCTGGCGACAGGTGAATTTGGTGGAAGAAACATCTTTGTACATCAAGATGGGGGAAGAGTTGAGGTTGAGATGTCTACTACTCAGGGAAAACTGGAAAGGGGAGGGCAAGATCCGGATGAGATTCCGCCAACTTATGAGAGTTTAATACGATTGGTGCGGCTTGGTGAAATCCGAAATGGTAATGGGAATAGCAGGAATAGCAGGAGGATGAGGAGCAGCGGGCGCAAACGGAAGTACTTGGTAATGGGCGGTGAAGAGTGAGAATGAACGAAGCGGGCCGGTGAACTAAATCATTTTCTCTTCTTCCTACCTTAGATATATCGAAATTTGTTTCCTTGACATGTAAATCTGCAAACGTCCTCCACACATAAACTAACCCTAACGCCTCGATGCCGTATTCAGAGCTATTCCTTTGTTCCCTAGCATTAGCCTCTACCAGCCTCTATCGATATCTCCGATTCAGTTCATTCAGCATCATCGTTCCGTGGACGGGTACCTTTTGGCAGCTCTTAACTGGCCTTGAGTAAGCTTTAGTGGCTTCATGAGATTACTAGAATTTTCGTGAACGGACCAGCCCGGTGTTTTATTGATTATCAGTATAGTATAGTAGGATAACTAAGGGTAATACTACTAGGTCCCACTGTTGTGGACTGTACACCTTGCTTGAGATCAAAAATGCGGCGCGCATAGGGCGCCCCGCGAGGTGAGGTGTCCAATTGTAGCAAGATGATTGAAGTGGTTTGGCTGATAATGCTGAAACCAAACACAGCAAAAATGTGCCTGCACATCAAGAGGTCAAATACCGAGTGGAATAGACCTTGCAAGCAAGGTGATGTGCATGTCGTAGTCTCTCAGTGGCAAAGCCAATTCATTCATCCAGACCTTGCTCGAAAAAGCTCCGAAATTGTGGTCTAATAGTGTAGAGGTTATCACACGGGATTTTGATATCATTCTCTTTCTTCTTCCCGTAACCCAGGTTCGAGTCCTGGTTAGACCTTTACCGGTTGCCTGTTGTGTTTTTCATTTTACATGAAACTCCCTCCTTCTCCCCCTCACTCTCCCCTTTCCTCTCTCCCCTTTCCTCCCCTGCCCCTCACTCTCCCCCTTCCTCCCTTCCTAACCCCCTCCGCAAAAAAAGCATGAGAAGCGGGGTATGAAATGGTAGGCGGCAACCCCACTTGGGGGATATCAAGTAAAAGAATATACAGAACTCAAGGGAGAGTCTAAGGTAAAGGAGGAGAAAACGGAAAAATTGACCATTTACGATCCATACACGTCCGCTTATGTCTGTCTGTGGGTGTGTGTTAACGTACATAAGTACCGTTGTATCTAACTAACCAATGGAGGAGCAAGAGAGAGGAGCAAAAGAAATTTGATTTGGACAATTGGTTATGTATGTATCAGATTAAGAACGAGAACTTCAATAGTAACAGAGAAAGAAAGGAGTATTTGGGAAGTGAAGAAACAAAAACCGAATGCGTTAAAAGCACCGAGGAAACAGGAAACAAGACAGGAGGAACTAACAAACAGGAAACACAGAAAGAGCAGTAATTACACAGTAGTAGGGAAAAAAAGTTTATTCATCAATGTTAACTCTATGCCCTTTCTTCTTCAATCCAACTCCAAGAAAGGAACCAGCTTTTTCTTCCTCTTCCACAGGACATAAATCCTTTGATATCCTTTACCTTCTATCCTGTCCATCGTTTTATCTTTATCTTCTTCCTCCGATCAACTACCGTGACCTGACATCCCCTCACGACAAATGGAAACTTCCCAACCCCTCCTTGATCGCCACACCTAATTTCTCCTTCATCACGGACCTGCTCGAATACTCGGGCAGTTTGAGGTAATTTACACACGTCATTACGCTTGGAAGGTAATCGTCCGCAGTCAGAGGCGCTTCGTGTGGTTTGCGTACGACGGTTAGTTGGGGATTGAGGCCTCGGAAACCTTCAATTGATGTGTTGGTTGTCAGATTTGCACGAAGCGGAAGAGGAGGGAGAGGGGGACTTACCACCAATAGGCAACTTCGGACTTCCAGTAATAAATTGTAAAAAGTCCCTTCTCGTACTCACGTCGTACTCTGCCATGATCTCCAATAGGTCCCGGATAGCACGGCTTTCAGGGTTGAACCCATGGTCTGCTTTGAGTGCTTCGCTGAGAGCTGAGAGCAGCAAACATGTTAGTAGCGGCTAAGGGAAAACAATAATACCATGAGAGAGAAAAAAAACAAGAAACTCACTCTCCACAGTCCAATCTTCATCCCCATTCCCAAACAACATCACCAACTCTTCTACAGTGAAAGCTTGGAGATCGCCAATCGGGAACACTTTACTAAATCCTTCTCTGAACGCTTTGGCTTGCAAAGTGCTCCCTGAGCCGAGGATAGCCTTGAGGACAAGCTCGACATATTCTTGGACATTGGTTGTCGTTACAGTGATGTCCTTTCCAGAGGGCTATATGATTCACCGAGAAATTGGGGGTGAATGAATAGATTGAGAAAGCGTAAATTATTTGGTTAGAGGGTAACGCACCTTCAACTCGATGTCGTATCCAGGAAGCGTGAAATCAAGCGCAAGATCTTCGACGGTGACAGTTTCTTCGATTAATGCAAGCTTTTTCGCAAGCTAGGTAAATGATTCGTAATGTCAAAAACAGCTCAAGAGAAAGAACACAAAGTTCACCTTGTCGTTCAGAGGCGGCTGCTTATCAGCAGCGGCGATGGTCAATAGCTTCGTAAGGGAATTGGCCAAGTCGGAATCGACAAGCTATCGAAAGAGGAGTTGAGTGAAGATTCGATTCAAGGTCAACTACGATAGATACCTTAAGCGTCGCGATAGTCAACGGAACCTCTTCTCCCAGTACAAGCTTGAGGAACACTTTATTGAACGACAAGTCAATGATCCGCGAGTCCAACAGTGCCTTGGCTACAAATTGCCCCACTACTCGGAAGATATGTGTTCGTTTTCTATATATTATCATTGATCAGGTGATTTTCAGTCGCAGTAGTAGACAACGAAGACCACTCACTGTCCGCCATCATTGGCCATATCCTCTGCCCCAATTGGTGCCGGGTACAACCCACTCGGATGATGTACGAACGGGCTAGCGTCAGCTCCAGGAGCCCCATGATCCGAGTCTCTCCAAATCTTCAAATCCTTCCTCGCAAATTCCTTCGAAACCAACGCGTAAAACTCCAAAGTCGGTCCCAAACCTGTCCCAACTTCCTCAAAGTACTCCACCTCGAGCACTGAAGAGGAGGAGCCATAAAGTTCAAACACTTTGACAGCACTTTCCAGGATGTGTTTTCTGGAGATGCGAACTTTTTGACGTTGAAGTCGTCCGAGAAATCCGATCCCATCGTCCCGCCGTGAGCTATCTTGGCCTCCACGAGCTTGTTGTGATTGCCACTTGAGGATAAGGCGAGCATATCCGAAAGAGGTAGATTGGAGGAAATGGTATCGTGTGGCGAAAGGAAAGAGAAAGGGGAAGTGTTGAGGAAGGTCAAGAGCCCAGTCAGGTAAACAAGAACTAAAGATATAGTAGGTTCATTACACCACCACACATCCAGGGATGAAAATGACTCACCTTGCAACAATCATGGTCTCCTCCAATTGACGAGTGAGTTTCGCGCTCAGCTTGTTGTTTACAAATGCTGTTTCCGGAAGGTTTCGTTTCTCACCACCAAATAGTGTACCCTCTGCTTCGAGAGTATTCAATTGATACAGAACACGGAGTAATCGAACAATTTTTGCATGTGGTGCGTCCTCGGCGAGAGAAGAGAGCGGGGGCGTCGATGAACGGGGCTTGATGCCTGACTCGGAACTGTCTATTAAAGAGATTTTATTTAGATATTCACAATGCTGACCAGAAATCACTTACTTTCAGAAGCTGGAGTAGGCCCAGGAACCTTCTTGAACTTGATGGTGTACACGCCCTGCCAGAAGAGACTTGGAGGTACAGACCCTGTCTTCTTCCTCATCTCATGCTGATGTATAGCTCCGTAGATGGTAAGATCTAAGGGAAGGACATGATCGTCCATAGCAAACTCTAAGTGCCAATCCGTAGGCTTCGCCCTCAAAGCAGACGCATAGGAAGGTCGGGATGAGGTAGAAGGTTTTGACGAAGCTCCCTGATTCACCGATATATTTGGGTTCGGCGTTGCAACCCTTGTTCCATCCGGAGTCTGAGCCTCAATCTTGGAACCATCTTCGGCAACAGACAAAGTGACCGTCTTATCTGATATTGAGTTGTCAGGATCTACCTCTTCCTCGTCAAACACCTCTGCATCTAACTCTTCGTCCGAAAACTCGGCCTGCATTTCAGAATCAACCAAGGTCTCACTAGCTGACTCTGCAGCCGCGGGGGGAGGAGGTGGCATTTCGGGTTCATCTGCGGCGGTGTTAGTGGACTGCATGACGGTAGAAGCATCATCTACTCCAGAGGCTGAGCCCAACTTCTTCGCGCTGAGGCGTTGACTTCGACGACGAGTGATTGTAGAACTTGAACTACCGTCCTGTGAGGTAGATGCTTCTGGTGCTGGAGGTGGTGCTGATGGTGAAGATTCCGATCTGCTAGGTTCTCCCGACGATCCACTGACCCGCGACGATCCCGGGAATCCTGAAGCGGCTAGAGCAGCCAGCATGCCCGACAATCGGGAGCCACTATTACTGAGCACACCTGCTACTCGGGGGCGGAGATAGTCGTGAAGTGCCTGGAACGTTGCGATAGCGTGTATGGAAACGACAATGTTTTGTAGATTCCGAGGAACACCTGAATCGTCCTCAGCCACCAGGCGAAGTCGCAATTGACGTGCAAGCAACGAAGGAGAACTACGCTTAGAGTCTGGAAACACGAACTTAACCAAATGTACATAAGCAACATGCAACGTGTCTACTTACCGTCTGATCCTTGGGATACTGTGATGACGTCGAAGGATTCCATTCTGGTGAAACTCTCTTGCAATTTCTTAACAAATGTAGAAAAAGGTGTCTGCGAGCTCGACAAAGTTCTGTTTTTCCGGCTGACCAAAGAATCCAACAAAAGCTCCTTACGCCGAGCGAGAGACACTACACAGGGCATTTAGCGTTGATCACAAATAATCATAAGAATGTACCTTTTCGATCAGTGTCAGTGGCAAATTTAAGCAAGCCGTCAACGAGACCACTTTGTAGCAACTCAAAGCTGGAGACAGATGTATGAGGAGCTGCAAAGAGCGTGGTAAGGTCCCACAACGCTTCAGACAGCTCTTGTTCACTAGCATTTGGAGGACTAATGCGGTCAACAAGTTCTTTCAAAGACTGGAGCGTATGGTCGCTTTCTGCCTGATCGTCGCCTGACAAATACTTGAACTTCATGATTCGAGCACGCAGAGTAATGGCATCCTCTGGGTCATAGGCAATAGATGAAAGCCTTTTATACCCGGGGATAATTGGTGCTGAGGATGAAGACGACACGGACGTGGTAGTTGATGCACTTGCATCAGGAGTCCCTGTATCTGAAGTATCTTTATCTTTGTCCTTGTCCTTGTCCGCCCTTTCTTTCTCCTTTAGCTTCGAAGAGGCCAAGGAACGTGCAGCCAATGTTTCTATTTCATGAAAGACTCCCTCTCGACGGAAGGTGGGCTTATACAAAGAAGGCACCTTGGATAGGAGGAGATCTACGAGTTGAAGCGCCCCAATTACAAGGGTGGGATGGTCCCGAGATGAAAGGATAGAGGATGCGAACCCAGCAACTGGTACAAACTAAGAATATATAGTGAGTTCGAGATCGTCTCAGTGGAAAAGGAATGCTCGATACCGTTAAAACTTGCTTCAAGCCGTCTGCGTCAAGGAAGCTAGCAGCTTTGAGCAAACCCGTCAGCGTCTTCACTCTCACCGGGGTATTCACACTTGCAGCGTAGACATCAATGAGGATAGGAACTGTAAGCTGCATGAACCGTCCAACAACAGCAGGTTTGGAGCGCAATAATTCTGTGCGATCTGCAGTAGTATTACTTGATACATTTGAAGTTGTTGCTGTGTGTTCTGATGCTGGCTGTTCTTCCGGTGTAGGTGATGGAGCGGAAGGCGGAGTAATCAGTAGTGCCGCTACTAAAGGAGCTTGCACAGCTGCTCGAGCAGCTGCCTTATCTGCCTTGGCTTTCGCTTTCATCATTTTTGCGAGATTTTTCTCATTATATGCCTTGTGGTCGAAAACGCCATCTGAAGAAGTAGGATAAGGAACAACCATATGCATAAGTAGGAAAAAACTGGCCTTTGGGTAACGGCGGCATTAGTTCCGAAATGAAACTAAGGGTCTCCTCAACCTGATCCTTCGGACGATGTGCCAGATTCTCCATCACAGTCATGTCTGCAAGCCCCCCACCTAACCCTTGACCGCCTGCAGCGTCTCCTTGTTCCGAAGAACTTGCTGATGTTGACGGCAACACACCAGTGAGAATTTGATACACTGTATCCACGATATCGGCCTCGAGAAGAGCGACAGTAACCTTCGGACTAGCCCGGGCGGCAGTGGAAAGAGCGCGGAGAAGCAGAGTATATGTGTTCGGGGCGATCAAGGGCGAGCCCCCGGCAGGCATCAATAATTGATTAACTGCTCGAATGAGTTCCGTATCCACCAGAGATTCAAGGTTTTCAACAGACGATTTGTGGTAAGAGTCTATCACGCGAATGACACAGAGACACGCAAATTCAACAAGTCGTTGATCAGAGTAGGAAAGACAGTTCCTAATGATTGGCCAAACGCCGCTGATCATAGGGAAGTGGTCCGAAGAAACGTTGCGACAACAGTTTGAGGCAGCTTGAAGTGCGGTCCTTTGCACAGCAATGGAAAAGAAATCAAGGTAATTGAGAAGCGCTGCGAGACCGCCCTCTCGAACGATTGAACTAGGAAACTCTTCAGATATCTTCTCCATCGTCTGAACATACAATTATGAGTCACTGTTTGCACAATCAATAACGGGCACGTACGCTCAATGTTTGTTCCGCTAGGTCAATGTATGAGATCTCAATAAGTTTGCTGCACAAGACAGGAATCGCTCCATGGTAAACGACGGTGTGGGCGACACCGGGCAGCGCTTCCATCAAATTGGCCAGACATCTGCAAGCAAGCACTTGAGCTTCAAGATTCTCATCTCCAGTGTAGGTCCCGCCCGTGCTCATAGCCAGCGCAGCCGCAAGGGCGGCATCCTCGTCCCGCTCCTCCTCCTCGTCGCCCTCATCGTCATCTTCGTCACGGTCCGCGCCTCTGCCACCGAGGATTTTGACGAGTTCCCGCACGAATGCTTCCACTTGAAAGGAACCGGCCAATGTATCCTCAGTGCTGATACTGAGCAATTCACTGAGCTCTTGCAAAGTTACAAGACGAGTAGTGGGATCGGCAGTAGATTTGATGTTATTCAACATGGTCTTGAGACGCGATGATAGCGACATCATGTAAGAACCAAACTGACGGTAGTCACCAAAGATAGCCAAAGCAGCAGCAGCATCATCCAAGCCACCTGGCATACCACCCTGGGCAGGAGGCGAATCATCTTCGTGGTGGTCTTCATCTTCATCATGATCATGTCCATGCCGGTCTCCATCGTCATCGTCATCATGCTCCTGCACATTTTCGGACCCCTCTCCCTGTCCCTGTCCCTCTTCCACATCTTCCATTGGCTCCGCAAGATTGTCCTCTTCGTGATCTGATTCTTCAGGTTTGATATCTGGATCAATCATATTGATGTCTTCATTATCATGTTGCGACGATTCCAACTCGGCCATGACTTTAGCTTTCGCAACCATCTTTCCTTTGGTAGTAGATCTAGGCGGCACTGATATAAGAAATACAGGGATCAAAATAGATAGATTACGGACCTCGTCTTTCTCGGCATGTCAAAAGTAGAGCTGGACTGGAATCGGAAACTATGCGACGTTCGAGCTCGTTTATTCGATAAACCTGAAACGTCTTCGTCTGAAGGAGATTCCGGAGTTGCCCTCTTCTTTCCTTTTGGATCCTTCACGGGTTCGTGTATAGTAAGTGGAGCGTTATTTGCGAGACCGCTACGACGTGTGCTGCGAGGGGTTATCGTGAGATTTTGGTGGCAAAACGAAGAGCACAGGAAGAAGTGGATGACTAACCGTCTCCGTGTAGATTCTTCAGTGAAAACTTCCTTTGCTTTGCCTTTTCCGGAGGCTGGTTCACGGGTTCGTTTGTTACTGGTTCGGGTGCCGCGAGAAGATTCAGCGGGTAGCGCTGAGGAGGAAGAACGTTCTGCAGACAGGTCGCGCTCCTTATCCTGAGCTTTTTCCTGTGACTTTTGCTTTGCGGCTCTAACTCGCGCACTTGATCGTAATGGCTTCGCTGAAACGTCGGCGTTGTGGTCTTGGTCGAGCTGAGTTGTTGAAGATGTACTGGCAGTAGCTTCTTGAAGATGCGATGGTGATATGTCCATTTAGTAGATGCACCCAGCCATCGATGGAGTCAATCAAGAAGGGATGCCAGTTGCCTTTGTCGTCGTCAGTCACGGTGTTAAGAACTTCGGCGAGGCACCGTACATAAGCCCCAGAACTGCTTAGTCATCATCGGCTTCCATTACGGCGTTCGACAACCTTCCAACGTGTAAAAAGTGTGCAAACCAGAAACTGAGCTTGTAGAAATTTAGCATTTTATAGTACAGCTATCTCTACGCCAGATTGGACTCTAGGACTTCCTCGACGGTATCTACGAAAATATCGACGATCTTCTCAATCTCTGCCTTTGTAACATTGTAGGCAGGTGCGAGCAATATATGGTCTCCTTTGGTCCCTTCAAGGTTGGAACCACCCGCAAAGCCCATAATGATCAAGCCTTTCTCAAGTGCACGGGCTTGCAGTACTATCCCAAATTTCTGACCTTTCATATCTACCTTCGCAGCCTCTGGCAATTCGAAATCAAATTCAACGCCCCAGAAAAGACCTCCACCTCTGATGTCGAAAATGTACGGTGCTGCAAAAGCATTCGGTCCTCGAAGTCGCTCATGTAGAAGTTCAGCTAGAGTCTAATATCATCGGAGTGCTCTTGTATAAAATTTGTTACAGCTTACAGAGATGCCCTCCTTGAATACGACAGTTTTCAAGCAGTTTTTCTGACGCAATCGCCTCTTGTACTGCAACTGAAGCAGCACACGCCAGTGGATTAGCCTGTACATCTTCAGCGATCGTACGGCTTGATCAGAAAAGACACTAACCTGGTATGTATGACCGTGCTTCCAGATTCCAGATTTACCCCGAATTCCTTCAGCTATAGTTTTAGACATCAATACAGCACCGATTGACGCATATCTGAAAGACGATTAGTTGTGCGTCTGATTGCTGGCCAAATAAATCCGGTTACCCTCCCCCCAAGCCTTTAGCAACTGCTTGAATGTCTGGCTATAATAGTGTGAGTGAAGGTGACAATGGAGCAGATATTGTTCCTCTTACAGCGGCGCCATCTCCAAACGATTCCCAAGCGTGCATCGTGCCCATTCCTAGCTCACCAGTTACTTAGAACACAGAAGATATTCACTCGATTTGACTCACGACCCATACCACTCATGACCTATGTACACCGACATAAGCAAGTCAATTGAGCCCAAGACAAGAGGTGACCGTACCTCGTCGAGAATGAATAGGGCATCATACTTACGGCAAATCGCTTTCATTCGAGCAAAATATCCCTTTGGTGCAGGGCAAGCACCAGTGGTAGCTCCAACGACAGTTTCAGCAACGACTAGTCAGGATTTTAGTTTTACCCTACAGGTAAAGTAGAACCGCACCCACATCCAATGACGGTATCGGGACCTAGTTCGTTGAACTTGGCTTCAAGCTCTTCAGCCAATCGCTCCACATATTGTTCTTCGGTTTCATCTGCATGCTGGAACCGTGCAGCATAGGCAGGAGAGACATGGTGGTAATTTTGATGATCCAGGATCGCTTCATAAGGTCCGCGTCGGCCAGGGTGATACGCAAGCGATAATGTAGCTACGGTGTTTCCATGGAAGGAGAGTTGTCGAGCGATGAAATTGGTTCGCTTGGGTTGTCCGATTTCTTCATAATACTATGAGCGAAGGATGAGGTTATAAAGGTCAACACAGAAGCCTGGCCGCAAACCTGTCTGGCAAGTTTAATGACACCCTCCATTGCTTCTGAACCTGTGATTCATGCACCAGTCTGTCACTTACAGCCAGCCACACAGATGATATCTGACAGTACATACCACCAGAAGCAAAACCACAAAGCTCGAATGCACCATTACCGCTTTTAATCAATATCTCAGCAAGCTTCTCGGCAGGCTCGTTAGAAAGTTGCATGTTGTAAACATCTAATGACGAACAATCCCTTTTCTTTTGAGTAGCGGGATTATGCAAATTTCGAGCAATGGGACGCACAAGGTACACGGTCCAGTTGATCTTTGATAGCTTGGATCACCTTTGGATGGCTTGTACCAACGCACGCGACAGCAGCTCCTCCAACCGCGTCGATTACTCGGCGGCCATCTTCAAGATCAAGGTAGATGCCTTCACCATAGGTAGCCACTGGGGGCCTCCACGGAGTGCGATGGATGATGGAAGTAGGCCTTAAAGTGGGTATATCCGATTTCAAGTTTGCAGTAGGGTCATAAACCGAAGATGCAGAGGTCATGATGGAAGTTTCAGTGAAAAAAATTAATTTGAATTTCAGTTATCCGATGAAACGTTGCAAGACAGGCTGAAAACGGAACCATTGCGATCGATAACGAATTTCTGGCTTCACTTTTACTTCGTAATTTGACATCCAGGTTATGTTCATACGCGTTCAATGAGGCATAATGGCGGTTGAAAGTCAAGAATCAATGTTGTATCCGGTTTATTGTTATGACTCAGATCTGAGCGATGATTCTTCGTAACACGCAGGAACACCTGCAGAAAAGTAAACTTTGACTTAGTCAATGTTATAATCTGCAAAGGCTCTGTACATGTCATACCACGCGAGAGTAACTACCTTAAGCTAAATTATCGGCGAAGAATAACATTTATTGAAGTACATCTGCGACCATCTCGAGGATTTCTCTGATACTCTTTCCATTGTTTTTCAGGTCTTTTGCAATCGCCTGCCAAACAAGCCCATGATGAGGCTCAGCAGTTACACATTTTGCTCTGACTTCCTCGCGGTGTTCCTGGGATCAAGATAAGATATGAAAATTTGCGACGCTAAGAATCATACCTCAGTTCCATGTTGACGCTCGAATTTCAACCACCATCCCCACAAGTCACCAATATCCGCACCCGTATCCACGGAATCGTCAGGCCGAGGAGGTACAGCTCGCTGAAACCATTGCCTTGCCTTTTCTATCTTTCTTTCCGCCCAGAACAGTCGTGCAACGGTACAAATAATGAGCGGGTTGTCATTACTCTTCTTCAACGCATCGAGGGCACGCGTCTTCCGCTGCGGACGAGGCTCTAGCCAGATCGACATCGTCCACAAGAGGCCTGATGTAGGACAATCTTGCAATCCACGAGCAAGCATAGCTTTAGCCTGTGCAGCGCCGCCAGAACGTTCTTCGACGCCTACTGCTTCGGCCCAGATAAGCTCGTTGGAAGGATTGACTTGACGCGCTTTGTCAAGTAATGCACGAGCTTTTATACTTTTCCCATCGGTTTCTTCGAGACGACTTGCTAGAATCCATAAGATAGGTTCTTTAGGACATGCCTTGAACCCTGCAGCAAAAGATGCGCGCGCAGCAGGGAATTTGTTCTGGGACTGGTATATTTGACCTTGGACCATGTATAATTTGGAAAACTTAGGAAATTTCTTAAGCGCTGTAGCCAACGTCTCCAACGCTGCATCGAGTTGCCCTTGCTGTCGCTCAAAGGTCGCCGATTTCATCCAAATCTGTCAGTCAATGTTAGTCAAAGGTGGAGATACAAATAAGGATGATATACCCTTTCGGTGTCTGCGGTACTTCGTGCTCGGATCAGTAGTTCTCTTGCTACATCGAGGTGTCCATTTTCTGCTTCCAATTTGACCGCAGCCAACCAAATCTTTTCACTCTCTTTATTGGCGTCAAAAGCCGTTGCAAGCACGTCCCTGGCACCCTGAACATTACCCGCTAGCCACCTTTCTTTGGCTGCCATGAGCCACAATACTTCTGCTTGTGGACAATGTTTGACAGCTTCCGTGAGAATGGCATCTAAGCTTTCGCTAGTTCCATGAGCTTTCTCCAACCCAGCCGCACGTATCCACAGATTCTTCTTGTCGGGAAATACTTTCAACGCATACGCCAATACCGCCCGGGCTGTTCCGACCATGTTTCTGCTCAACGCGCCCTCAGCATCGTCTATCCACGTGTCAAGACGGTCTTCTTCTTCGATATCCATCGCAATCGTAGCCTTGACTATAGATTCGGAAGTCAGAACGCTGCCTTGTGTTTCACACTTTTCCGCTTCTTTTAACCACTGCTCCCTCGTCAACAACACACCGTGACGCCGAAGTTCTCGTACGCCGGCCTCAATTGTCTTATCCACCAGGTCCAGCGCCTTTTTCTTTTCAGCCTTGGTTTTCTCCGCACCCATCATCGAGGCTTCCTGTTCTAAAAGTCTCCCAGCTGCTATCCAAATCTCGTGCGAGGTAGGTATAGCTTTACGCGCTTTGTTCAACACGGCCTTCGCTTTATCAAGAGTCTCCAATTGGGCGAGAGCAAGCCATAGCTCGACGGATAACGGGATAACTTCGACAGCACGAGACAGGAGCACTCGGGCATCAGAGGCAGACGATTCAAGGTTGACAGTTTCCTTCCACAGTCGAACAGAGTTTGGAATATGCTCCAGAGCTGGACGATTTATGAACTCCACCCAGAAGACGGGGATTTGTGACGGAACGTACCCTTTCTTAAAACTCGACGCTTAGATTTGACGTCATGCTCGAGATCCGCTGCCGCAAGCCAAATCTTTACACTTTGACCTACATGCTGAACAGCATTTGCAAATATCACTTTTGCATCTTCGTTATTCTAACAATGGAATATCAACTAGGGGCCGGAATGGAAAGAAATAAGACATACGTGCAGTCGGGCAGCTTCCAACCAAACGTCCTCATTCTTCGAACATTGTTCGCATCCCTGCTTAATGAGCTTTCGTGCAGCCACCATGCGACCAGCGTGTTCTTCCAAACAGGCCGCAGCAATCCATCCGGGAGCATGTTTTGGATTGGACTTGATAAGAGAGTCGAATAGCATACGCGCTCTCTTTATGTCACCAATTTCAGCGTCGGATTTCAACACAACACTATTGAGGGAGGTGAGGTATCCTTTGGGATCGATGGAAGTGGAAAGGCCAGATGAGGTCGAAGTGCCAGATACCTAAAGATAAACAGAAAATGAATCAATGAGGAAAGGGTCGTGATTTGTTCTACCTACTTGATCGAGTTTGAGGGATAAGATTTTGTCTCTTGCCTGTCCTATTTCGACAAAGTTTGTGGGACCTGCTTCAGCAGGCGTCACAAGTCCTCCAGTCTGCGCAACCAGATTTGAATCATCTCGATGGGAGATCCAAGAGACCTGGATACGCACCTGTTGCTGTAGGGAGTCTAAAGAGTTCTCGTATTCTCCTCTAGAACGATCCCCGGCAAGTATACTATCAGACACAGCATATGTTCTCTCATATTTTGGACGTTTCCGCTTTGTGAGATTCCCCACCTCTGGTATACTCTCCCACTCCTCGTCAGTGACAGCAGAAAGTCCTCTCTTCAGATCAGCAAATTGTTGTTGAATTTTTGGTCGTTCGGCGCGATGTTTTGCTAGTTGCGCTTGCTCCTGTGCCTCCCTAACGAATAAGAAAGGAGATGAAAGAAACGTCGGACGAAATATACCTCAACTAACCAGAAAGAAGCACACACCTGCGTGCCTTACGTCGTGCATCCATAGCTGCATCCACCGCTTCATAGATTTTGTCTGCCTCTTCGTCGTCCTGCTCATAGGCAGTTCCTGCAAAAAGACCGTATTCATTGTCTGGGTCTTGAAACTGTTCCGGGTCGACTTCAGCCTCTTCCCCTCGCCTTGCTTGGGCCTCCCTATATATAGATTAACAGAGAACGTAAATGAGAAGGCAGATACCCACGCGATAACCTCTGCGGAAGGACCCTCACGAGCTGGACCGATATCTGAACGTGTGGTGAAACCGGAAGCACTTGAAAACAGGATAATTAGTCTTTACATAAAGCTCAACACATCACTCACCCGCGACCAAGGCCAGCAACGTAGGATGCGGGTGCTGGCATTGACAGGAAAGCCAGTTTGTTTGGTTTATTAGAGGCCATTTCTATAGAATACAGACCTTGGTGATGGAGAGAGTCAAAGATATTGTGGGAACAAATTGATCTTGACCGACAGAATTTTATTTTTCCTCTTTTCCTTCATCCATGCGCAAACAACTTGACCCTCGGATACCCATTCTTGTCAACAACAATGTCACCAAAAATCATCGTTCGTTTGTGGTGCTTGTGGGGGACAAGGGTCGAGATCAAATCGTTAACTTGCATTTCCTGCTTTCTCAAGCAAGAGTGAGCGCTCGACCGTCCGTATTATGGTGTTATAAAAAAGACCTGGGATTTACTACGTGAGCAATTTACTAACTCCGAAAGATACATCTCTGAACTGCGATCTTTTCAGGCATCGTAAGAAACGCGAGGCCAAAATAAAACGCGATGTCAAACGCGGAATCCGTGAACCCAATGACCAGGATCCCTTCGAGATATTTGTCACCGTCACCGACATTCGTTACACCTACTATAAGGAATCTCATAAGATTCTGGGCCATACGTATGGCATGCTTGTATTACAGGACTTTGAAGCTCTCACCCCAAATCTTCTCGCTCGGACGGTCGAGACTGTGGAAGGTGGAGGACTGATCGTTCTGCTCTTGAAAAGTATGAACAGTCTCAGACAACTGTACACTATGGGGATGGATGTCCATGCACGCTACAGGACGGAATCGAGTGGAGAGGTTAAACCACGGTTCAATGAACGGTTTATTCTCTCTCTTGCTGCATGTCCGAATTGTCTATTCCTCGATGATGAATTGAATGTACTCCCATTATCGAAAGGGAAAGATATAGAGCCACTACCCGAACAAAACGGAAAAGGGACAACTAGAAGTCAAGAAAATGCGGAACTCAGAGAGCTCAAAAATTCCCTTGAAGGCAGCGTCCCTGCTGGTCCCCTAGTAGCTTTAGCAAAAACCACAGACCAAGCTCGAGCATTACTCACTTTCGTCAACTCCTTGATTACTCCCTCCGATCCATCTTCGTCTTCTAATCCCTCGTCTTCCCTTTCTTCTGCTCTCAATACTACAACCACCCTTCTCGCCGCCCGAGGTCGAGGGAAATCCTCCGCATTAGGCCTTGCATTAGCTGCTGCAGTGCATACAGGATATGCCAATATATTTCTCACCTCCCCAGCTCCCGAAAACTTACAAACCGCCTGGGAATTCCTATTCAAAGGTCTCGATGCTCTCGGTTGGGAGGAGCACCTAGACTACGATATTCTTCAGGCTACGCACGACCTTTCTTCGTTTGGCAATGGTGTAGATGAAGCCGCCGAAAGTAACCCAACTTTGGGCAAAGGAGATGGAGGGAAGAAACCTATTGTGCGGGTTAACATCTTCCGCAATCCCACTCATCGACAAACGATCCAGTACATCGATCCTCGTGATGCTCATGTTTTAGGTCAGGCGGAACTTCTTATCATCGATGAAGCCGCTGCTATTCCCCTTCCTGTTGTACGCAATCTTCTGGGTCCGGCGATGGCCAAGGGTAGCGCTTCTGCTGGTGGCTATGCCGTTTGGCTAGCTAGTACTGTGAACGGATACGAAGGAACAGGGAGAAGTTTGAGTTTGAAATTGATTCAGCAATTAAGAGACAATTCGAGCTCCGGCCCACCAACGAAGGGGGACAGTGGGAAGGGTAACTCTAGCCATGGCAATCGCACATTAAATGAGGTTAAGTTGTCTACTCCCATTCGATATGCTCCTGGAGACGAAGTTGAAAAGTGGCTGAATACTTTGCTATGTTTGGACGTCTCTTCATCATCTGGTAAGATCTTAATTGTCTCGAGTATCTCTGAAGCTGACGCTATTTTGTAGCACCTTCGCCGTTCTCCACACTCCCTCATCCTACCCTGTGCACACTATACCACATCAACCGCGACACTCTGTTTTCCTTTCATCCCGCTTCCGAAGCTTTTCTTCAACGCATTATGTCACTCTATGTTGCCAGTCACTACAAAAATCAACCTAATGATCTCCAGCTAATGAGCGACGCCCCTGGACACGAGTTATATGTCCTACTTCCTCCTATCAACGCCGAAGACAAGGAGGAGGCTGACATTCTGCCTCATCCACTTGCAGTGATTCAAGTCGCTTTTGAGGGCCGTATTTCACGGGAGTCGGTCCTCTCGTCTCTATCGCGAGGACTTCGCGCTGGTGGAGACCTAATACCATGGCTCATAACGCAGCAATATCAAGAGACAAAATTTGCGGAATTAAGCGGAGCAAGGATTGTACGAGTGGCGGTTGGCGAGGGCATCGGTGGTGTGAGTTTCACCACATCTCGAGATTTCTTCGTAAACTCAAAGCTCTGATTTAGATGGGCTACGGAAGCCGTGCGATCAACTGCCTCAATGCGTACTTCAGCGGGGAGTACTTCAACTTGGACGAACCTGAAACTGAGAACAGTGCAGAGACTCATGCCCGCGACGATGCGCGCGAGGCGGGTGACGCTGTGAATGACGTCCTTTAATAACTTCACCTTGTGTGTTAACATATTTCATATCAGAAAAAAGCAACACTCCACACGGAAAAAATCACCGTCCGAGCACCAAACGCTATGCCTCCACTCCTACAGCGTCTATCCGAACGACGTCCAGAGCAATTGGACTATCTCGGCGTTTCGTATGGTTTGACGGGATCTTTACTAAGGTGTGTAGTTTGTCCTCGTGTCCAGTACATGCGTGTATAATCTTCTTCATCTAGATTCTGGAAACGTCTCTCCTTTGTCCCTCTGTACATCCGCCACACTCCGAGTGATCTCACAGGTGAACACACATGTGTTATGGTCCGTGGATTAAACAGCACGACGGATGTTGAGATGGAGTGGTTAGGCGAATTCGGTGCAGGTAAGTGTCTCGATCTTCTTCGCATCGACCTTCATTAATTCCATTCTTATCGTAGATTTCCGTACTCGACTTCTCACCCTCTTATCTTTCCCAAAATTTCGTGACTTCGGAAGTGTGCTGGGACTCAGTGTGCTCGAAGCGATAAATAACAATACAAGTATCAAGGCTGTCGATACCCGGGAGTTGCAGGGAGGGGTGAAGGGTGTGTGCTGTCTTTTATATACACTTGTTATACACCTTTTTCAATTTTTTTCCTCTTACCACAGCTTTGACACCAGCCCTTCTACCATCTTTGCTTACGCCATTCGACCTCAAACGGCTGGAGTCATACGGTAACAATCAATTGGACTATCATGTTATTTTGGACCTACTACCTCTCGTTGCGACTCTCTTCTTCCAACGTAGACTGAATCGACCAAAATCTAGTGAAGCATCTGGCGAGGTGAATAACCTAAGCTTGAGTGCAGTCCAGAGCGCAATCTTGCTTGGTATGGGTCTACAGCGTAAAACCGTTGAAGAAATAGAGGTGCGCATTCATTTGCGCTTCGTTGGGTGTATATGATTTAAACTATCACTCGCACAGACAGAACTTTCATTACCCGTTTCACAAATCCTCGCAATGTTGGTTAAACTTATTCTCAAGATTACCAAACGCCTCAAAGATGTTCAAAAGGAAGGCATAACGCAAACCATGCCTGATCATTCTATAGCTGTCTCCCTCCCTTCAAATGACAGACCTGCGGCAAGTGAAGGAGAAACATGGAAAAATGTCTCAGCGACTGTCGAAGCAGAATTAGAAGCAGCCGGTGCAGAAGAGAAAGACGCCATGAAGAAAAGGGAACGACAAAGGGAAATGATTAATTCTTTAGATTTAAGAAAGTGAGTGAATCGACACCCAATCGTTGTCAGTATCCGCGTTTTGTGCTTGTCATCATATCTTTATTTTTTCATCAACGATCCTGACAACCAAAATGCTAGATATGCAATCGATAACGCCTCAATGGACTGGTCAACTGCTGAAACGCAAGTAGCTAAGATAGCTGGAACTGCAAGCAAAAAGTCCCATCAAACTGTGCTTAGTGTAAAAAGTATAGGCAGTAAGAGAAAAGCATCTGATATTGGAGATGATGGTGGAGGAGGTGTGAAAAAGCCAACGCGCAGAGGAAAGAAAGCGAAACGTTAAACAAAATCTACACGAGCTTTTTTGTACCGTGCTATGAGAGACAGCTTTCTATTGAATTTATAATGTTTCCGAAGCTTATAATACCGAGCTCATAATACCTGCGGTAGTGCCTAGTTTGTAAAACAATTCTCTTTCGGTACCACAGGTGAATTCGCGGTTGACGTTGGAGCGGGATGAGTCACCTCCGTCCTTCGTCGAAGGTGTGATCCTCGCTTTTGCTCGTGGGATTTGTTTCATTCTTTTGCGTTCAACATTCATCTTGATCACGGTATTTCCCCTTGGTGAGTAGATATGTGAAGCCTCACTTCAATCGTAAGAGGACCTCTGATCGTACCCTTGTCCTTCTCTTCCTCGTCCTCCTCTCCCACATGAAATTTGTCTTGACCTTTGTCCGAACAAAAACTGGGAAACTGGGAGGGAAATCTCCGAAATTTTCTTCGGCCATGGGTGTAAGCGTGGCCATTTTCTTCATTCCGTTAAACATCGTGCGCGATGCTATTGACATTTCCCCCAGGCTTTTGAGTTCTCATTCGAGAGAAAAATTCTGTACATGATTGAACCTCCCTCAGACTGACTTTTCTAGCTGCGAGACTAGACACGTACTAGTAGGACCTAGGTCAAGCAAGGATATGGATCGAGATGGAGGGTGACCCGGTGACGCTCTAGCTCTGCACATATCATCGATATCCCGAATCGTTAATAGAAGCTGAGTATCAAAGTGGAAAGAGCATGCAAAAAAGATGGACACCGCGGTCGAACAGGGTGCCACAGAAACAGAAAGAGATAGCAGAATTCGAAGTCTGCTCGGTGCTGAGCGCGAGCGCTGAGCTAGCATCCTTTTGATGGATAAACCTATGTGGGCGGCCTAAACAGCTGATCAGGAAAGATAGGATAGAACTATGATAGGAAGTGATGCACTGACTGTGGTCATCCCTAGATCTTCCAAAATAAATGAATATAATAGGTCGCTTGATATGCGACTCGCCCTTTTCATTTTCCCCCCTGCCTACACCAATGCATGTACCTACGATCCTCTGAACAGAGTTCAGAAATTCCAATCTAGTCTTGTTTCGTTCGTTCACAGTGATCAAAGTAAACCAATCATTTAGGATATCGATATAGTTTGCCTCCAACTAAGTAAGATGTGACTACAAGCTCCATTCCACGTAATCAAATCTATCACCAATGAGCAAAATCTGGATTCAGTACTTACTCACTTGGATAATGCGGTTATCAACTTCACCTTCAAGCAGGTACTGGTGTCCCTTCCCTCCGGACCTTCTTAATTCGCTCTCGACATTTCATGATCATCAGCTCAATAAATATTTTCACGAGTGGCTCCAACTACACAATATGGGCAGAGTGCAAAAGAAAGCGGTTCAAAGAGCTGGAATGTCACCGGTCGTCGATATACTTAGGTGTACCGCAGGCAGAGATTGGAGTGGAAACAGCCTCAAGATGGCAGTTTTTGTGAGTTGGATTAGCTTCTCTTTGTGTTGATATCCGTTGCAAGACGCCGCAGCAAGAGCTTATCTATTTCTTGAGGTGCCCTCCGTCGGTACATTAGGTGAGGTGCCAGTATCGAGCCAGGGTTCGAATCGAATCATAAAACCAAATTTGCATTTCTCGTGTCGCCTCTTCGACTCGTCCATACCATCCTTGGTTAGTTGAACGGTAGGATCAACAAGTGGAAGATCAGGCATACCGTAGATTCGTTCTTCATTCCGCTTGTGCGGAAGATTATCGACATGACTTCAACTCCACCCATCTCCACTCAATCTGCAGAAACATCGTCGTCAAGGCTCGAAAGATTGATGGATGTCTATAAGAGCCATCAGGCTGGTACTGGAAAAGAGAAGCAACGCTTTCCCCATGGGACACTCAAGTCACAATCTCTCACTTGTAATACACAAAACAGGACCACTGGTATTTATCCTGAATATTCACGATTGGAAGGGTCAGCGACGCGATACATTGCTGTCCTTCTGTTGCATTCTTATCCTATGCGCTTGAAAACTCTCCTGTTCCCTTATATGCGCGAGTCGAATGAGACGACATGGTCTATCGTCGTTGGTGTTGAGCATGGCCCTGGGAGTTTCTCCAATCGAAACAATCAAAGTAAATGATCTTTCCGCCTGGGAGCTTTGGATTGGGACCCGGTTGAAACATCGCAACCTTTCGTGTTGCCTCACCAGACGTTCGCCGGAAGGTCTTTTCGTTAACGAGCAATGAAGGCTCTATCTGATCCATAGAAAGGATTGTGTCCGCATCCATGAACCGTGAATCGTTCGAGTATACGCGAGGCAGTTCTCCTTATTCTGAACACGAATATCGGAGTTGTTCCCTCTCTGCGGTGGATTTCGAATTGGGACAACGGAGGATACAGAAAGATCACAGCGGCTTCGATGAACACCTTCAAGTATATTTACTAGGTTCCTTAGATTTGCAGTGCTCGTCACATACATGTTATTGAATGCTGTATCATGGCATCGGTTGCAATTATTCTAACGTGTGGCACAAAGATAAGTTTCTTATATGAACGTCTAGTAGAAGTTTTACTCACCCCAAGTCTCACCCTATGAGTTAACACCACCTGCCTTCCTCCAAAACTCAGAAATACTGGCGTTTCCTCAAATTGGACGAGACAAATCCTGGTCAACATATCAGTGCTCCAAGTCTATTGGTCACTATTTCCGTCTGTATGTCATATTCTCCCTCTTGATTGAACCTTTAACCTGTATGCAATCTCGTGGATTTGTGCGGATCTTTTTCTATTAAGCGGTGACATTGCCCGATTGATATTCCTGTGATATTCGATGACTTAAGTGAGTTTTTTTTCGATTGTCCAGAATCCTCTCACTCTTTTCTTCGTAAAAACAAGGCTTAAGGAATTCTCCTGGTGGTTCGAGTGATCGTTTTTGTCGGAGAAACAAATATGGCAGAGGGGGGATCAGCTACCAAGTATAGGGCCGTATCGGAGTCGTCGCCGAACTATTTAAAGTCTATTTGTGGTTGCTTTCGTGCTTCTTCTGTTTTTTGTCACAACTTTTCTCCCATCTTCGAACGCCATGTACACTTGCCCTGATTGCCTTCAATCCTTCAACGGACCACAAAAATCCCTGACGACGATACGAATAGCAAGAAAAAAGGCGTCTCAGCCCAATATCAGCCGACACTGTCGGCACTATCCAGTACGAGTTTTTTTCAGTTCTTTTTCGCATACTGTAATGCTAAAAGTCGTTGAGTAGGAGAGGCAGAGTGTCTTCCCACAATTCAACTATAATGATAATTCTTCGGTGAGAACAGTGAGAGACTGCAGTTGCCCCCCGGCCATACTGATAATGTTCCAGGCTCAGCCTACTACGACTACGGTATGTTCTCTATATGCGCCTTCGTACTGAGTACTCGGAGGTTCAAGATCTTCATAATGTTCTCTTGTGTATGTTCCACAAGCCAAACGATAACTTCGGTACTACCGGCTCAATGGTTAGTTTGCCATTTGTGCTAGTAGATGTTCCAAACCTGATGTACTCTCGCAGGACATTGATATTGTATGTGTGCTGTATATACGTTTTTATGATTATTAACAAGCTTCATGCTAAAGACAACGCAAGAACGTGAGGATCATTGACTAGGCAGTGGTATGTCTTACTGTTCATCCACTGCTCGTGAAAGGTTTTTTTCTCATACTTCCTAGGCTTCACATACTCGGATTTGAAGCTATCTATCAGGAGCTTCGTCTATGTCCCGCAGCGCGTCCCCGCCTAGGATTGAAATTAGTGAATCGGCAGCTATGAATATCGATTGTGAATTTTCATCTTTCGCTTCCCTTTTCACTGAATTGAATTTTCTGCCCAGAAACACCCGCACATCTTGATCTATTATCCGTACCTTATGGCACCTTGCTTTGGAAGTCGCTGCAACAAACGATCTTTATATCTGGTTGGATATCTCATCTTGTTTCTCTTTGCCTCCTGCGTGTACGCATAATTGTAAATATAACGAATCAGTACAGTACGTATCACTGGCATTACCATGTCTATACATCTCTAAAGTTGACTGCGACTAGGATGTTTAATTCAATTGTCTATAAGAAAGAGTACCGAATACTTAGGGCTTTACTTACCGAAGCTTAACCTTCTAGATCCTACGAGATCGTATGTACAATTTAACAATCCAAACAGTCGGACGATGAAAGGGCAAAGCTGTATATACGGCCCGTTTCTAATTTTGCTCCCAACTTTCGAAAGTGGCATTGAAAGGCAGCTCTCCTCTAACCTGACCAACATTCAAAGCTCGACATCGCTATACTCAAGGCTCTTTTTGAAGAACTGGCCTGAGCCGTGCGGGGAGTTTATTCGCCACAACTGAGCATACGAGGGAAAAATGGCGGGCCGGAGCTGCACCGATCCTTCGAGTAACAAATTTCTGTAGGTGGAGGACATTTAGCAGTGAAGGCTGGCGCAAACATCACAATCGAATATTCGTACAGAACTTTCATCTATGGTTTCTACGAAATCTATGGAAAGGCAGGAACAACCAAAGCGTGTTACACTAATTCGAGAACGTTCAAAGCTATCTGTGCAGCGCCTGCTCGAGCAGCGTTGCGGTTGCTGCCAGTGGCTCTTCCATGTTCAACGCCATTTACTGCCAGACAGCTAATCAATGAACGATAGCGCATATACGCAATTTCCAACTCACTGTATACAATGGATATCCAGACACCTGCATGTTGTGTTCCGGTGTGAGTGTCGGTATAAGACACTGTAAGGTGACGGCTTTGAGCAAAGTTATTGAGGGCATTTATAGCTGAGTAGAGCGTGTTATCTGAGCGTGGTCGATATTCGATGTGTAAGGTCACTACTTACGTTCAGCCATGATGAAGGTATTGTAGATATAAAAGGACTGGGGAGCATTGGGTGCATGAAGGACCCAAATTTAAAGCTCCTGGAGGAGCTGAGGAAATGAGCCGGCCTGAATAGCTTTGGCCATGTAATGATTTTTCGCCGGTACGAGACCATAGCATAAGTTGAAAATTTGACGGAAATCTGGTCCAACCCAGCAAACAGCTGCGAGCGACACGGTATCAAGTTCTCCACGAGGTACTTGAAGAGTTCAAGCGCCAGGACATTCGATACCAGACATCCTTGAAACAGGAATATCCACAGATTGGCAAGCGCTGGCTGTATTGGACTTTGATCTGAATTGAGAGCACGAATATACCTGACAAGAGGTGCGGTAATGGCTGGAATGGTCGCGGGCCCTTGGCCAGCATTTGAATTCATGCCCGACTTCTTCAATACACGGCATTAAACTTTGGATTTTTGGGTGATCCTTAGGTTGCAAGCTGCCTCAGCGCTTGTTGAAATTACCATACGCATGGAACGTATCAAGCATCCAATTGGAAAGCAAAAATGTGTACGCCAGGGGATCATTGTTTTTGCCGTCCATGGCTCCGTTCGCAAAGGATAAATCTGTCGTTGGCCTGTGCTCAAATCAAATCGTGTATCAGCGTTCGCAGGAGTTACCGATACTGTTGGTCATCCAAGACAATGTATATCATGGACAGCCTGAAGTTGCGCATCGGATACACATAGATCGTCTGAGGTATGGGACCGGACCGGGGCCATGTCGTTGTCATTATTCTGTGGTCGAGATGATTATGTACAATTTTAGTGATAGCATTCGGGACCCTTGCCTGGTTTGTGCGGGTCGACGATGCGTACTTTGCATAACGACCCTATTATCATATACCGTGACTGTTATTTCATAAGGAGAATGTCACGAATAAAGATACAATTCCTTCTAGAAGAGTTTCCTGCGAGTAAGGGGAGATAGTTGGACATGCGTTACAGCACCTATTAGACCAAAACAAACCGCGCGCCTTGGCCCCCGAAGCCTTACACTACCCATGCGATTCGACACGATTTTTACCACCGGAAAGCACGATTAACAACCATGAGAGTACATGTCAAGTAAAGTCTGCGACGAGTTCGGATTGACCAGAGTGTTCGACTCGGACGAAGGAACAGGAGGAAGAGCCGGCGCTTACAATTTGAAATCAGACGCCTCCCCTCAGCGCTCAGCATTGACCATGTCGACTGTTGACGTATAGTATAGTTGGACGTACCAATCCTTGCGTAGAAATCCTACGGAGATATGCGATAGGCTATCCTAAACTGCTACGTGCTAATTTCCTACAAGATTTCTTATCTTCGAAAATCGGCAAGTCGTATTATGGCAAGCAATCTGGACAGATCGGAACTCACTTGAAGAATTTCGAAGGTTAGCACCGATATCCTTCTCATTGATATTGGTGTGGCCATAATACTACATATATGTATTGCTGAACGGGCCTATAGTTCCTCCAATCGTTTGCTGCGGGAGTAATGCATTCTCAATCTCATATTGGCGGAGTACAAACTCGTGTAGTGCACTTCTGCAGCCTTCATCTACGCGTTTCGCGAAGACCTTTTCTCGTCTCACCCCGCCGGCGGATTGCGAACTGGTCATGATGTTGATGACAGTCACTGGGTGACTTCCCGTAAGGATTATTGGACAGTACATTTTTTTCAACATCCGTTCGTCCGATGAATGGATTCTGAGCAGAACTCGAGCAGAACCGTCTAGGGGCGCATCCGAACCCCTCCCTAAATGCTTCTAGCAAGATTATTGGACCGAGGTCTACCAAGGCTTACGGAAATCCAATGATACGTCGGTTTTACCACAGTAAATCATCGGACTAGCTGTCTCGCAGCTGAATTCTGCTCGTGATGCTGCGGGTGTATCGGAGGAGACCGAACGTACGTGAGCTCAAATGTAGAATCAGAAAACTCGAATATAGAACAACTTTGAAAGATTACTTTGCTTAAGTTAGTATGCACAATTTCAACTATTTATTACTGCCAATTGGCTCGCTATGTACGTAGACACTACTCTGGCAATCATTCAGATCGTCTCCATATTTCATCAATGCTGAGTCGCCACTGACACCGGCGGTTTCCTGTACGAGTGCCTGCGGGGAACCGGCGTTCAACTCTTGGACCGTGCCGTGTAATAAATTTACTTTCCTTTCCTGCTTGGACCGATTGCGCGGCGCGACCTTGTCCTATCGTGCGTATATGATAGGTATAATATATGGCGCAATATGTTAATAGGACCACGTCGGATTTCCTTTCAGTTTTCTTTCCAGACTGCTCTATCGCTTTCCCGCCCACGAAGTCTCCATACGATTTGAAGAGAATATCGTAATAAGAAGTTAGATTTAGAGAGGACATAGGCGACTCAGCACAACTTGCGATTGAAATTCAGGCAAGCCGGTCATTAGAAGCACCGCTTTGAGGAATAATAACCGGCCTGAAGGAATGGTGTACAAATTTAGTAAAGTTCCGCGCAAGAAGGACCTGCGAGGGCGATATACCATAATCCAAGTACATAGATCATTTTTGAGCAACCTGAAAATAGGTTGGCTTATCGGCGTTATGAACAATTTGACCCACGATGTAAAATAGTCCGCATTTGGTAACGATCTTTCCTTTCTAAGATGCATGATGTCATCCCATTCTAATCGCTAGGTTGATCAGACCCAGAACAATTCTGACGTGTCCCTGCAGTATGTTTTGCAACTGGGGTACGTGCTGGTATGTGTGCACGTTTGTAGATTAAGCGAACTACCAGCAAGACATACAAAGCTATTAAAAAACATAGATGCAAGAGGTTGGGGACGGCAGCGGCATTAAGTGAACAAGGTAGGTACGATAATGCGAGTGGCCGCCACTGTAGGAATAGCATGAGAGAATTGCCAGCTTCAGCAGTGTCGCCATATACAAGAAATGCAGGGTCCAAATCTAGAGTGCGACTACAAGAGCAGCAAGAGTGGCTAACAGTGGCATAGCAAATATTGAGAGAGAAGTATGTTGAGTGGAGCCTCCATTCGAGCTGGTAGAGGCAGAAGAAGTGCTATTCTTGGATTTGGCGTCACCAGTGCCATCTCCATCGGTGTCAATACCTCCATCGCTGGTGCCATTGGCAATGGGGAATGATGTGTTGAGGTTACTCTCCACATACATGTTGGTATAAGGAATTCCGTTACATTGACCAATGGGCTCCAACTATGAAAACATAAGCACAGCAAAACAATTAACGTTCACTACAACGTACGGTGAATGGAGGGTTGTGGTTCAAAGCAGCGGGGAGGGTATATCCAATTGCCATGTCTACTGTCTGTTCGTAGAGGTCATGTTCCAGAACAATGAAGCTATAGTCATGATAACGTCAATGACAGTAAAACTTGAAATCCGGCGGAGAACTTACCCATCCTCAAGTGTGGAGGCATTTCCTAGAATACCTTCAAACTGACTGAAAGATGCCTCCGACGTTACCACGCCACCCGGAATCTCCCAATCTATGGATACATGAGCAACGTTCCTTTATTGTGACCCATGAAACATACCAAAGGTATCGAAGGAAACACCGGAAGGTGTACGGGTCCAAATGATGGGAACCATACCCATAGCTAAAGAGATGGCGCGAACACGGTCGTCGATATCGCCATAGGGAGGGCGCATGGTCGTCGGGGTTACACCAAGAATGGTCTTGATAGCCTTTCGAGTCCATCCCAATTCAGCAACTATCTGCTCTGTGGTAAGAGTAGTAAGATGCTATTATTAAACGTCAAGATACGTTCATAGACCAAGGTAAAGGAAGTGACAGACAGGATGAGACCAGGTGTGTACGGCGATTTCGTGACCTGACATGTACTCATCAATGAGGACATTGGGATTTTCAATACAACGTGATCCAACGTCGAAAAAGGTGGCCTTGATATTCTGTTCATTCAAGAAGTGTAGAAGTTTAGTTGCTGACGAAGGGTAAGTAGGCTTAGAAAATAAGACAGTTCAGTGACTCACTGTAAAAGGCAGGACCATCGTCAAAACTATAAAATATAAGCCGAAAGACTGGTGAAAGTGTATTTGACCATACCTTGTGCCCCAGGTCATGGGCTTACCAGGACAGACGGTGATGTCAGTGTCTCTAGTGTAGCCGCCGCAAGTCCACCATCCACGAGCAGAAGCATTGGCAACATTCGCAGGATCACTGACACATGTTCCGTCCACAGTTGGACTGAGGTCAGGAATGTCCCAACCGTCCAATTCCTCCATCCATTCCTGAACTTCAGAGGAACCTAATAATAGTAGATTAATAAAGCACTCCTATGATAATGGGATGAAATGCGGCATACTGGTGTCGGGGAGTTTGTCTTGGGCGGGCCAGTCAGCCGCATTGAAAACAACTGGAATCAAGATCTGTGAGGCTTATTACAAAAATATAGATAAAAATGGCTGACAAGGAGTAGGTAGAGGGTCAGCCCCAGAATAGTATGTCGGGGAAGCGCCGGCGGTATAAGTTGTAGTGACAGCTTGAGTGACCTCGCTAGGCATGCCTGAGCTGATTTGGGACAAGGGCGGGTAGCTGGTACCCCAGGTGGCGGAGGCAGGAGCACCGACAGCAGTTGTGGTTCCGGTGCTGATACCAGTAGTAGAGCTTGAGGTAGCAGAAGTTCCACTGGAGGATGAAACGCTACTGGCTGCTACAGTCGCAGACGTAGCCGTACTAACTGAGGAGGAGGCCGTCGCCTGGCGCTTTATGTGAAGAGGATTGATTTTAGTAGCATTAGCGGCAGTAATAGCCAAAAGAACGGTGAATGGTTGAAGCTTCATGATGCACGTCGAAGAAAAAGAATGACAGCGCGAAGCGCGACTAGTTGGAGAATTTCGAGGTTTATGAGAAGAGCGCAAGAAAGAGATCAAAAGCGAAACTTTTCCTTGACTTAGTAGTGGCAATTTTTCCCATGCCAAGCCCGGCCGGCGGCACCCTGATATTGATCTCCATACGTCACGACGTATGTAGACCGGTTTTCCGCCCTCAATGTAAAGCCTTAAGCTCGAAGATTATACATTCCGAGAACGAGAGCTTACTTACAGGTTGAAGTCTCAATACAGATGCAGTAAAGATGTAAGTATATGCTAGGTGAATACGGAGACTGAGACAACAGAGTGCACGTGAAAGTACAGGCCCTCTGAACGGGCGGTAAAAGAAGAATGATGCACAGTAGAATAATATAACGACGTTGCAACAACAAAAGTGGAATAATTCAAAATGGATATAGAAGCACCGGAAGAGCGAGTAAGTTCGGACTATCGAGGCATGGAAATCATAGAGGCATTGTCAGACACCAAATGTTGTGGCTCAGCATAGTTCGTGCGCAGTGCAAACACTCGGTCGTCCGAAACCATCAATATCTCATCTCGGACATATCCTTGTTGCCGGGGATGCATAGGATATTGCATCTGAAGTGTTGGTGGTCCTCCGTAACCTCCGTATCCTGGCCGGTACGGTTGGTGGTAACCGTTGTATGGATTTGCCTCGTATCCAGGCTGATACATTCCTGGATTTGGAATGCCCCAAGAATTCGCTTGTGAGGCAGCGCCAGTCATCGAGGGGGGATTGTCGGCGAACAACAGCCGCAGATTTGACCCTTGGATAACTTGTGTCATCAAGCACGTCTCTATATGTCGAATTTCTACAAATGTCGGTTCAAACGCCAAAACGTATGGCTCGTGTAACGCTTCACAGGAGATCAGCAACCAAACTTTTCAAACTACCGTCAGGACCCACCAAATCCCGTTGGAATTCCTTCCCAAAATACCATGAACTCTTTCCGAGACCGCCGACCGTTTTTGTTCACATAGAAAGCAAATTCTGTGAAGAATAATCATTAATCAGAAAGTATGGATGCGTGATAATCTTACCGTCATAGCACAACAGGAACTCGTTTTGGATGCGGTAAATAGCCATCGGCCGTAGATTATCTCGCTTACGGACAAAGTCGAGTGACTCATCGTTGGGATCCAACAAGCCTTGCGTATCCAACGTCTCCAGATCAACAATTTCGAATCCCCGCGAGCAACCCACACATAACTTAGTCTTGAGGTAGTGGATAGACGACGATTCAACCGGGATATAGAACTCCTATGGAGACCCGCATGGTAAGGTATTATACATGACCTATTTTCAGGAACACCTACTCTGAATAATTTGAGTGTATCGTTACCCCCTTGGAGAAGTTTCCGGAATGTGGGCTTGGCACGGCCCCTTGTACCTTGATCTATCGGTTCTAATGTTTTGAAGGTACTGGAGAGTTGACTGGATTTGACAATGCAGACTAGCATTCGACCAAGACAATATCCAGTTTTGAAGAAGGATGTATGGGATGTTATCCGTTTGGCGCGTTTTAACCCAGCTAGGGGATCTATTGGATCTAATGCTTCGAGGGGGAAAGTAATGACGCTACGTTCTAAAAATGATTCATCAGTTTTGCGAGAGAATGAGATCACACTACCGACCAGAAAGGACGATCAACAACTGATAATCCTCTAACACATCGATTTGAGTGACATCCATTAGTCCGAGGACTTTGACCGGATCTTTATTCACTTCCCGTAGATCGCTGAAGTAAACGCCATCGTCTGTACCATACGCAATCTTCCGACCGCCACCTAGGTACGTTGAGCCTATTAAGCCTGACTCCTCCAATGCAATGAAACGGATCATCCACTTACTGAAGGGTGCCGCACAATTGACCTTGTTTGGGTTATTAAAAAAGCCTTCGCTTAACGAAACCGTCTCGAAGATATTGCTTCGTTCTTTTATTGCCTGTTGCTGCTTGTAAATGTTCTCCAGCCATTTTTTCTGGTTGAGATTTGAATTCGCCCATAGGACAAGATTGTAGTACTTCCGTCCAAGATGGACAAAGTTGATCCAAAATTGACCTTTGGCATCGGTCTTGACGTGGACGGGTGGCACAGTAAAATTAGGCGACGACCTGGAATCGCGACTGAAGGAGTTTTTTTTAACAAGACCTTGCCGTCGATTCCCTCGCAAGGTATTATGCCCATTACCGTTAGGACTTGCATCATCAGAAGCACTGACCAAAAGGAGTTCAAGTGGTATTGGCTGTTGAGGAGGGACAGGAATAAATTATGATCTGTTGTTCAAATTTGGGCCGGATATCACTCACGGGGCGATAAACTTTGTAGAATTCGTGTTGCTTCGTCTTAACAACTTTGGTGAACAGCAGGGCATGATCGAACAGATACACTTGCAGTTCGCCATCGCGTTTATTGAGAGGGCCTTTGTATATCATTTCGCGACCTTCCTCTCTCAAGCGAAGTGGCTACGAAACATCAACAGATATTTTTTCTCCTAAATTGTAGGACTCACCACTTCCTCCCCGGGTCGCCATTGCAACTGCCCATCGAGCTGAATCAAATTAAAGCGGTTCTCGGCTTGTCCAGACGCCGTGTTAACGCGCCCAAGAATTTCGCGAATTACAGACACAACTTGGGGTAAAGTGGTCTTATCAGGATTGTCCTCAGGAGTATGCTTCAACACAGCTTCCAGAAGTAAAGGATACCTCGCCAGACGGGTGGTTGGTTTCGTCAAGTACGCATTGAGCTCTAGTTTACGTGATTCCGGAAGCCGTTCCGTAACCTAGTTAGGAATTAGTACAACCAAACGACGAAAAACATGACTACGACTTGCCTCGACAAATTGAGCGAAAGCAGGATTTGAGTTCTTCTCCTTCTCGAATTCATATTTTCCGTACAACTGATGTGAGCCGTAAGACACAAATGGATTGTTGAAATGGGGAACCGCATCAAGCAGTATGTCCCCAATCTTCTCCACCACAGCGTATTGTTTTTGTCGTTTGACAAGAGCATCACGTAGACGAATATTGACTGCGATTATGTCAAATACGTTCCAGAATACCTGCTCGAGGAACGCAGTACGTCTATCCTCGGGAATGACGTCGGATTCCTGCAGTCGTTTTATCCAGATCTGTGTGGTGTAAAAATGAGCATAGATAGCAATATTTGAATGCAGGAGCTTACATCTCTGAGATATTCCATATCACGGACGAAGTCGCGTTCAGTGTATATGACTTCATTGATAGCCTCTTGCCGCTTTTTCTCTGTGTCTGACACACTGTTGACAATTTCTTGTGGCACAGAATGAATCCACAACGTTCCGTCATCCTTGAAATCACCAAATCAGAATTGCATTCAGGCGTCAAAAGATCAAGGCTCACCGGCGTGTCATTCAAACTTTCCTTGCTGATCTGTTTGGAGAGCCCTGGCTGTGGCTTCATGTTTAATCGAGCCTGTTGCTCGAGGCGCCGTGGACAAGCAATGCTGTAGCAAAGTTGGTCTCTTGAACAAGTAGGCGAGTAGCAATCCGTTAAGAGAGTGAATACACCTGAAGGAAGCTCAACTTCATCGGAGCTGAATGAACCTTTGCGAGGACGCGATTGATTGACTGAAGGAGAAGGCGATGAAGGTTCACCTTCCTGTATTCGAATAACGTGTCAATAGCTTGAATGTGAGTTTGGAATAGGAATGAGCATACCACGGGTGATTCGGTAGCCGTTTGGAAAGAAGGCAGCTCGCTCGATGTGGCATTCACATTCGGCAGCTCACCACTGACGAAAGGACTGGGCAATTTTGTACGGAATTGGTATAACTCGTTCGCACTATCTCTTAACCGATGGTCGTATGTAACATCGTGAAAGAATTTTTGCGCATCGAGAGCTCTTCCAAGGAGTAGAGCGAGATTCCGATCTGTGGTTTTTATGATGTAGGCAATCTTATCGACAGCTTCCCGGCCATCAAAAGCATTCTTGTACGTGAGACCGTCTTTGAGCCTATCTGCGAGTTGAATGCGGTCCCGAAACGCTTCCGCGACTCGTGAAAGCAACGCTGGGTAGACTATTGGCGTTTTGCGTGTGTGAGTTTTGATAGAGATGGGAGAATGGCGCCCTATGGATCAAGTCAATCGGGGTTGAACACGCTTCATATATGACCATCAATGACGCACCTTCTGGTAAACCAGGAATTGGGACTCTAGAAGCAAGAACTGCACGCATGGAATTTGTTGCTGCCGACATGGACATTGACCTATCCTGAGCTGATTTCTCTCGACGGGCGTTTCCTGTTACCCTATGGATATGGGCAGACTCCGATGATCTCCTTCCCGTGCTGGTGCCTACGAGTGTGCTGGTTGTAGCAGTTTCCATGGATAAGGAGTTGTTATCAGCCAAAGAGAAAGATGAAGGTGAGGTACTAGCGACAGATGACCGTATAGATTGAGCCGAAGCTGTGTCTACATGAAGCGAATGATTGGTGGAGGCATGGGAATGACGATTATGAGAAATGTTTGTAGTAGAGTTGCGTTGAGGCAAGGAAGACATAGTGCCTGTATGACGCTTTGATATAGATACATTAAGATATATAGAGGGGGCTCACGTGGAGATTCCTTTCTTGCCCAAGGCAGCTCGCTACTGTCATCAGTACTTTGATCGCTCGAATTGCTTTCAGCTGCGAAGTCGATACCGAGTCTACCGTCATCGCTTTCGACAGCGGGAAGGGAAGACGGAGTGGAATTTCGATAGATTTGAGCTTGGTAGGCTTGGGCCGGGGTAAGGCCCGACTTGGTCAGTGCTTCGAGAGAAGGATCTGGTGGTTCCTCTGGCTTCGGGGCAATAATTCCTGGTCCGTTTGTACTGGAATGTATAGATCTGGCCCTTATAGAGACAGAAGGAGGGGCAAGAGAAGGAGTATAATTGTATGAAGAAGGAGTGTATCTCGGGTACGCATTTGGGGGTATATTGGAAGAGTTATACGTTGGATTGGTGTACAGTGACGGCGAGTGATGGTACTGTTGAAAAGACGTCCTCCTGTCAACGGCATTTTGCTGGTAACTCTGCGGTTGCTGCTGGTAATAATAGTTAGTTTGAGGTGGGTATGGAGGCTGGACAGTGGGAACAGGAGATTGATGATGGTGAGAGGCGCTTGGACGTCCAAAGATAGACTCGTAGGCTGCATTCCTCTTATCTGGTGCGGGAGGCTGCCTAGGACCCATTGGTTTGTCCATCGTCGTTGACGATGATGGTGAAGGAGGAGAGTTTGCCAGGCGCTGGTCACCACGCGCCGTATCAAAATTCCGGCTTGATGAATAGAATTCGGCCGGCTTGACGACATTGAAAAATATCCTTAGTTGAAGCAGGTTGAAGCGTCCAACGTATCCTATCTATCGGCTTTCTACCACCTATTGATGTTCAGCTTCAACGTTCTATTTCAAAACTCAACAGTCTCAACACTTGACCGGCCCTGACCTCCATACAAAATTCAGGAAACGTTTACAAGGAATACTGGAAATTTTCCAATTGGTCATGGTCAAATATTTCCCTTTTAAATTCATCAGATATCCTCTGGACGATTCATGTGGAAGGAAGGGTGGAGGCTGTTAGAGAGAGGATCCTAGATGATCCCTTATGTATATCCTTGTTCAGTTCCACTCTCTGGTCAAAGCTGTACATTTCGGCGGTTCACACGGACCGGTAAATCACTCGTGCGGAAATCACCTGCTAAAGCGTTAAGAGGGGTCGCCCAGAACTTTCGTGTCGTTCTTGGCTATGTTTCCCGCTAGGCTATCTAAATATCTATCAAAGAAACCTCTCCACACGATCATGCACATTACCCGTCAACGTAACACACACTGGAAGACCTTCGCACCCTCAGCTCTACCAGGTTCAGAAACTTTTGCGGCCCAAAGCTCACTTCCAAAGCTTCCAGTACCCGAGCTTAGTGGAACATTGTCGTATCTTAAGGAGAGTTTAAAGCCGATAGCTTGGAATGAGGCTGAGTACCGCGCCGTGGTATCCAAGATTGACGAATTTGGTGCTAGAATCGGACCAGAATTGCAGAAACGTTTGCTGAAAAGGCAAGCAGAAACTGATCATTGGCTGGAACGTTGGTGGGATGATGGCGCATACTTGGGATACAGGGAATCTGTAAGTAATATAATTGACTGCAATATGAATCCATGATCTGAACAACCATCTAGGTCGTCGTTAATGTGTCCTACTATTGTAAGCTTAGCCCTGTGAAAGACGCGATAAGCTGACATCACATCCAACCTTAGATGGTTTTGATGATCACCCCTCTCACCTGCGTCAGACTCCTGCTGCTCGTGCAGCCGCTCTCGCAAGAGGTGCCATGTTGTTCAGAAAGAAATTGAAACAAGGCCAAATAACACCGGAAGGAACGAGGGAAGGGCCGTTTTGCATGGACACATATAGGTGTGTGATATCTTCTGCTTCAGCAATGCGGAACTCCTCTCAATTCTGAAATAGATGGATGTTCGACTGCTGCCGGATTCCCGGTTCGGACGGTTTAGATTGGAGCAAGTCGTTTGCTGTAGAGGGAGATACGGGCGACTCGGGACATATTATCGTTATGCGCAGGAATCGTATATGGAGAATCGACGCGGCTGTCAACGGTCGAATACTTAGCACTGACGAATTAGAGAGGTGAGTTGACCCAGAATCATGTTGTCGAGTTCATTAATCAGGCGCACCCCAGCCAGATCAAATACATATACGAGAACACCACACAATCTTATTCTGGTGTCGGTATTCTGACGGCTTCTAATCGCGATGTATGGGCTAAGGTATCCGCCTCAAAGTTGTGATATATCCTTGTCACCTCGTTAAACAATCCTTTGTCTATTAACATAGGATTACGCAGAACTTGTGACCTCAGAGCATAACTCTGACATTTTGGACACAATTCATTCATCTGCCTTCATCATATGTTTGGAAGAAGGTGCTCCATCATCACCAGAACAGAACAGTCGCGTTTTATGGCATGGGCATTTCTCCAATGGTCAGGCCGTCGGTCTCCAGAATCGATGGGTCGACAAGCCTTGCCAGTTCATTGTATACGACAACATGTATGCCGGCTTCATGGGAGAACACTCGATTATGGATGGAACTCCCACCGTTCGTCTGTGCGATGAAGTCCTCGATGCTTTAGCGAGTCCTTCTTTCGATCATGGCGTTAAACCATCTGGTCAGCCCGCTATTCCTCCCACTCCCCTCGATTGGGAGATATCGGCTGCAACAGCCCAGGCTATCATGACTGCCAACGCCGCGGCACTAGATCTTATCAATAGCCAAGTGCTTTCATACTATCTTACGTCTTATGGGAAAGACGAAATCAAGAAATTTGGCGTGTCTCCGGATTCTTGGGCGCAGATGATCATTCAGCTTGCATATCGTAGAACAATTGGGAATGAAAACAGAAAGGGTGGCACATACGAAGCTGCTACGACGAGGAAGTTCTACAAAGGTCGCACGGAAGCTATACGAGTGGTCACCTCTGAATCAGACGCTTGGGTGGAAAGTATGGACAACCCAAATGCTAGTAACGCCACCAGGAAGGAATTGTTCAATCTTGCTACCAAGAAGCACGTTGCACTAGCCAAACTATGCGGTGCAGGTCAAGGAATTGATAGACATATACTCGGTATGTTGCTACTTCCGGTTTTCGAAGACATTTCTCGAAATTCCGCAGGTCTCAAGAAACTACTCGCGGAGTCCGAAGAAACACCCGCATTGTTCTCTGATCCCGTATTCACGAGATCCAGCTATTGGGTACTCAGTACATCTGCTATATTCTCCAAACACTTCAATGCATACGGATGGGGAGAAGTAGTTCCAGACGGATTTGGTGTCGCTTATATGACGGGGCACAATGGTTTGTTCTGCACGTTGGCATATTTCACGGTCATCACTGACCGACTTGACTTTCTAAATTTCATTCCGCAGATCGTCTGCAGTACACTATTACATCTAGGAAGGAAATGCCTAACTCCAAATTTATTAATGAGATTGCTTCAGCAGCTAGGGACTTATACAACCTACACAAAACCATTGGCACGTCGAAAACGAAATTATAGATATATAGATAGAATAACGTGTAGTTGTTGCATTTAACGAATGAGTACTCAGATCTCAGAAGCTGGCTGGATGTAGTTTGCAGCTTGTGGTAAGTGAGCAAGTGCGAAGGAGTCCGTCGTCGATATAAATTATCGCCGTCGGCAAGTGCCATCACCTCACTCTTCTTCATATTACCAGTACCATTATTGCTTTAGTGCTTTGGCGGTTCATATCCGCTCACTGGAATACAATGTCTTCTTTAATTACGACAGTTCGAAACAGTATGCCCTATCTACTGCTCTTTGGCAACGCTCACTAATACTCGCGCGCAAGAATTTCTCGAAGCCATACGATCAGTTAATCCTCCGGGAAGGTGGAAGATTCTGGTCGTCGACGAACATTCTCAAAAGATATTGGGCTCAGTGCTGAAGCAATTTGATATACTAGAGGAGAATGTTACGCGTGCGTGCCAAAATTCGTGCCCGAAATGTGTTTCATACCTCTCACTGCAGAGATTGAATCCATCTCGAATTACCGGGATCCTCAACCAGGATTAGAGGCCATGTATCTCATTATGCCAACCAACCAGAACATTGATCGAGTCATCCAGGACTTCAGTGGCACTCCCCAATATGCTGGTGTTCATCTGTTCTTCATCGAAGGTAATGCGTGATAGTACAAGGCATATCGTCAGAACCCTCATTTGCTGTTGGTCATCGTCCTGATAGGATTGTCCGAACCCCTCTTCAACCGACTGGGATCCTCCCCAGCGGAACCACATTTGCGTACACTGCAAGAACTATACATCAACTTCCGAGGTTGGTTCTTATTCACAATCAGCGCAAATGAGGTTCTAACACTGGCATTCTCAGCAATTGAAGCTCAAGTTTTCTCTGTGGACTCCCCTGAGCTATTCTTCAGTATTTACAGCCCTCCACGGAATGAAAATAGCTACCGTGCTGCCCGTGATCGTTTAGAAGAAGATATTCGATTTACAAGCAAAGTTGTGCGTTCAAAGGAACATTTTACTCATTCGTCGTTGCTAATTTGTGCGCTTTCGAATAGATCGCCAATGTCTGTATCACATTGAACGAAAATCCGTACATCCGATACTATGTTCCAGCGAACCATCCACCACTGGGCCCACTGAAACCACACGCTTCCACTCGCCCACCCCCTCCACCAGAAAACGCTACAAGATGGCGGACCAACCTAGCTCGTGGAGATACGGCGAGAGCATACGAGTCGGTGGAGACTGATTATGTGGCCAAACTACTTGCTTTTATGGTGCAGAGTAATCTGGACGAATATAAGAAGCAAAATGCGAACTTCGGGGTGCGTTCCCCATTCCTTTCACTCCATCAATAGTAGGTGACGCTTTTCGTTCAGAAAAACGACGCTCGTCCAAGGGCGACTTTGATCATCACGGATCGTTCCATGGATATGATGGCGCCTTTCCTTCACGAATTTACCTACCAGGCCATGGCAAACGACTTACTACCTATAGAAAATGGAACAAAATACACGTTAGCTCATGATCATCTCCCCCAGAAATCATAACCTGAGTGTCAATTTTGCAGATATAAATTTCAATCGTCAGTGGGAGCATACGAAGACAAAACGGCAACTCTTTCTGACGCAGATAATGTGTGGACCGAAGTCCGTCATATGCACATGCGTGAAGCCATTGACAAATTGATGGCCGATTTCAACAAGTTCTTGGAAGAAAACGCAGTATTCAAAGGGTGTGTCAAACTCTGTGGAGTTCTTTTTCGCATGCTCATCCCCATTTGCACAAGTGATAATGCTGCAAATCTAAACGACATGAAGGAGATGCTTGCCAATCTACCGCAGTTCCAAGAACAACGAGAAAAGGTATCATCGTCCGGTACATTGACTATCTGTACTAATATATATACTGACCAGTTCTCTCTACATCTGAGCATGGCGCAAGAATGCATGGGCATTTTTGAACGTGATAAGTTGCCCCTTGTGGCAAACGTCGAACAGGTCAAAGGTTTTCAACATCATACTGTCCACCGGTCACTGAAGTTATACACTAGAACTGTGCAACGGGTCTGACTGCTGAGGGAAAAACTCCCAAACACCTCGTAGAGGAGATGGTCCCTTTGTTGGACAGTCGAGAGGTCATGTATGGGACCTTTGTCTATTTCTTTACAGCATTCCATCTGACCGTTGTTACAGAAATGCGAATAAAGTTCGAATTGTATCGCTTTATATTCAGTTCCGAGAGGGTGTTCCTGATGAGGATCGTCGACGGTTGTATCAGCATGCTCGATTATCATTGGCTGAGCAGGACGCTGTCAACGCGTTAACAAGTTTTGGTGTTAGAATATCTAGGGTTTGTTCAGCGTTTCTCTTTTACCGTTAGACCACGTTCGATATAGACGTACTCTTCAGGGCCCTAGTGACAAGGACATAAAGAAGAAGCTAAAACCGAAACCTGCAGATGACAGCGAATACGATCTCTCTAGATATAAACCTTTAATCAAAACAGTTATTGAGGTATGCAAATTTTGTGCTCACAAGTTATCCACTGCTTGATTTCTCATTAATCCTAGGAATGTGTAACTGACAAACTCGATACTGCATTGTTCCCATACGTGAAGGAAGCGCCTTCCGCTGTGCCCATTCCTACTAGTCTGCGTTCGCCACCTCCGGCAGGCTCTCTGCGAAGCGCAAAACCCTCTTGGCATCGCGCCGCTCGACCAAATGCGACTGTAGAGAACAGACCACGGATCTTAGTATTTGTAGCGGGAGGTATGACATACTCGGAAATTAGAGAGGTGTACCAACTCTCGACTTCTTTGAACAAGGATATATACATCGGTAAGAGGCTAAGTTCGAATCCAATCGCAGGATCTGATTTGCTTCAGGTTCAACCCACGTTGTCACCCCTCGTCATTTCGTAGACGATCTTAAGGTCCTCGAGCTTGGTGGCGTCGGGTCTCGAGCAATACCTAACGGCTTAGCGGAATCTCGAGGTCAAAGACCATATCAGGAATATTATGACGACAAATATTATACCAAAGATGGTCCCCGACCCCAACCTCAACCGAAAGCAGTTGCGCCGACTCGCACTGCAACACCCAAGGCTCCTCGTCTTATTCCAACCATCTCTCATGACTCCTCCAGCTCCGCCACGTCTTCGGTGAAGGAGGAGAAGAAGAAGAGAAAGGGATTGTTCAAATTTTGAAGTTGAAGCAGCGTGCATTTCACATCGTGTAAACTTATTGGTACAAGCCTATATTTATTTAATGGGCGACATTATTTTAAGGTTCAGCTACCGGAGTTGTGGCTTAGAAGCAAGATACTGTGCGGGTTGAGGTGAAAATGCGGTCTGGGCAAGGGCAAGAGCATGAACTGAGATGATATCATACAGTCTGGACATCTGGCCCGCTACATATTTCCCGAATGAGTGATAGTCTGGTACCCTCTAGACTTGCACCAGCAGTGTATAAATGTTCGATACGCATGTAACATATTTTCTCCCTCTCTCCTACACTGTTGTTGAAAGGCGAGTGAACTAGTTTCTCAAATTATTATCCCACCGTTAACGACAGAGTGGACAATAGTAATGCATCCAGTCACTGAATTTGTCTGGACTTTGATCCTCATCGCTACTGGTGAAGGCAAACGTCGAACATAGTGAGCACAAGATTCGGTTTTGACCTTCGTAGATCAAAACTAAAAAAAATTGAATGATCCTAGGTATGTATAGACCGCCAAACTGAACTTGCCACAGAAACGCCAAAGTGGAGCACAAAAGCCAGGCTCTCCTGTATGATTAACTGGCTTGTAATATAGTATACCCTGTAATACCATCAAGGAATCTTCATTATGGTACATGGATCAGACAGAATACACCAAACTAGTCTAAGCCGAGTACTCTAATTTCGCTTGAGGAGGTTGAATATCAAAACAAAACTGTATCGGAAATACGGAAGGGACGTACTTTCATGCTTCTTAGCATCCGACACTTTACGAGCAGACTTGGTCAGATCCTCCTGGTTAATATACTCCCTTTGGTAAACGATGTTCAGTACCAGAGCAAGACACATGATCCATGATGAGCCACTCACCTGTCGTCACGTATAGCGCACATGCCAGCTTCTGTAACAATGTTGCGCAAGTCAGCACCATTAAAGCCATCAGAAAGCTAGTGAGGATTAGAAAGGATCTTGTATGTGACCATTCTTGAGCTGCTTGCCTTGACAATGGCTTCATAGTCAATATCTTCAGCCTTGTTAACCGGTTGACAGTGAATTTTGAGGATTTCCAGTCGAGCTTGTTCATTCGGTAACGGTATTTCGATTTTGCGGTCAAGTCGGCCAGGACGCAATAGCGCGGGGTCGAGGGTATCAGGTCGATTCGTGGCCATGATTAGTTTTGTACGACCTAGAGAGTCAAAACCATCCATCTGATTAAGAAGCTAAAAAAACCTATCATTGAGAATTGCTGATGACTATAGAAGAAGCGGGCTCACTTCCATCAACGTGCGCTGAATCTCTCGGTCAGCACTCGTTCCCTCAGAGAACCGTCGACCCCCAATAGCATCAATCTCATCCATGAATATCACACATGGCTCATGTTCTCTCGCATATCCAAACATTTCACGCACTACTCGCGCGCTCTCTCCGATGTACTTGTCTACGATTGCAGAGGAAACAACCTTGAGGAAATTCGTTTGGAGTGTGGCAGCGACTGCTCGTGCAAGTAGAGTTTTACCCGTTCCAGGAGGACCATACAATAATACACCTTTTGGTGGGTTGATACCAACTCTCTGGAACAGCTCCGGATTTAATATAGGAAGCTCGATGATCTATGGTGATACCATGAGGATCATCGGATCGCAACAGAAGGTTTGCTTACTTCACGCAACTCCCTAACTTGGTCAGTCAGTCCGCCGATACCAGCGAAAGATGCACCTCCGGGATCCTCTAAGCTCATCTTATACACAAGTGGGTCAACTTCACGGGGAAGAATTCGCATGACCGTTAATGTAGTCATGTCGAGAGAGACACGCGTCCCGTTCTTCAATTTTTCCGCCGGTAATGTTGGTCGATATGACACGACATATCGAGGACCTGAGGAAGCCTTGACAATGACTGCAAAAAGCTAGTGAGACCTTATAGTCTAGAGGATGGAGTAAACGCACATCGTTCATCGTCTAGCTGCTTCATAACCTCTCCGATGATTTGACCAACAGATTGGACGGCTTTGATATCTTCTTCTGTTTTCTCATATTCTCGTTCCAGATCTTTCAAAGAGAACCTCACTACAGAACATTAGGCCGAACTCCGCCAAGTAGGGAATGATCCAACGTACAGTTCTTGAGACTTTCACTACTCGTTTCGTGGCTTCGTAATTTCTGAACAACTCACTTAATAAGCCGAAATCATGGACAAGTAGACAAAGTACAGGTCATACATCTCTATAGTTTTTCAGAGCCTCCTTCCTACGTGCGTCCATTGTTCCGGACGATGTTGATGCTGGACCTTCCATAGTGGTGAATCTAGGTAAAATACAAAACGCAAGACAAACGCGTCAGTGTTACGCGTCCCTCCGTTTTTAGCCATTTGTTCTCACGGTTCCAAGCTTATGGCCAACTCACAAGGTTCTACTGTAACTTCTCATCGACATCTGCATTTGCAAACCTGTAAGCTCGCCAAAGCAAAACTACTAGGTAAAGAGTGCTCTCTAGCACACAAAGCACCGGGGAAAAATTCCAGCTTGCTCAAGGTACTTTGGCTGCTGGGAAGTGCTAGGAAGTGCTCCTAGCTGCTCTTCAGGTGATTCGCCAAAAATAAAGATTTTCCAGATGGAGATCAAGAACTCTGACATCATCTCAGTACTCAGATGAAGTCTAGAATAAAGACCGAATAGATAGATGGAATATCAATACCAAAGTGCCCGTTCTTTTCAAGTGTAAGGTCAGAGGCTGTCAATCAAATGTTTTTTTAATTGCCGTCCCGATCGGGCCGCCTCGTATATCTTGCTTTGACCGCATCGTTTTTTCAAATCAGTGAACCGCGGTCCCAAAATTCATATTTTCATACAATTTGTACTACTACATTTTCTCCTTAAACTACATTCCAAGAATCAATATATCTCAGTGCTGTTTGCGACCCATTTAGCACAGAACCCTAACAGAAACTGTCGAACGGTCATTACAAATCTTTCAGTGAGTATCATAGCAATTCACCTGGGTCTCCGATGTTGAAGCAAAATCCATTTTGCCCGACAAGGCTACCGGTGCAGCCGCTGTTAGAAGGAATCAGCCTTCGAGCTCACAGACTGTCATAGCCACTCCAAGTCAAATACTCACGTTCCAGTGAAAACTTCAACTGTAACGTAAAGTCCGTCGTCAATAAAATAGGCAACATGATATCTTGGTTGAGACTTACATTCACATCCCTCAGGATCATTGATCACCTGCATAGCGACAGTGTTGGGAGCAGCAAGCTGGCACACGGAACCAGTTCCCGAAACTGTGGTTCCACCGCCATTGCAGTTTTCGGGGTCACCTCCAGCAGTAGTCTCATACATGAAGATCTCCCAAGCAGAGGCTAAAGAGAGAAGACTAAGGGAAGCAAGGGCTGCAAGCGATTTAAAGAGCATGACGATCAAGTGTGTCGAGTACTATGAGCTCTGTGTGAGTGATAGTAGAGAAGGCTCGAAAGAGGTTCTCAGTAGGCCTTGGAAGAAAATTAAAGACTTATATACGTTGAGCTTTATATTATGTAGCCAATGGAGATAAACGAGAAGTAAATCCACAGGAAGCATTAGCCTCAGTCATGACCTTCCATATCAATTAGTTAGTATGTAGTTAATGTGTTCCTTCGGAGCATTACCTACGTTACACCCCAAAAAATATAAACGGACAAAAAACCTCTCGTTGAGATGTGTTTCTGCCTTGACTTCAACTGGGCGCAGATCATCATTTAGAATATGCAGCTCTGCAAGTCTTAGACAAGCTGATACTACAAAGCTCAGCGACAACTAAACTGACTCGTGCTTTCCTCTTCACTTCGCTGTCATTCGGGAACTCGAATTTTCCGCAAAATACCGTCGACCTAGACTACTACGAAGTAGTTCTGGATAAATCCATTATGAGTTTTAACCTTCGGGGACAACAGTGTATTGAGAAACCACATCGTGACATTTCCACTGAAGAGGATTGACGGGTGTCGATAATATATGCGTCATAAGACGCTCATCTGTATAGGGATGAACACAAGTAAGGCTTGTAAATTACTCACCACGTCAGGTCTCGGACTCATGACTCCGTCATCAAACTATTACGATGTACATAAATGCTACTAGTACTCAGGCTGATATTCATGTTGTGCATTTTCAAGCTCGTAACTTTATTTCAGTCGAAGTCACGGTGGCGAAAACCATAGTCCACGATGCAGTCCACACGACACACCCCAAAAAGAGGTATGTTCGTACGGAAAATAGACAGTCACCTAGAATCACAGACGGACATCAGCTATTTTGCGTTGGCTTATTTGATGTACGAAGTTAGCCAAATGGATATGTTCCTGACTTTGTGAATCTTCGCTTTCATTCTAAGTCTTTCAATTTCAATCAGGACTGGTGCCCTAGTCCCATGCCATAGAACAGCGGCACAATGAATGAAAGCCCAAGAACTGGCTAATCAGTATGTACAGCCTGAGCTTGATCATGAAAGACTTACTTCCCGGAGTAAGAACGGAATGATATAAGTCCGTATGCGACTTTCAAAGAAGTTTTCCTACACTGATGACCTTCATTGACAGATGCCTAGGCCTTGGGTTCCCTGATAAGAGTAAATATTTTTGTTACTCTCTGAGTGTGCTAAACGAGCTCTCTACTATTTTCTGAATGCCTCAGAAGAACCAGTCAGAAACTTATCACGCAGGCCCACTAAAGGATTTGGATGTGGCCGCCCATGTGAATATCAGACGCTTAGGAATCATCATCTTGCGAAAGTCTTTTCACTGAAGGGAGTCAAAACCCCACAAGTCGTTGAATTTTTCGAAGGATTAGGTCATGTTGACTGCACGCAGAGAATTGACACAACTAATACATACAGTACTTCAAGCCTGCCAAGTAGAAAAGTCCCGTAATCACGACAAGAAGACATACAAAAGCATCGTTAGACCTGTGAAAATATAACAAGGAACGGTGCGACGTACAGCACCGGAGGTAGAGGAGACTGCAATAGAAGTAGATATAGGAGTCGTGGTAACAGAAGCTGTCTCTGTCTGTATAAATGATGTCCAGGCAGCCCGAGTGGCTTCTGGCCAAATGGTTGAAGATTCTGTAGACAACGAGCCGTAAAAGATGGGATCGGAGCCAGGCATAACATCTTCTGCAAGTTCTGGATCTTCACCGCCCGTTACAGTCGAACCAGTGACCAGTCCAGTTGTATTGGTACCGAATACAAATTGCTGAAGGAATATCTTGGCCTGCATACAGTCACATCGGAAATTGTGCAACATGAAATAAAGCAAAACTGACATTTGCTGGGGCCGTCGCTGCTACCAAATGCCCAGCACCTTTGAACAGAACGTAGGTCCAATTTCTCTCTTGATGAACGATTCCAGCAAGGGTACCCGAAACATCGGTCCAGGGGGTTGCGGGCTTCCGCGTGAAGCCTTGAATACCTCCGAACGTAGTATTCTGCAGAGGTATCGAAGGTGGAGCTTGAGTTTAACTTCGAGGAATATTCATATGATTGCGCTTCACCTGAATGACAACTATGATCACCAGAAAACACCGACTCAGGAACTCTCATACTAATTGAGAGGAGCATTGTAAAGTAATACGCACCCTCTGTCCCGCGATGTGCTATCAATGAATCATCATTTCCCGAGAAGAATACAAAACCGACGCCTTTTTCAGTGCCGTTGGTAGCAAGATCAGTCAAGAATGTCATTGGCCTAGAAAGATATTACTCAGATGCTAGAGCTTAATGAAAACAAAGCAAGGGTTCGCACTCGGGGCCTACGTAGGGAAAGTATTAGTTAGAGTCTATGAGCAATAGCTTAGTCGTTAGACTTACTAGGATCATTTCCTATGTTCACAGAGAACAATATATATTGATCGAGTCAATATGTCTATCGAGGATTCACTGACAGACTTACCTCCTAAAGCTCCGAATGGAAAATCAAAATCTAACACCCAATCTTTGCTGGTGGGAGCATGGATAGCCGCCCTCGTTCGATTGTCTGATACAAATGTCATTCACAATACTTCTTTCAGGTCAGGCCCCTTCCCATACCGTTGAGGAAGACAGACGCATCGATAGGAACTTCCGGGTCGAGTGCGTCGGGGATATTGTAAACCTACCAATTTTTACTCCGATGTCAGTGAATCATTAGCAAAAGAGCATGCAGGAAATACATACATCAAAAACTCCTCCATCCGGTTGAGAGAGAGCTACAAAGTCGCAATGTTTGCTCAGTATGAATTCAGATAAATGAAAGGCAACGAACTCCAAGGAAATGTAAAGTTGATGGCGTAGTCGATGAACTCATCCAGGAGATCACAACCGTACTGCATAGTTGTCAACGATCGAGCCAGTACGTATGAGAAGAACACATACCCTTGAATCAATTGTCCCATTAGCTCTTCCGGTCAAATCTCGCTTGCTCCGAACCCAATCCTGGCGCCTCTCCTCACGTTTACGGAAATGTGTCGATTTTGCAAACGGGTGCAGGTCTTCCGTCTTCGATCGCTCTTGGAAGCGAGATAAAAGCCGAGAGCGGAATGAACGGCTCTTGAAGTTGTTCGAGAACTTCAATCTGCTGGAAAAAGAGCCTGCCTCGTCGCTATCGTAGATTCCAGGGACATAACCAAGCGTTGGTATTGTACCATTTTGTGGATAAGTCAGGTTCACATCGTAGCCACAGAGGTGACTCCTAGGTAAAATATTGTTGAGGATGATCCTTCAGGGAAGACGATACGAAGACGCACTGTTCTTCGAAGTATTCGAATACTTCGGGGTCATAATTTATAAGTTGTGGATAAGTCTCTATAACAGTGACCTGAAAGATTAAACTTTCGGTCAGATTCCCTGCACGCTGGTTAAACGATTACACTTACTGCTGGAAGATCTTGAAATTCCGGACCAGAACCTACTGAGCCGTCGCCGATAGCGATTTTAGCAATCGTTACGGGAGAATTAGGACTCTCAAAATGAGCTTTCAATATGTAGGGCTGACGAGTAGAAGCAATGAGAACAGAGACGAGAAGGACTGGAGTATAATTACTATGTATGTTCCAGCATAACTTTCGCCAGTGATATATAGAGGACGAGTGGCAAGACTCGGGAAAACCTTGACAAGATTGCTCAAAAATCCTAGCTAGATGAGAAGACAAGTCTCGAGTGAATCGTCCCGAAGAAAACACCATCAATGTTGAACATACAAAATCCGCTCCCATCTGATCTTCTCCAGAGACTACGGAAATCGGAATTAGCAATGTTTTCGAGTGATAGGGAAACAATATGTACTGTAGCCGGCTTCGTCAGCAGTGGAGAAACCAGTCCCACTGCAAATCCCTTCGGTAAACGGAAGTAAAGAGGAGGTGCACGATAAGAAACGAACACTGGTTGATCGATCCACACGTAGTCCGCTACTGTATCCCAGGAAAATTCTGTGTTCGAAGACATGGAGTAGTCGCCATTGATATGCATTGGTCCGTTCTGAATGGGAATTTAGACTGACAAACTTGGTGCAATACCGATTACACTGACTTCAAAAAACATGCCTGCCATACTGGAGGACCCAGGTCTAAGTATGTTTGACAAGAATACCCTTTAATCAGCATCGTTCTCGTGAAATCCGCTGCACAAGCGTACCCTCCATTTAACCAAATTCCCCACGGTTCAGTACTTGTATTTGATGTCAATGAACCGTTCTGATGTTCGAAAGCCCAGAAGAAAAGGGTATCGTTAGGATGATCTGCACGTTGAACTGGAAGGTTTCCAGCGAAACTTCGTGTTAAAGGAAATGTAACGTTCGGGAGTGGCTCGGTGACTTCAAAATCTATAAGTGATGAAGCGAAAGCGAGAATTTAGCGGATTTGATCACAATTGATGACGGAATGAATAGATGAAAATTGATAATCTTTGAAGCATGATTGAAGAAAAACTTACAGCTTTGCCATTCGGGACTGTAGTCGCCAGAGGGAGCACCAGCATAGAGATGAGGAAATGAGCTAGGTAGTGACTGAGCCGTGGCCAAGCAGGAGAAACATAAAGCGACTCCGCAAGAGCCCAACAGCATCTTAAACCGCGTCAGGCGCGAAGTGGTCGTCATTATCGGGTCGAGAGGAAAGTGGGTGGATAAGTTTCGAGTTGTGGTGTCCAATGCTGTTTATATGGAACCCAAGGACAATTACCAGTAACCTGAGAGTCCTGGTGTACAATCCTTGGATGGTTCCTGGGGTAGGAATAGTCCTTGACAGCGACTTGGACAATAAGGATCCTATAAATACTGGGCAGACACCATGTTCTATTGTTTACTTCGTCGAGAAGTTCCGCGATGCTATCAAGAAGCACATGTACACTAACGCACGATAGTTAACCATCCGATTTCCATATGGATTCATGGTTGTGCATAATTATAAGCAAAGCAGGACTATCTATAGACGCCCGATACACTTGTACGAAGTCCCTTAGAAGCGGCAAGCCTCACACATAATCAGAATCTGATACTTGACTTTTCAGCTCTTTCACCATCACAGGAACAATCAAGCATATTCTAGTCAAGAAATTTCACATGGGGCCAAAGGCGGAGGAGTATCGGGTGTACCCTGGTGCATGTCGATGATTGTCGTCAAAGTCGAGATACTAAACTGGTACCATACTATTTATCTCAGTATCTATCCCAGTTCGACTCGGCTTCGTGGTCTGGTTAAGGAGGGTCTCTCCGAAACAAGCTCACTCGCTAGATCCATTAGCTCATCGAGAACTCATGAATCCTCGCACCATATACTCTACTTTCATCACATTCTTCAGGAAAATCCCTTTCCCTTTCTCAAAGCCGATGCCTGGCTAGATTAGTACATAGAAGGAGTACTTCGATGCATACTTATTGGGAGGACAGACCTTCATAGAAGGGAAGAGAAGAGAGAATGAGAGGGGTAAGGATATCCCCCCAGTTGAGTTCCATGTTCTGGTTACGTGGCTTGATCCGTTCATAGACGGTAGTGCCGGATTTTCGGTATTGCGTTACTACTGTACTTGCGCTTGAGCGTCGAGGAGTCTGCAGCCAACCACTGGACCATTTAGAGTTTCACGACTCCCAGGGACAAGCTATATATGTCATTTAAATGTCATTGTTCAATAAAGTGTTTAAATTTCCAAAACTGTCCTCTCTCTCAGCAAGCTTTTAGAAAGCCCCAAGGAATACATCGTTTCTTCATTCTTCCTGGACTTCAAAGAAAGCTCGGATCTCCAACCCACACTAGAAACCCCGACGAGCCGAACTTGGAAAGCCTCCATTGCTCATGAATTATTGTTCTTGCATCTTTTTCTATCCTTGTCCGTCGACTTCAGTCCTAGCTCTTTGTAGCCCTCAAAACCACCTCATCTAACGAGATTGCCCGATACTCCTCCGCGGGTCCTCCTGCACCCTCTAGTGCCGCCCAAACCGCATCATCCAATATGTACACCAACAAACCCCCTTTTCCATCCATCGAGGGAGTAATTCTGAACAACGGCATCCTGGATTTTTCGTGTGCACGCCCGGTAGGCACAAACAAAAGATCGTGCGAGGCTGTGTATTCTTCGACGATGGATCGGAATGTGATTTCTTGTGTGCGAGCAGATGGCCGAAGTGATGAGGATGCATTGGTTTTCGCCCTGCCACCGTTGTTTGATAAACGAGAATAGGGAGAGTTTGTAAGCGCGTGTTGCGCTTGTTCGGCTCTGTAGTCTGGTTTGGGAAGTTGCGAGGGAGCATCTGGTCCAAGCTCAATCGCTTGATTCATAAGCTGGAGTCCTCGGGTGAATCCTTTAGAGATACCAGATACGCTTTGGATATTCTCGGGGAAAGAACCTTTCCAAAACGAATACCACTGAGCCACCTCCTCAAAGCTGACTTTTGGCTGGATAAGCCATAGATGTAACACCTCGATCCATTTAGGGAAGAATTCTGTTTCGAATAACTGAGAGAGGATCGAAGGTCGAAGGATGGAGGACCATTGAAGGACATAGTGAATGGGTTCCATGGACTGGTTACGTGGATTGATACGCAGGTCGGAACGGAGTGTTGCGCCAAGCTTTGGAACAATATACTTAAGGAGCATAGAGTCCCAGTCGTTGGCATCGAAGACCTGCATGATTCAGTATTTTAGCTCTGAATCACAAAAGCATTCCGAGGAATAAACACTTACGTCTTTCCAAGCCTTCAAATCCTCAGGCAAATCATCTCCAACAACCCAATGTCTCAACAAACTTTTCACTTTCCTTCTAGCATCTCCCACGAAATCCTCTAGCCTCAATCCGACATGGGGGAGCCAAGGGAAAATGATGGTCTGTAGCGAAACTTTCTTATCAAGCTGCTTCGGATTCCAATCCGCAACCGCCTTCTGCACTTTTGGTAGAATAAGCTGATCTAGCACGTTATCCCGGATAAACGGAGGCAAGAACGTCGACCATGCTTCGTAGAGCCGTATTGCAGGCTGAGGGTCATGAGCTGACCACTCGTTGTTCAAAGACGTTCGAACTTTCGGGAGCCATACGTTCCAGAGTAGGCTTTCGAACGGAGTCATGGGCTTTTGGCTATTCCAGGTGTCGAATCAATAAAAAGCCAACCGGTGCATGGACTGGAAGGGCTTACATTTGAACTGGTGAAGATACCACTGTCTTCGTCCCGGATATGTCAACTTGGGTTTCCGGAGGCGTTTCATCCTCGACATTGAATCTCAAGGCGCGCCTCCAATTCCGGAAAGTGGATATGAACACCCGAGGATCTTCCATCGGTTGCCACTGAGCTACTATTCTTCGCACCTGTGAGTAAGATTCGGTTATTTTCGCGTAAAATGACTACACGAGCAGACCCACATACCAAGGGCGTAATAGCACCAACAACCACCTCATCAAGCCGATATCTGTCAAGCTCTGGCTCAAACTCGGACGTTAGCCGGTAAAAAAGTGGCGAAAACTGATCCAAGGAGGCATCGTAATCAGCGGAAAGCTCTTTGGCTTTAGCATCGATTTCCTTTGTGACAATGTGAATTTGTTGAAGGCGAGCAATCACTGTAATTGATGTTAGCATGCTCGTTCGGGAAAGTGGATCGCGGATGCTTACAATCAGCCTCATCTTCTATTCTCTTCCGGAGTCGAAGATCCTCTTGGACTACTAGCTTCTTCCTTTCCTCTAAAAGTTTACCTTCCCGTGCCAGACCATCGAGATCGGTCTTGCACGATTCCGCGATGAGACGAACATTATGCCGTACTTCGGGGATTCGTGTAGAGTCCATTGTGGGAGTCCATGAGTTGATTGAGACGTCGGCCAGAGAACTGACTTCTCGAGGCTGGAATGCAGATCAGAATGTATTGACACGGAGCCTGATATGTTCTCACTTACCACTGCACCCGTTGCATCTATGATCTGCCCAATGCCAGCAGAAGTAGAAGTTTCTGTACCGGCCTCGGCGAGTATCTCTTCATACGTCTTATGTTGGATCTTTGTTTTGACTTTTCTCGGTTTCCTCCACGCCTCCGCCTTTTTCTCCTTGACCTCTCGTTCCTTTTTCTTTGCTTTTCGTATCTTGGGATCCTCATCGTCGCTGACGACTTCTCCTCGTCGCCTCGCCTCCATCTTTGATTGCTCCGTCTTCTCTTTGAACCCTCGAAAGGCAATACCGCTCTTTTCTGGTCTCATCTTGCTCTCGATTGGGGTGACGATACCTTCGCCGGTAGCACCGAGACCCTGACCAGCTTTCCAGCCCATTTTTCCGAGTATGCGAGCACCAAAAGAGCCAGAGAGTTTGGCGAAGTGTGCTTGCTCAGCATAACTGAGAGGAGCCGCTGGACGAACTGTGGGCGTGGAGTCTCGTACAAAAGATGCTGATCTTGTTTGAGAAGTAAAAGCAGACGGTGGATCGGATGATGGAGTATGCGTAACGGAAATTCGAGACCCAATTCCACCTTTGGAGGACGTGAATGAGGAAGCTTTGATAGTGCTCGAAGTTGCACCGGCCTTCGAGAAACCTATACCAATGCCAGCTTTTCTGTCAGAGCCAATGCCGCTGATAGATGTTGCGGCAATGGGGTTGTCTTCGTCGTCGTCTTCGTCTTCCTCACGTATTCGAGGTGAAGGGCGCCTGGAAGGGTCAGAGTCGTTGTCAGAAGATTCCTCTGCGCCCTCACCTTCGCCCTCACCCTCAGAGCTCTCTTCCTCCTCTGCGTGCTCGTTCTCATCCTCTTCCTCGTCCTTCTCAACGTTCGACTCCGTTTCCTCTTCAAAATCAATTTTCTTCGCCCCGGATACGAAAGCAGGCGCCTTTGTCCAATCACTTCTCTTGTTCTTCTTTGGATCCCGAATTCCTCTACTAGTTTCTTCATCAATATCCTCGGCAAATATTCCATACAATGCTTCCTCCTTGCCATTCCTCTTTCGCCGCTTTCGTTGATACGGATTTTCGAAAAGTTCGCGTTCTTCGCGAACATCTGCAGATTCGTTCATCGGAAGATCTTCAGCTTCAGAGCCATTGTAGGAGTCTGAGTCATCATCGTCCTCTAGAATTCGCTTTCGTCGTGCCATGGGGTGGGGACAGGATCTGGGATTAGGAAACAAAGCGAGATAGCACGTGCTTATGCAATCCACACTACATATGCACTAATAATGTAGACTCAGTTTCCAGAGCAACTTTTTTTTTCGGCCTCAATCTATATATAAGTATGTCATGATTTTCGTAGTGTGGTTCTGATTCGGACATTTGAGGGACTGCTTCGAGTGAGCCCGAGGAATATACTTCAGCAGATTTTGCCCAGCTCAACGGGGGAAGTTGAATGAGTGAACTGTTTCTGCAATCAAGCATTCCTTCACAAAATCCGTCAGATTGACGAGACTATCGCAATATATCATTGCACTATATTGCACTACGAGTACTTTATTGAGAATGAACTACACGCCCACATAATAAGCGCTTACAGTTTTATCTTAATCTTCTACCATTCTAACTGATATCAAGTCTGCTATGCACGGTGGACTAGTTTCCTACGACGGAGATAGTGACTCGGGGGATGATTCTACCCAAAAGCCTGTAAGTCTATTCAACCTCCTCCTTCAATAGCTGTTTCCCTCTTCCCGGTTAGGATACAAAGCTAAAGGTTAAAGCAGACGGAGGTGTGGAACGTTCGTCTCTCTCTCCATTCGTTCATCATAATGTCACTGCCTAATTGACCCTACCTTTCCAGCTCGCACGCAGCAAAAGAAATCACAAATTGTAATCAAAAGGCCAAGAACTTCTCAACGACCTAAAGGTCATGTCAGTATCGATTCTGCTCAGCCTGCCCTGACTACGCCCATGGCACCAGTCGACAACCTTGCATCTACATCGACAACAGGAAGCTCTCAAACGTCCTCGACGCCCGAACCTGAAGACGTTCATCTTGCACGTATCCGTGCTTTACTGTGCCCTCCCCCAATTCCCGGTCTAGCAGATTGGGGTATACCCCCAGAAGCGGAAACCGCCTGTGATCCAGAACTCGAAGCAAAGTTGAAGCAGTTTCACCAACTCAAATCTCTCCCTACACCGAAACACTTCAACGACACTCTCATGTCGAACCGTTCATTTCGGAATCCACATCTGTATGCTCAGCTTGTAGAGTTTGTGAATATCGATGAGCGGACGACCAATTTCCCGAAGGATATTTGGAATCCGGACGAAGTCAGGGATGGAGAATGGGACGCAGAGAAGATTGGTATGTGTCTTCCTTACCAACACCAGACGCTTGAGCTCAGTTGCGCGTTATGTAGCGAAATACCAGAAAATAAGATCGGAGCAGCAGTCGCAGCAGTCAAAGTCTAGGACACATATTGAATTTTCTTCGGGGAAGGATATTGTACGTCGTTTCTCTCTCGTCAATGTATACATACTCAATCACCCGCCCGTGCTACAGAGATCACACCCGTACGCAAACGCACCATCTGGCGGAAGTGCACTTGGAGGTCGAAGACAAGCCAGAAGTTCAGGTGGCCCTTCGCGATGGGGATAAATAACCTTTACCCTTTGTTTATGAACAGATTGTCATTCCTAATACAGAACTATTTTTCAACCCCGCGTGCTGCCCAAGTCGACGATATCAAGGCTCACCGCTCAGATTTTTCCTCCTACTCTGAAGAGTAAAATAACCCTTGAAGGCTACCCCGGGCTTACGCATTCACATGAAAGGCCATTCTGTCGCCCAAAGTAACTAACGTATATCGCCCTTCGAGGTATGTCTATGATTCCTCGTCCATTGCGCCGTACCCGAACATCTCGAAAAGCTAGACCATATCTTCCTTTGTGCAAGGCAATCTTACGGATGCACGAGACAAATCACGAATAATTTGGGAAGGGGAACGGCGCAGTATGTAATCCATCTACCTAAGTACCTGAAAGTTCATCTTGCAAAGACAAAACTATGACTAAATTCGACTCGGAATCTGGCATGATTTGGTATTTTTCGTCATCTCAACTGGGATGCGGAGAGAAGATAAGTCTACGTCTCCTCCCCGATTGATGTTGCCACCTCTGCATTGAAAATTTCCACTAAATATTTTGTAGCACAAAGATGATTCGAGGGTAAAGGTAGCTTCCTGATCAGTTGACCTTTTTCTGATTAAGATTAAATATCTAATGGTTTCGAATAGTGAATCAAATCCCACTAGAATTTTTGCTACTTCGGATACACAATGAATCCGGTGCTTCAAAAACCTCATTCAAAACAGGCGGAGAGGATATGCACGACCAACCCTGACAGCGTGAATTTCAGATATCATGATAACTTCTCTTACAACTTGGAAGTTTTCCGGAGGTATACGAGTGGACCTTAGCATAGACCTTGGTCTGAGTCTGGCATGAGTCGAGGCTTGCTCTTGAACAGCTCTTATCGGTTCTTAGCTCTCTCTGCTTTTCCCTAAGACGTCGTTCCAGAAGCTTAGGCTGGAGCGTTGACTAGAGTTGACCGTTGGCTTTTCTCCGATTGACCTAGGCACCCGAGTGAGACTTTTTTCTCTTGTTCCGAAATATCCTGATATGTCCTGACGATTCGTCGAATCAGATTGATGGAATTTACTAACGTTTAGCCTTTTTCGCCTATCACACCCAATTAGGAAGGTAACAAGAGCGAGGTTTAGCGAGGTTGCAACATTTGCGTCAGACGAAAACTTTAAAAAATCGAATGAGCCCACAGCTCTTTATGTAGCTAAGCAGCTGCAAACTTCTGCATGGTCACCAAGAATTGGGGAGGCTATTCGTATGTCGCGCATGTACATACACCCCTTTTTTTGATCAAAATTCCAAAACAGGGTTCGTGAAAGATCAGTCGTTTGATTTCTTCCAACCAGATGATCTCCTTCTGAGAATTTTGCTGTTGAATTTTAGAAAGGTTAAGGGAGATAGCAGTCAGGTAAGTGTCGACCAAGAGATAGACAGACCGGCCCCGACGAGTCCCGACGTATGGATAGTATGGTAATTATATGATCGAGCCTATTGTGTTTTACAATTTCAATTACAAGGTTAGTTGGTTTCGATTAATTTGGTCAAAATTGGGTGATAGCTGTGTATGTGTACAATGTCTAAGTGTGAAGCCTAAGGGGCTCGTGCGTTGGATAGCTATATTAGGACTGGATACCCTCCCCTTTTTGAAGCCCTCTGACTATCATTCGACATTCGTCTTCGACAAGCAAGTAAATCATTAGGTTTTTCTCGTCGTCGTAAATAATGGCGGACGTCTCAACCTCATCCCCCATTCCCTACGAAACTGTCGCATCCACTCTCGGAATATGGGTCATTTCGTTCTTTCTTGCTACGATGTATGTCGTCCGTCTTTCCATACCCTCAGGACCAGAATCAAGCAAAATTTACAGACTATATGGGATGGGTGTCTTGCAAGCTTGGCTTTACTTCCACTGGTATCCGCAAGACGGATGGAAATTGAAGTCGCTGGTACGTTCCTCGTTTTCTGTCTTTTTTTTTGCGGCCCTACAAATTCATATGATTGTTTTTCAGGTGTTAACGGTTCTGTACGTCTGACATGCACTGTTTCCTCAAATAATACGCTGATCCAAATTTCATATGTAGCATTCTGGAAACCGTCCAAGTCACAACCTTCTTCGCGGCTACTTACAACGTCATAATCAAGCATTTTGGAGATTGGGCAGCTGTCTTGGCTATCACTTGGTACGTTCTTTGTACAATTATGTTCCTATGATTTTAAGTATTCTCTGCATAGGTTGCACTCCGTAAGCTATATCGCGATTGAAATCTGACGCATCACGATCTCACGACTCTTCGCACTGCAGACTCAACTACTCGCTGGTGTATGTGTCTTTTCCTAGTATATATTGTCCTCTAAACATCCCTTACAGTATCTATCGGCCTTTGTAGTTCAAATGTATTTTGCGTGCACGATATATCTATGTTGGTGGACTCTCTGCCATTGCATGATCGTTGCTCATGCACCCAATAGTGAATGGCCCCGGACTGCAGCGCTGGGTTTTCACTATTCCAATCGTTAGTCCGCTCTCGATACAATCATCAGTGTTAGTGTTTTAGTCAACTCGCTTTCAGGTGCTTTCAGCTGTGGTAGAATTGGCAATGACGTTAGGTTTGTACCTCATAAACATCCTCGTGCACATTGAAGTTCATGTTAACGCTTATCATTTCCAGGGCAGGCTATTGAAATGTGATTTCTCCTTCTCTTATATCATGATATTCCAGTGACCTCCTTTCCCTTTCAGTACCTTTCTTTCGTCTTTCACACAGATAGAAAAAACCACGGTAACACACCTTACTTTACTACGCCTCTGTCATGAAGGTCTCACTTACTTCGGTATAGTGGATTTACTCGCTTCTCAGTGCATGCACCTTTTCTTGCGACGTGCTTATTGCTTTCGCAATATACGTCACGTTAACGGGAAAGAGGACTGCCATTCAAGAGTATGTCACTCGAGGTCTTCGACGTTTTTTTTACCTGATACGTGCTCAGAATTGCTGGCGTTCAATACTTCCCCTCTCGCTCAAACACCATTATCCGCAAGCTCATAATCTACGCTATCAATCGTGGTGTCCTGACGGCGATCGCTGCTGCAGTTAATCTGATTCTAGTGCGTCTTTTCTCATCAAGTCCGAACTAAACTCACTTGCAAAAGTTTCTCGCTATGCCAAATACTTTCTATTACTTCATCGGGCTATTGACAAGCAGTAAACGTGTGTATCATGCTCTCACTATCTCTATTTCGCTCATAGTTCCACGCCCAGTGTACATGAATAGTATGTTAGCAGCGTCAGTACCACATTATATCCCTAATTGAACCTTACCTCACCATCGATCCTATATCCATAGTTTGAACTCGCGCCAATACATCTCTCAAAGCTCTGAGGACGACGCGGCGCATTGCTGGAACTCCATTCCGGTCCAAGTCCTACGCTCCGAAACTCGTAGAAGCCGAGCGGCGGCTAGCTCAATAGGATACAACGATGAAACGTCGGTCAGTCCTTTATACGCCATACGTGCCATCCATGTCGTTCATGTCATCTTCAGATTCGTGATTCAAAATTAGGGTTTTCAGCGGACAGCATATAGGAAGGAAACTTCCTAAAGACGGACGATCATACTGTATTACATACCTACCTATGCGCATTTATCTCTCGATTTCGGAGCACATACATACAGCTATAACCAGGAACTAAAAGAATCACAAGCTATATGTAGTATTCTGCAAAAAGCTTCGTGAATGTGGTGGACCTACCAGCTTTTTATCATTAGTACGGGCTCTTGTCGGGCTCAACAATACTTTTGTGAGGTTGATATATGTTGGGGCAAAATATATAAGGCACGCAAACAGGAAACAAAAATTCACATGCAAGGAAATAACACTATCCTAAACGTTTGAACCTCTGAAGGAAAAACAAAAAGGTGGGGGCGATTGGTCAGGTACGAGACCAAATGACACCAAAAACAATGATGAGAGTGGGATTCGAACCCACGCCACAATGTGACCAGATTGTAGTGCGTATCATATACGTTGGTCTCCTTAGTCTGGCGCCTTAGACCGCTCGGCCATCTCACCATTAATAGCAAGTTCATCATCTGAATTGTTTCAAAGCATCATCCTACTACAGGATTGTCCCTTTCCAACGACTCGCCTTGGATTATTGTTGTGAAAGCGGGTTCGGGTACTGAGTTTTTGTCGTTGAACAGCGATTGATCTAAATTGATGACGATAAATACCGCCAGCGGATAGAGCACCTGACACGGATTGTAAATTCCATCATATGAAGGAAGTATGGTTTTTTTGCTCACTGCAGCGGCGTTTCTCACCATGACTAGTGCTAAATTCCACAGACTGAGCGAGTATGTTTCGTTTTGATATAGTAGGATTTGGACAAAAACATAGACAGCCTGGGTTCAGTTAAAACATTCAAGGGAAGGCTTGTTGAGACTATCGAAAGAGTGGTAACAATAGTTGATTACTCACTTGAATGGAGCAAAATGTTACTCCTGATTCCATGAGAAGCGAAAGAATCCGTCTGATCCTGGTGTGCCTCGAACTATTATTGATTGAATACATTCCATTAGATTGATTATAACTCCTGCGGGGCAGCGAACTCGGACCAGTCAAGTTAGGGAAAGAATCAATCACTATAGTATAATATAGCTTACCAGGCTTTTATGAAAATAAGTATCGTGGACAGTAGATTGACCACAAAAGAGACGGAGGTAGAGACATAGTCCATGACAATCTCATGATTAGCAGCGTCGGTGGTTATGTCGATCAACACATCAGCGATGTTCGTTGCTTTCGAGTGAGTGATTAAGTACGTCGAATCATACTAATCAGGATCCTCTCTACAGCCGAGCGCCTCACCTAGGTTACCCAGCATCAACATAGACAGAAGGTATCTAAGCGATTTGTGTTCCGTCCACATGTTGCATGTCCTCCAAACGACAATTGCATCTCCTACGACTAGCTAGAAAAATTTGTGGTGAGCACGAAAACGAACGAGGTAGAGTCAAATATAATGACGTTGATGTTGAGCGGCACAGTACACATTCGAGCTAAAAGTTTCCCTTCTTTAGAATGGTGTTCGGATAGTAAGGCAGTAGCCATTGTGAGCACTGTCTCGATTTGGATTCCCAGGTGCCACACATTACAGAGGGAGAGCAATATCATGCAAGCGCAGAGCATTTTTTGAGATCTGCTGTGAAACCCTTTCTTTCTGATAGTCGACACAAAAGTAAGTAAGTAAATGCATGAAGCTAGTGCAAAGTCGTGATGGTGAACACCGTGTAAAGCCGACGTACAAGCATATGTAGACGGAGATGGCGAGTGCGCAAACGTAGAAGCCTATGAGGGACCATATTCAGGATCATGACAGATATTAGGATAGTACCAGGACAAAGGATTTCACATACCAAATAAAGCGCATGTAGGAATGGCTCCACCAGATAGTTGTCCAAAAATTTTCGAGCCGAGGATGGAGAGGTCGACATGATCTTGCATTGTCATTTGGCGGCCGTGAATATGGAGTGATCAATGTGTTCAGAGTGACCTTTTATGAGTTTGACTGCGGCAATCACTGGGCACTGCAACACAGAGAGAACATAGCAACTGATTCACCAGAATCAGAGTCATAGAGGGTTGGCGGCTGAGCCTGGCACTCAGGCTCCCAGGTTACTCAGCGCTCAGCAGTGTGAGGTATAGTTACATTTTTGAGGTGGTTTAGCGCTTGAGCATTTAATACTTGAGTGCTGAGTGAGATGGAGTTGCAACTATTCTACTGAGAAATGAGGCAGTAGTGATGAGTTCGGCGATCTATATATTCAATCCAAAGTATAGTTGAGGTGAGATGAGATGAGAGAGGTACTTGGCGCTGGGCGGGAGTCCACATGGTTTGATGACAAGCCAGGCGTCTATTTTCCGCCTTTCAGTTTTTCAAATGGTCCATTGTTTCTTCGACATTTGCATCAGCTCTTCCAGGGATTTTTCTTACTCGAGATACACCGCCCAAAAAACCAGCTACGAGCGAACGGCTGCGATTCTTTTGGAAAATGCTACCAACTATGGCCTCCCCAATAGACCGGAAGAGTTGAATGCAGAGCAGCGGGAAATTCTACAAAGAGTCTCTGGCGGTGCACCAAGTAGCTCCTCGAAAGGCAATTGGTTATCCTCCGCATTTTCTAGTCTCAGGAGAGACAAAGGCAGCAATTTGGTCTTTGAGCCTCCCCACGCACCGGTTGTAGGCCGACTTGTATTTTCGTTGTATGACGAACCAGATATGAAGGAACTCCGGGACAACTTTGTGAAATTGTGTACTGGAGAGCTGGGAATGTGTAAAAGTGCCCCCAAAAAACCGCTCTGGTATAAAGGTGTTAGGATTCATAGAATTGTCAAGGACTACATCGCTCAAGGTGGCGATGTAACGCGAGGAGACGGGACTGGTGGTGAAGTACATAACTCTTTTTTTGGTAATACCAAATACCTTTACTAACGATAGCTATAGTCAATATACGGTGGAAAATTCAACTCGTCTCCAATCGCCCTTTCTGTCCCCCCCAAGTTTGGTTCGCTCGCACTCGCCAATGCTGGCCCTAATACCAATACATCGCAGTTCTTTGTCGTGCTCAGTGGAGCGGAGAGTCAGCTGGCGAGAATTCGCGGCAAGTACGATGTATTTGGTGAAGTTGTCGATGGTTGGCAGGTTTTGGAACAATTAAATAAAGTTGGGACGGCAGATGGGGATGTCTTGTGTGATGTTTGGGTAGATGACTGTGGGGTCTACTAGTATTCAATGGTGAATTTGTATCCTCACGTACGCTCTACCGATTCTTCCTTCTTATCCAAATTTCTACGAAGGACATCTCAATTTTCGGCCTCAGTTTACCTATATATACCCAATATACACCGAAGCCATCTAATCACGGACGATTTTTCAACAAAGTCACTTACAGCAATGTAGGATAAAACCTTTGGCTACAGCTTATTTCTCAATCTACTAAGTGTTCGAACTTGAAGTTTCAATGGTACAAGATTCTATATTGTTGCCATACCATATACATACTAATATCGTTTGAGCCGGGCGTTCGAAAATGGCGAAGTATACTGTACCAATACCAAACTGACTTGCTAAGAGTCCTCGTTGGATATTCGTATAAAGACTCAGCGGTGTATCACTTGCGTTCATCCTACGTGATAAAAGCCGTTACGGCGTTATGGTAAGGTTTGAGCCAGGAAAACAGAATGATCGCGCTTGAGTCGAGAAGTGGCGACATGATTGTATGCGGTGCATTTCTCGGATGTAGATCAACTCGTCATACAGTGAGACCTAGTGAGATAAGCTTGGGCCGGGAAAACGAAAAAGATCGCGTTTGAGCCAAGTTACAGCTATTTGCAGTACCGAAGGCGCGCGCAGATATTTGCCGAAATTCGCCGGATTTTATAAACTTATGAAGCTCTATCTTCCAACATGCATATCCAGCTCAAAAATCATTATTACGCTTAGATTCTTCTTGCATCGGGTTGGAATTGCAAAATACTAAGTCCTGAGTGAAACATCCATGGTGGTAGTGCATGTGGTTCAAAAGTTAGGACAGTTTGAGTCTTTTGACACCCGAACATGAAACTCTCAATGAATTTAGCAGACACAGCAACCAAAATGGACATATGATATTTCAGGTATGTACCTGAGGGCACACCAGAAGGAATTTGAGAAAATAGGGCTCGAAGACGGGTTGCAATGGATTGAAAATTTGAGGAAGTGGGTTACTGCCAGCATTCAACAATCCTAGACTATCTCATTGATCCAGATGGTGATAATGATTCTCAAATTCATCAATTGGCATAGAGAATTTGTTTTGAGGCTGCAAAAAGCATGTTACAAGGTGTAATACCAGCAAACATTGAATGCCACGTACCTCTTGTTGTGATCCCTCATTCCTCATCATAGTAGCTTCAAGCCCATTTAATGCTTCATATTCATCCTCTGGGGTATTGCGCTGACTTGTAATGGGTCTCATGAAATTTTGGATGAGTGAAAAACAGATGAATGGTGTGTGCGCAAGGGAGTGATAAAATTTCACATGGATCACCGCGAACTTCCATACTTTCAAATTCTTTGGCTTCAAGTCTTCAATGTAGCCTCAATAGCAGATGCAAGGGCACTGTACTAACATTTTGAGAGGTATTAATCCTTTAAATAGTTGTGACATAGGCATAATAACACTTCTTCCTATAACTTTTTATTGAAGTAAGCTAACCACATGGACGTTTCAATCAGGACTTAGAATTTTGCAATCGCAGGCCAATGAAATTAAAATCTCAATAAAATATTGATTTTTGAGCAAGATATCTATGTTGGAAGATAGACCTCGACAGATTCATAAAATCCGGCGAATATCGGCAAATATCTTGGCGCGCCTTCGGTACTGCAACCAGCTGTAACGTTGAGGTCAATATAGTCTAGATGATACATCTCTTCGACATAGTATGCGGTTAATCCGACATTGTCATGACATTGGAAATTTTAAGAAGCGATGGATGCCACAGTATATATGCAACAGGCTACCGGCTGATAGTAGTTGGTATCGATTTGTGCACTTAAGGATGAGTGCGAACCTTCGTTGTCGGAAGTTGAGATGTTCTCCAAGGATTGGCCACCGGATCATGCGCATGAGTTTCATGCATCCTGTAGCTCTACTTTACAGTCTTGAAGGCTGTAGAGCAGAGCTACAGTAGAGGCATAAGAAAGACAAATTACATACAGTGTCCCACTAACGGCTACTAACGGTTCATATTTCGGCATGGCTCCGAAGCTGAATGATCTTGTTGACGATCGATACAACAGGATAAGGTTTGTAAAACATCATGATTCATCGAGAGAAAACGTGTTGAGTCGGCCCCTCGATAGCGCTTTCGGAACCATTGTGTCTCTGCATGGGAGGGACAGTGAGACTACAGTGAGGCCTCAGAATCCATTGAGCGCTATAGAGTTGGACGAATGAGAGGATGCTAATTGCTAGCGCTGATCTATAGGGTGAGTTCATATGGACTGAATCAACAGTAATCCATTATCCATGAATGTTGGACGTTGGACGGCTTTGGAGGTGGTGAACAGGTGGTGAAGGACTAGGAATCTTATCTTATCACCTTTACGTGGGCGTCTAAAATTTCTCGCCGAGCTTCCCGCAAGAAAATCCATTTCGCACACGGGCACTTCCGAATTCCGAGTCTTTCACCTCCTACCTTACACCTCCACGCCAAAATCCCTCCCTTCGTGTACTCAAAGCAGAGAAATCATGGGACAGTCAGTATCTACATCCAAATCCACTGGCGGCGCCCAATGCCCAGTAGACCATAATTCTCTAAAACCCGCTTCATGTCCAGTAGATCACAATTCACTCAAAACCTCTTCCCAGACCCCAGCCCAATGCCCTGTCGATCATCAAAATAAATCTCCTTCCTCTTCCTCTTCCTCCACACAAAAACCCGCCGAATGTCCCGTTGACCACAGCTCTCTCAACCAAATGCCCACTCTCTCTCAACAACCCTCACCAAACCAAACCATAACCCTCCCCACTGCTCGCACAGAATCCTCCATCCTCCGAGACGGGTCTACAAAATGGGACTATCCCTCTCCACAACAATTCTACAACGCTCTAGTGAGGAAAGGATGGGAAACGCCTGAAGAGCATATCGAGACGATGGTTGAGATACATAATTTCTTGAACGAGCAGGCGTGGCAGGAGGTTTTGAAGTGGGAGAAACGCGCGACGGAGTGAGTACAAACACAAGCCATACTTTGATGGATATTCTGGTGGAACTTATTGTTGTTCTTTTGTCAAGTAATACCGCAGATGTACAGTTAGCCCGATTCAAAGGTCGCCCAGGCGAATTATCACCAAAAGCTCGGTTCTGGCTCCTCGCTGGTTGGCTATTCCCCTCTCGTTTCAAGTATGCGTTTTCCTTCATTCTCTTCTTCTAGCATCTACTCATTATCTACAGCACCGAACCCCCCTTCGATCGCCATGACTGGATCGTCCGGCGTCCAGGTTCTGGCGAAGAAGTGCGATATGTTATAGACTATTACTCCGCCCCTCCAGAACCTGACGGTTCACCCGTCTTCTCATTGGACGTCCGCCCTGCGCTGGATAGTTTCGCTAGTATGAAAGAGCGTATTGCGTTGGCAACGGAGGAGGTTTGGGCGGATTTCCGAGAGACTAAATCTTCTTAGGTTACTTAGATTGGTCAGCACCCGAGCTCAAGCCCAGGAAGGGAGGGTACATAGCTCTGAACTCCGAAGTTTTTTTGCGCGTCATCATAATCCATAGTTCATTGCCTGGTATTGGATAACTTTACTCAACTCAACTGTAATCAGGACATCGAAATTATTACTACCAAGGTTCTACGATACAATTAACAACTGATTTGATTCTTTCATATGATGTTGAGAAAGACCAAGACGCATTATGTCTGGATCTGCTCGGTATGCTGGTGCGTGCCTATTAATTCACTTCATTTCAATCAGGATTCCTAGCCATTCGTCCGTCGCCGTTTCTGCTATACTGGATCCCAATTTTGCTCTTGCTACTGTTAGTCTTGCATCTTACATCTGTCAAGCGACGAAACGGGGATGAACGAGGAAAAGCCAGCATGCCGCTTACACATTTTGAATCCTCTCTGATACAACGCTCCTGAACCCTGTTTTGAAGTTTTGAGTCATTGACAGTGGCAATCATGGTATTGTGGTATTCACGTTTGACAAAGAAACTCACGAACGATGCATTACGTGCAAAGTCGATGCTAGTGTATGAGAGGAGTAAGAAAGGATCTGATATCCTGTTGGACGATGGAACGAAGGAGTTGTTGATGAAGTGGAACAACCTGAAATTTCCAGTCGTATCCCCAAAAACGCCGTCGATACCTGGAAAGTTCTTAACCGGAAGATCCAATAGAAAGAGTCGAAGACACCTGGACTCTTGAGGCCAGCCATCGTACCGGGAAGTAGATGGGTCGGTGGGTGCATCAACATATGATGTGACGCATTGGAAATCGATAGAGCGCCCCCACTGCGGCACATTCGGCTATGCATGTTCTGTTCAAAGATCCAGCCGACGTCAGTTCTTGTCAGAGAGTGCGAACTAGAAGCAGAGAAGAGTTGAAGGGTTTTTTCGTTGGACATGCGCGCGCGAGCCTTCTTGAGGATATTGCCAAGGTACTTCGTCGGAATGAAAGGTATACTTTGAAACGACATCATGGCACCATTCGTATGACATGCACGCAGAGGGCAATGGAGAAGACCAGTGGAGCCTTCGCTATCCGGCATCAAGTTTGCAATTTTACTGATAGAAACAACCAACGGATTGTCACATATCTCCACAGCTGAGGCTGCTGCTAGATCTTTTTTTTTTCAAAGTGAGTGTAGAGATGTGACTGGTTTCCTCGCGACTTCGGTGACTACTCGAATCGATGGTCCCCATTTACAAAGAAAGGAGAAGGTCTGTGAGGCGTCGAGCTTGAGCTCGTTCCTTGAGCGGGACTTCGTGAGCAAGGATATTTGACGGATGTATACCGACAGCTCACAGAGTTGCCCCTATCTCCAGTACCGTAGGCAGAGCCGAAACAATGAGGTTACCTTTCACCTGCTTCGACCGCACTTTCCATCTTTGATGTCTCGGCGGCGACACTTGGATGTCACGTCGGGGAAGGAATTGAAAATGAGCACATGGTTGGTACTATCGGTCAGAGCCCAACAGTTCTTGAGTCACCAGTCCACTGTTTTATGGATGTCGATCTTCGTGGCACCTTGTTCATCGAAGATTAAATAACTGTCATTATCGAGTTGGACGGCCGTTGGAAGTTTCCGCTCAAGACAGTATAGAAGTAGATCACCACAAACCCGCGATCATCCATTTTCTCCAACATCTCACGAAGCCATATATATTCCTCACCAATAACATTATCCGCGAGGATAGGCGTTTGGAGAGCGGATGCAACTTGGTTCATTTGTTCAAGGCAAACGTAGTGTAAACTTTCAGAAATGCCAGCGCAATTTCCTGGGTACAAGTATGCCTCCGTATCTTCCGTCGATTTGTAGTTGGCCGGTACAATCTGGCTTTGGACTATTTCGCCTTTGTGCTGAGTCCAAGTGTGGCCACTGGTAACCCCAAGCTTTTGCATGAAAGCGAGAAATTTCGGAATCAATCGCAATATTACCACCCGATTTAATGACAAAAACAATATCAATGCCTTGATGCTTTGGGTCTTTGAATGAGGAAATGTAGTGAAAAGTTTGAGCTCAGTGGATAGGGTTTCAAATTTTTGAAGAAGATCGATATTTGGCGGATCATCGAATTCTCGATAGATGGCCTTAGATGGCATCGACAGCGTCGTAGAGGGCAAAGTGTTCAAATTTAAGTTTCAAAGTATCGCTGGGCTAAGAAACACGAGTTTCGCAATCGTCAATCATGCACGCAAGTCCTGGTCGACAGTTGGCAGCCCTGCGACTTTAGTTATAAACTTGCTCATACCGTTGTCCCCGTTGAAACCGATAGCGTATGAAGTAACATTCTGGAGTGCGATGACTGCAGCATTGATATAGACATTTTCCTCTTCAAGTGGACGTTTTGACATGGTGGATGAGAATCAGGACGAGCTTGTCTCACAGACAGGTGACGGTGACGGACCAACTTTTTCCGGCCGGGAAACATGAAGGGAAATTTCCGGGAGAGATTGCCGATTTTCCCGGTCCATGGCTTATTTAATCGGTAACGCGTCTTGGCACCACTTCTCTCTGAGTATAGACCATGTAGTCACGCCCGGATGACAGGCCCGGGTGAATTTGATCGGATTTGGACGATGCTGATTTCGGCCGAATTAGCATCGTCCCTCTCAATTACAATCACGTTACTCTTTATTTCCGTTCTCACCATGGGTTGGCCGTCGTTTCGCCTTTCCCTCTCTTTATATTTACCTCCGTTAACGCTATTAACACTCGGCGTCCCTGGCAGCTCGATCAGCAATGGCGCTGTTGCCGCCGCCGGCTCCCTCTCTTCCCTCATCGCCGCCTTCAACGACCTCGATCCAGAATACCTCGCAGTTGTCCGCACCACCCTAGACTCACAAGAACTCGCGCTTTCTCTTCTCGAAATGCAGTGCCAACAAGCCCTCGACGCTATGGATATCGACGGTCCGAGTGCTGACTCTCCTACGGCTCTTCCCAGTGAAGAAATTGAGATAGATGGCCAAAAGTTCAAAATTGTCTATCCATCTGAGCCTCAGCCTTCCGACACTCTCGTGCTTCCTGGCAGTTATGAAAAAGATACTGGTGTGTTCCATGCAACATACAGAGACCTGTGCACCCTCTTGTTCTTATCTTGCCCTGCTATATTCACTGATCTATGAATTTCTAGCAACACTTTGAAACGCTCAGGGCTCATCGAAATCTGCAAGAAATACGAGCTGGGTACCCAAGGTAATATGCGGGTCTTGAAAGAAAAACTCATTGGGTTTAGTGAGAATAAAATACGTTGGCAATGGTATGTCTTTCAAAATTGTAGAATCACGTTTGTTTAACCTTTCCTCTCAGTCTCGTTCCTGTTGCTCGACGCGCTCATCGTGGAGTACGTAGCGGAGGTATCACCAAGAATAAGCTCGCGAACAAAGAAGGCCCTGCTGCTATCTCGTCCAAAGCCAAGAAGCTCAAACTTTCGACGGTGCGAAGGAATGAGATGATGGGACTGCCCCCAGATGCCCCGCTTGGTGCTCAGCTGTCTGATACCAAACGCTCGAAAGACATGCGTACACTGGAACAGAAGAACAGGCTTCTTAGCTGGGTGAGTCTTTCTCGATGTTTCAAAGACTTGCTGACCATTCGTATGTAAACACATCTAGGCAAAGACATTCTGTGACAAGCATCCGTATGTAACTCGAGAGGAGCTTGCGCGAAGGCGGAAAATCAAAGAGGAGGAGAGGGCGAGAGAGAATGCTACCAGTACAGTACGTAGCTCTTGGCTCTTTCTCTTTTCTCCGTCATTGATTGGTGCTCGAGTATAGGCTAAAGTAGCACAATACATGCACTCAATGATTGAACATGTTTCCAACCTTCGAGTCGAGATTCAAACACTCAAGACCGGGCTTCCACCCCCATCGCTTTTGCAAGCACCTTTGCCTGTTCTTGCACCGCTTTTGACAACTCCTGGTCCGTTCTTCTTTTCTAGGTTCCTTATAGCTAACACATACCTACCTTCCTTCCTTCCTAGCACCGTACAACGTACCCCCATCTTTCAACAGCCCTCCTGACTGCATCACCGCAGCTCATGTACTGCCTTTGGACCTCAGAACAACGAACACCAAATTACAAACACTGGTTGGCAGTACTGCAACAGGCGCATCCCCTGGTTTTGGTAATGCTCGCACCCCTGTCAACAACGGCAATACCTTAAACGACACCTCACCTCAAAACGCCAGTACGTCGAATGCCACTACTAGCAGCACTGCGAGCATCAACGAGCATGAGAAAGTTTACGTGGTCACAGTGGGTTTCGGAAAAATCGTCAGGTATAAGGAACGTGACCTCCGTGAGCCCCCCTCAATTACATTTGCCACCAACATATCCCGGCTGGACCGCGTTTGGGACGATGAGCAGCCTAGTTGGGATCCTGAGGACTGTGGCACGAATTTGCTGAGCATCAACGGGGCGCCGATTGCACTTCGGTATTGGCGGGACGTTTTTAGTGGCAAGAAAAATAGTGTTTGGGCAAGCTTAAAGAAGCTTTGGTCAGAGTGGAAGGTAGATTGCTTTCTTTCAATCATTTCCTTTATTGATATGTTCCCTCTCAACAGTATGTTGCCGAGCGTTACCGTGCTAGCAGCCCCGATGAGTTCTGGAAGGAGTTCTCATTCAGTGACGGCCGACGTTTTCATTGGAAGGCTATCTCTGACCATCTACGTGATCTTCGGAGCAAGCATGAGCAGCAACTGGTCGATAAAGCTAAGGCTGAGTACGGGGCTGATTTTGCAAGGGTATTTGTCAATAATAGAGGAAAGGTACTTACTGATAAATCGGCAATTTCTCGTCATTACCTTGATAAGTTGGCAAACCGTTTGGGATAGTACCTTTATTTTCTTGTCTAATACAGCTATATTTTCAAATAATTGTTTATCTATGATACAACACGACTATGTTTTGTAACGATACGTGTTATTTTCTAAGCACAATGACATGAGCGGTTGCAGGTGGGACAAACTTTCGCAGGTGCACGCTTCATGTTGAAGAAATCGTCTCGATCAACATGAGGGTTGTCGTTCCATGAAATAAGGTACTTGACAATTGTCAAGTGGGTGAATTCTTGACTCCAGCCACCCCATTCACAAATTTGACGCAAAGGCCATCGACGCTCAACCGATAACCACTGGCATCCACCGCGTCTGAACGAGTGAGTTCCGTAGGGAACAAAATCAACTCCCACGTCCAGCAGGTTGTTGCGGAACATCTCCAGAAACTGTTCTGATGTCTGTAGCTCATTAGAAAGTGTAACGTTACATTGTATAAATACTCACCATTGGTTCATTC